GGATTAGTAGTTGGGTCGGTGACGACCAGCGAATCCCTGGTGTTGTATGTTCTTTTTTTTTTGTCTATCTTTCCTAATGTACCCTCAAGGTACATGAAAAACTGAAATTGAAATTCTAAGAGATGAAATAATTGGGTTACTTTATGCCAGGTTGGACCAGCGCTCCAGGCGCCTTTATTTTTGCAGCCTAGACCTCAGGAGACGATTCTTCTGTCGCCCACCTGCGTCCCTAACAGCAAAGAAGACGGTAGTCCTCTCTTGTAGATTCCTATCAATAAACCGTGTTTCTCACATTGATAGTCGCCGGTTGTCAAAGGTTGTGTGAGAAGGTGTCAACTGACTGTAGGTCTTTAGTGTGCGGCTTCAACTCTCCATAGACAGACTGATCACGCCCGTGCAAACCACAAAAGCCCACAGGAGCAAGGGCAGTGAAAGTGTGAGAAGATACGGGATCTCGAAAGGTTAAATCCTTTAATCCTTGACGAAGCGCTGCATTGCACCATACATAGAAACCTACTCTGAATTATCACTTCGCATGGAGGCAACAAGGTCTTGTGCAGGCATCCTACTCATAATGCCTGAACTATCTTGCCCGTGGCCACTCTTATCTCATTCATCTTCAAGCTCCCGACTCTTCTTCCCTTCGCTCTTCCGCTTGGGTTCTCCCTTCTTTGGTTCATTCTTTGATCCAGCTTCATTCTCGTAGTCGCCGCCCTGCTTTTCATACTCTTTTGCGAGTTTGGACGCCTGGATGCATGATTAACAAAAGTCTCAAATAGATAGGTTGTTTTATACCTTCCATGCTGACCATTGTCCCTCGCCGCCACCGTTCTTATTGGGTTCTTGCTTGATCTCTTCCTTCAGCTCCTCTCGAAGCTCGGGGTCGGTGGGCTTGCCTTTAGAAGATGGCATTTTGAAGTGTCTTGGAGATGGTTAATGGTTGTTTTGTAAGGGATTGTTTGTCTTTTTATGTGTCTGGTTTCATTGTTGCGTCTCGAACTAGTTTGTATCTATGACGCCTACTTTAGTAATGGTTCACAGCAACCTGCTTATTGACCAAAAACGGTGTCTCTGTCTACAACCTCAATTTGTCTCAACGGAGTATATAACACAAGACTTCGGAGCAAAAGGACCCGGCAGCCAATGAAAGCTCCTGAAATACACAGATGAGCCATGTTATAATGAATGGTGTAGAAGATCAATTTTACATTAAGGTTACTAATGAGCACAGTTTATAATCTTCTATCAACTATCGTCGCTCCGATTTCATGTAGAATCAAGTGCTCTCAGGAATCTGAAGAATGACACGCCTGTACCGTCTGACGGGATACGCTCCTTTGTTGTTGGTGACTTGAAGAATAACATGCCACTCTTTATCGACCGAGCTAGGCTGCTCTTGTTCCCAGCCAGTGAGGTTGACAGATATCTTGACTTGAGGACCCAGAGCGGCATTGCTGAAACCAGCTTCATTAACGGTCAGCGTACCGTTAGTTCCAGATGGCGGCGAAAGTGCTTCAACTTTGAAGAACTTCTCATCGAGACTCGTCAGGAACGTCAACGCACACTCGGCGTAGGAATACCATTCGAATGAAAGTCCTGAGCCATCATTCAGATTGTCCGTGTCATACGACTCGCTGGCGTCCAGGATGATGGCGTCGTTGAGGCTAACGTTGAATCGCACCGGCTCAACTCCTGTAGAGCCATTGATAGAGATGCTTGGAGGGTGAGCGCCGTCTTCAAAACCGTCAACCAGTGTCCATTGCACACGTGCTGCAAAGTCGTCTTGGTAAGCGTCGCGCCAGCGCCAGATAGTGGCATAGTGGCTCCTCCAGCTTTCCCCGTTATTATTGATCAGGGTATCAGCTGAAGTCCCGTATTGGTTAATATCCTCATCCTCAGTAACACGACTATACCTTCCACCCCAGCCACCGTAATCCGGCCGTCCAGGAACATTGAGACCGTTCTGAATAATCCAGAGAAAGCTCGGACTATCCCCTTCCATCGTGTATATAATCTTGGAATATTCAGCCCCAAGCGGCCCAAGGCGAATGTTGGGAGTAAGCCAGTCATCCAGCACCTTGGTCCTGTTCGCAGCGTTGTTGTCACCGGTAGATATCCCAGTCCATGTACCCATATTGTACTCCCGATAGCCATGGACGTTGACAATGAAGAAGACATCAGGCCATTTGACTCTTATGTAGGCCCCTGCGTCATCTTGATCGGAAATAGAATAGACCCGGAGGCGGGAGCGAAATTGAGACGCCACGGTCTTAGTTTCGGTTTTGTCAATATGTTGCAAAGCTTGAGCTAGTGTGTTTACTCCGCCCCAGAGACCGAGGTAGAGAGGTTTCTCGGATTCTCGTAGTGCCTCGAACAGGTTTCGAGCACCATCGCTAAGTGACTGCTTTAGGGCAGCTTTGCCGTAAGACTAACACTGTCAGTTTCTGCACGCCTTTGGGATTGATGAACTTACAACCGGGCCGGATGACACCTTATCTATCAGATCTTGCGGATCAGGGTAAGAATTGTCAGGGTGGACATGTTGATTGAGTTTGTCAACAACCTTGCCGTAGGCGTTAATAATTCTCTTGATCTCCTCGGGATGGGTCTCATTTCTCAACGACCACGATGTCACAGCGACAATTCCCCTAGTGTCGAATTCGTTGGAGTACAGTAGATATCGCACTAAAGACATAGAGTCATCCGGTTCATTGAGGATGTCGGTGAGTATGAAAGTCCGAACCCTCTCCACCTTGGGGAGAGTTGTTAGGTCCGTGGTAGATCCATGTTGCTGCGGGATGGCAGCGACCAGGCAAGGCTGTAGCCAAAGTAAACTTGAGATAAACCGAGTAACAGACAACTTCATCCTTCAATCTCGTGGTGGCCAAAAGAAGGGCAAGTTTGCGACGCGACCATGGGCTTTATAGTTGTGTTTTACATGGACCTTGACGAGACCCCAGTGCAGCTTGCTAACCAGGTGGACGTTACCTTGGCCAACTTGACTACCAACCGGGTTAAACTTACCCAGACAAATGCCTCAACCCCAAGATCGTCCTTCCATGAACCATAACACTGGTAAATGAATCTGGGGGATGTCTCGTGGTGATGTAAGTTGCATTCGGAGTGGCTCTAAGTCTAAGCTAAGCTAGTATCCCCGCATTCGGATCTGTGTGTGATTCGCTGCTTTCCTGTTCTCCCCGGATGGTTCCTGATACTCAGATTTGCCGGCGAAAATACCGAAAAAGAAAGATCACCTTGGGGAATGATACCGGTGAGACGCGTTCTCATTCAATCCTGCTGAGATTTCTTGTTGCGCTTCCTCCACTCCCATATAGTCTTACACCAGAACCAGGTTTCAATTGTTCCAAATATGCTCAAGATGATGATCAAAGCCACTTTCATATGTTTTCCGAGCCCGAGAGATTCCAAGTTGAAAGCCGGATATGAGGGATTCGGGTTGGGGGGAGTGTCTTGTCTTGGTCGACTTCTGTTTTGTTGGTATGCAGATTGATGCAGATATCTCGTAAATGAGTGAGAGAAACTCTTGATTCCATAGAATGAAGGAGATTTATTATAAGCTTGCATGGCTATGAAGCGTGAACGCAAAACTGGTAAAAGCGACGGGGTCATGGTGAGTATTGGGCAGATTATGAAGTATCAGACCTCGGGTGGACTTGGGTAATTAACGGAATGTTCGAATCCTCTAGAATGAAAGATTTTGTTATAAACGGATGTGGCTGTTATTTAATGATTCGGGTAGTAAGCTTACAAGCGCAAATTGCCTTCGTATCCCGTATCCGCCGTATCGCGTATTGAGCTCTGACCCACCACCAACATCCTTTACCCTGCTACATGGAAATTACCTCCTTTGAAGGGATGGAATGCATACACGTGATATGCGATCATTCAAGAAACGTCTTTCTGACACCGCGCGGTATAGGAGCATCGTGGAATGAAACGAAAGGATCGTGGTATTTGGTTGCTGTCGATTACGGTTACGCATCTAATCTACTCTCAACACCCGTGGCTTAGAGTCAATCGAGGCAAACGTATTCCGCAAACAGTTTCTGTCTCTAGAGAATGAGCCACTGATCCTCCAGAAGCCCATTTTCATCTTCATGGTCGAATATAATCGCGAAAGTCCTGTAGCGTGTATCGTATAATTAGCTAATCTTAGCTCAATAACACGAAAGAAGTTGACGAAAGTAGAATCATAGAGTATGTCAGGCGATGTCGGTTCATGGGTCCTCAAAAGCACAGTCTTGACTGCGAGTAATATCGGTTCGGCAAAATATTGTGCATCATGTATAGTCGAAAACAAGAAGTAAGGGATTTAGCAAGACTTACTGTTCCTGATGTTCGCAACGAATAGAATCTATTTGATATTGAACTACTTCTGTAGCTGTACTCTACGATATACTTATAGTTGATAGCAAAGCACCTTTCCATGCTGACGAACACTGCGACGCTCGTTCTACCAAGGTTAAAGAGATTACAGTAAGCCACGGTGTGACACATCCGGGGAGCAAGTGCCTCTAGTTGTTTCCTCTTCCGTCCAGATGGACCGCTGTTTAGATCTTGAAGTTGAGCCCCAGCAGGCATTCTATGTGAGCTAGTCGCTCACAGCCGACCATACCAACATTCAAACCGTCCCATACACATTCAAGTACGGGAACAGAAAGATTCTCAGCCATTAGACGTCAATTATAATCCATAGTTTTAGATTAATACTTCGAAGTAAACACTTGATCCCAGCTATCATATGTTCTGGGCGGTTCTTCAAGCGAGCCATTTCACTGAGCAGTAGCCTCTACTTGCCCGAAGTTAGAACAAACTCGTGTCGGCTAAAGACGTACCCAACATCCCGGCTCAGCCCTACAACAAACGCCGGGTTGCTCGGATCTAGTCGAGACGATACACAATGATACAAAATGAGTCATAATGAGTGTTCCCCTTTAGGCATGTCGAATTAGAGCAAGTTGCACAGCATACGGTTCATTCGCTTGTTACGTCATGGGTAATGGATTGAATTCGCCAAATTTAGATAGAACGATGAATATATATAGAAGCTTTCAATATGCACATTTTGTTCTTTATCGCTAGCTCCCTGCATCTTGTACCTTGCTCCTCCATTATTCCCGAACGGCATTGACCCGCTCGTCGCCACTATCGTCCTGCAAATGTCGGCCCGAACGATCTCGAGAGTTACCCACCATTCTCTCGGCTCGACTATGAACTGATGTTGAACATGATAGCAATATCGCGCCATTTTCTGTCCTGTGATGAATGACTTGTTCATGCTGACCGGATTTCCCGAAGTTCACGTCCCGTGACGGGGAATCTTGGGCTTGGCATCTTGGTCAACTACACCCATGTTCTACCCGATCCATAATTTCTGCAGGCACAGTATCCGTCGAACCAACAGGTCCTATATCACGAAATAGGGAAAGAGATTGGTCAAAATACAATATCAATATCATCATATATCATTCAATCGCTATGTGCTTGCTACATAATATCTATACCCAGTTCCATCCATGCATATGTTCAAATAGAGTTATCGCCGCAGGAGAAAGTGCCGCGAATCTTGCTTGAATCGTTGGCGAAAATGTTCAACAATTCCGTGATAGAAGACCACAGACCACCGCCGTTCATAAACAACGACTGCACAATAAGCAGTCCATTGACGACGCATAGGGCAATCTTCTTCCAGTTTTTGGTATACTGGCCTTTGTTGATGTGGAACCAGAAGATGGCACTGAGACCGAAAGTGAACCAGGCGATCGTGGTTGCGGAGGAGATGGAGAGGATAGAGTCGAAGATGGGAATGGCGTTGGAAATAACGAAGACAATGATCCAGTACAGAGTCACGCAGATGACCCAAACGCTCCAAGATTTGACGCTTCGGTCGGTGACTTGGTGAGTGGACTTGAGTCCTCGCATAGCGACAACATACATGTATTTGATACCAGTGTGTCCTGGGAGATTAGGGTTAGCTTGATATTTACTTGTTGTTAGGTATTGAACTTACCGAAAGCCATGGCGGTAGCGAAAACACAAGGCAGAACGAGTCCGTATGCTACCTTGGCGGCAGTTCTAGGCGCGGATCCCAAAGCAGGGGAGGTGGTATAGTCGCCAGCGAGACAGTAGATAGCAACAGCGACGATTGTGTAAAGTGTAATGGAGAAGCACTCAAGGCAGGCCAATGCCATAGGGAAGTCTCGGCTGGGGTTCTTCATCTCGGCCATATAAGAGACGAAGCTGATATTTCCTGCATAGGCGTAGCAGATCTTGAGACAGGCGTTGAGTCCTTGGCGGAAGGTCGGGTTGCCGATGACTTGGATCTCTCTTTCCCAGCCAGGAGGGGCCTGTGAGGGCGACGAGAAGCCCAAGCTGATCATGACAGTAAGAGCGGCAGCCAGGATACTTATCGTTGAAGGAATACCGGATTGCGAGACGAATTTGACGGTTCGGGGAAGACACAATACCCAGCATGCCACAACAGCGATAATAACGAAGCTGACAGTGCAGAGAGAGTGGTTGCTAAGAGTGTTGAATGCGACAGACAATGTTACACTCGCAGAGGCACAAGTCATCATAACCTTGATCATCAGACCGATACCGGCAATAATTTCGAGTGGTCTTCCACCGATGATACCACACATATCGACGACATTGACGACATGGGGGTACTTTCTGTAGAATTGGAGGAGTTCGTAGGCAGTATAGGCAGAGAGAGATCCAAGACCGATGATGGCGATGACGCCGGGGACGACACCGAGAACTTGAAGACAACCAGGAAGAGAAAGGACACCAAGACCGACTTGGTTCGTGATGAGGACGAAGACGGTATCCCACTTGCCGAGGGTTCTGTAGTTCTTGCCGCCTTGGTTGAAGATGTTCTGGACAGGTTCGTCGGAATGTTGTTCCTTGGAAGCGAGGATATCGTCGCCGGCATCGTTGATGGTGTTGATCTCGTTACCGTCGATGCCGCGGATAGACGCAGGACGATGGTGGTTGTCCTGGCCCATGTCGGGCTGCGCCTTTGTCGTCTTGTCCTCAGTGCTCATGATATGGAAGAAATGAAGAGTGTTCCAAGGTTAAAACAATCACCAATAGCAAAGAGATACAGAACAAAAGACTCGGGTCGGTCGCGCAATTCTTATATACATGCGCCAAGAAAAAGGTCTCCAGATGTTTATCTGGTTCCGAGTGGATTGCCGAGAATCTCGTTATCTAACATGGTACTCTGTAGGTAAAAGGTGAAAAGTGAGAAATAAAGCGGTATATCGTGGAGCCCCATGGGGGAACGAGAGTCTCTCACGTAAAAGTTAGCAAATCGTCCAAAACCATCAGGTCATGAAAATATCCAACCGATGAAAATACTGGGTCCACAACTTGTTACGTTATACTGACAGCGATCTTTGCTGGAATGGAAATAAGGGCGAGATATCCATTTTGAACCCTGCAGATGTAGAGATAAGAATTCCACTGAGGAAAAGAATTGACATCTGTCACCTCGACTTACTCACTACCAGGCTGTTGAACTTGTGTCTTGATCATGTCAGGTGTCGTTTAATTGAGGCTCTTGTGAGGCTCTTCACCTCCGTCGGAGAAAACAAAATGGCCCAAGAACCCATACGGCTAAGACCGACGCCAAGGGTACAAGCTTAAATTTTGCCTATTGAGTTTTTGCTCCGTTGATGGTACGACACAGTTTGTTTTCCGTTACGCGAAAAATAGCTTGTTTTGACACATGCATTCAGTATTTTGTGGAGCAGGCGAGTCGGTAACTGTTGATCAAGGGCGTGTTGAGGTGCCGGAATATCCGACACCGGTCCGAGTATCGATAATAAGACTCTTGTCATTGGAGAATTGGAGATTGTATTGTAATTTTGCAAGTCACCGTGGTGAATCTGACGAGTCTGGTAAGGTGAAGCCATCGTAAGATGTTTATCGGCTCGGAGGTATTGTCGGCCGAAAATCAAGGGACTTAAAAAGTGCCGGTGAAATTATTCAATTATTCCCGTTTATCTTGTAAAAGTCCCGCGCCACCTGGTATTAAAAACTCAATTGTCTTCCTCATCCCTCGTATCCATGGGTTGGATGGAGGTTGGCGTGGCCGCTAGGCAACCAGGATCTGCAAATCTTGCATCCATCCCACAAACCGGAGATGTCCAACGCAGCAATCTCTGGCATGCATCATCATTCTAGAAAAATAACGCTCGCCTCATTGATTGGATCCTCGAATCTCCAGCTGACTCGCTCCTCCATCTTGGAGAAAGAGAGCACATTGTGGGGATGGTTGGGGAAATGAGGGGGAAGAGAGACTTCAAAGTCTGTGCACTGAGTTTCTCTTACTCAACCTCCGGGTTTTTCTCTTGACCGTGTCCAAATCGTGGGGATATTCCTGTCTTGGCGGTCATTTAGACTTCTTGGAGTGGATGAAAAGAGTAATTCTCTCCGCATCAAAACGAATGCCTGGAACTACTTGTCTGTCGCGTCGGGTCTGGGGAAATGACTGATATTACAGTGACGCCCCCTCCCTTCTTCCCCCATGGATGTTGGGGGAGGGAACTTCCAAGGCAAGGCGTTGAAATTGGAGACTGCGACATCTCGCTAGTTGATTTACTTGACATCACTTTACCTTGGCAGTCGCCGTATTATCCCGACTTCACGGTTGGAGTAAGCAAACCCGTGTTATGTAAAACGTGTAATTTTATTTACGAAGATCATCTTCTATATGTGCACGATGAAATAAATCTTATATAATAGACGCCACCATTCCCTACTGACACTTCCAGCTATCAGGATCCTTGGGGTCTCCCTTACGGTCCCAGACGTTGCGGTAGGGGTAGCGACAATGTCTGCGCTCGTACTCGAGCTTACCATCAGGGGCACCGTTAGCGAAGCGCTGGCCTGTAATGGTATCGGGGGCAACACCCTCCTCAACCCACTTCACGATGGCCTTGAGGACGTTGTTCTCGGCGGTCTTGCCACCCAAGTTGGCCATGTTGTTTCCAATACGGTTTGCGCCATCGCCACCAGAGCAGTGACCACAGCCGCTGATGCGGAAGTATCGGTAGAATTCATCTAGCTGGGTGCTGTTGAGACCCATGGTGCGCGAGACGTGGTCGTAGTACTCCATAGAGTTGTCGGAGCTGATGAGACCGTCTTGAAGACCGTGCCAGTGGAGAATCTTAGATCCACGCTTGCGGAACTTGGAGAGGTCGCCTTCCCAAGTCTCGACGTTGAAAGGGTTGACTTCGGAGGCCTTTTGGTAGTCGTCGGGTCCGATCTGGTCGGGAGACCATTTGGTGTCATTCCAGATAACGTACTGGAACCATTCTGTAGAGTAGGGGAAGGGCATTTCGCCAATGGCAAAGCCAAAACCAGCATCCGCACCGGGGGGGATACGAGGGTAGATGTAGGTTCCGTTGTTGCCGTACAGAGGAGAAAAGACCTTTCGAACGGTCTCGATCTTGGGGCCTGTCAGACAGTTCTTGGTCTGGCCCTTGCTGCAGATAAGAACCTCAGGTCGGTAGTTACAGAGGTTAGGGTCCTCGAGAATACCGTCCTTGACGCCGTCAAGAGGCTCATCACACTGAACGTGGACACTCTTGTGAACCATCTGCCACTCCTCGGGGCTCAGGTGGGTTGGGGCTCCAGGAGGACCAGTAATACCCCAGAAGCTTCCGGAGCGGGACTGCAGCCCGTTGAAGCGCATGGCGGGAGCACCAGCGACAATACCATCAAAGTCCTCAGGGAAGCTCTGCGCTTCCTTCCATCCTTGTCGTCCACCAGTTGAGCAACCAAGATAGTAGGACTTGGTGTGCTTCTTTCCGTAGAATTTCTTGGTGATGTCCTTACCAAGAACAGTACCAGTGTGTACAGAGCGGTAGACGTAATCCTCCACAACACCGGAGTTCTTGTACATGGCCGTAGCTGAAGTTCCATTGTGACCGTTGTTGGCGCCAACAGTAGCGAAACCGTTGCCGACACCGTAAGCAACATCCGAGTATTGGATGCATCCAGCCATGCCTCCGTTTCCAGTGCTCAGGAATCGACCAGTCCAGTTAGAAGGCAACCAAGCCTCGAGGGTCAAATTGGAAGTGGGACCTGTCGTGACGTGCATAGCCACGCGACAGATCTCAACGTCTGTGACCTGGCTCTTGGGGGTACATGTTGGGTGGTTGTCAGGAAAGGTGATATTTCCACCGGCAGGCACATGCTCGGTGAACCAGACCTTGGTGTTGGGCAGTTTCAGCGAGGTCCTAAAACTGGCGCACTTGGCAGCAAAGTCTTCCTCCTTGCCAGGTGCCGCAGCAGCCAGACCCGAGACAAGACCCGGTAGTAACAAATTGGCGCGCATATTGTAATTCGACAAATAACAGGTATCGCTAGACAATGCTGGACAAGACTGAGCGAGAGGAAAAGGGATCAACAAGTAGTAGTACTTCATTATATACAGCACGGCGCATAAACATTTAACGCAATGCGATCCCTGCGTTTTGCGGGGGAATTTTGTTAAAATGAAATTGTCGGTGATCTTTCCCCAGATGGGCTGCGCTAAGGGGGAAAACAGCGGCAGTTACAGCGGGACGGTCAAGAAAGAGGAGGTGCCTGAAACCTCGGCTTGCTGGACTTGGACTTAGATCCGGGGTATTCTGTTCAAATTGAGGGATCTTTGCGAAGAGCGAAAATGATAGACCTTGGTTGATCGGTATTTCCAGTTCTGTCCGGAATAATTTATTTAAAGATTGAGTTTTGAGACGTCAGATTATTTTTCTGATTACGATTGGGTTTGGTACAGATTGGGTTTACTAGTGAGCACGCTGTGAACTGACTTTGTTATTGTCGCTTCCAACGTTGAACTAAGAACAAGGGTATCCGGGGTAATAGTGCGGCGTTAATGGAAGCCTAGTCTCTCTGAATGGCGTTGCATTTCCGCTTCATTTTATTGGTGTTATGACTACTGACGTCTTTGCTATAGGTACTTGGTATGATCATAATACCACACTCAAAGAGCAATGACAACATTCTTGGGAATTCGGCGTAACTTGTTTCAAGTTTATAGACAATCGTCCATGCGCAAACATCACTTTGAAAGCAAAACCCTTTAACCGTAGCTTCATTCAAGGTCCAGCTAGCTATCGACGGTTCAAGCGTGAATAAGGTTATATTCTCTCCATCGACCTTAAACATTGTTTATACTTCATTTTTAATAGCATGTTATACCCCAAGGGCAGTTTAATTACACCGTCGCACGCTCTAGCCTCATTGCACCGGCATAATCGCGGCGGTGACTGTGGCCAGGATCTCTTGTTCTTCACATGGTGCTCATAGACCACGGCGATTCGAGATTCGGCATCCCAGCCAAACTTTCTTCCTAGCAGGCACCGTTGCAATCGGGCAGGACCATCTTTTCGTTCCATCAGCTACCAGTTCACGGAACGCGTTACGACTCAAAGGACAACTTACCTGCCACATGTCGATAACGACATACTTGCCATTAGACTCAGCAGGCGGCCTTTGCAAGACACCCACAGCAAGGATGTAGTTCAACCAATCGTAATCGGGATGGCCCGCCTGAAACGTTCCTCTCAGAAGCGTTCGTCCGTCTGGCTGCGTAGGACCCTGAGTCTGGATATAGATATCAACGCCATCATCGGTCCTGAGGTTGTATCGCGTATCAGGGAAGAAGATACCCTTGGTATCAGTGAGACCCCAGTCGGCGCCCAAGTTGGAAACCGTTCCTGACATTCGAGGACCCTTGAAGGTCCCGCCGGTGATGGGAATCACCACGCGACTACCTTGGTGGTAGTCGCCAATCGGCCAGCGCTCACCCAGGGTTGCGTTGACAGTGTAAAGGAATTCGTATGAGGGAGTTCCCATTAGCTGGGATGCTCCGAGGACTGCATTGCAGGCGAGGACGAAGGGTGTGGTGAGTCTCATATTGGCGGTATGTACAGAAAGACTACTTGTCTACCACATGGCCAATGCCTTATTGCAGCCATTCTTATACATTCGCTGTGCCCCAGATCGCCAAGTCGATCTAGTGATACACCTCGGTGATGCTCATGGAGAATGGAGATCGACCCAATGTGAGGGGTTATGCACCCCGCATTCTGGTCGGCAATTGACCCGGCACACTCCATGACTTCCAAACGGTTCTTCATCTTGACTGATTGAGTTTAGAGTAAGGGTTTGTATTTACCCTGGCTAAATCGGATAGATCTCAGCTGACGTCATGACTCGGCCGAGTAGATGCTGGTTGGGACGAAACGAGGTCCATCATACAAAGCTGCAGTCGTTTAGCTCTGCCGACGAAACAAGTCCATCACATTCAGTATTGAAAAGGGTTGCAGAGTTCACTTAGAATAGTGTTCAAGGTCAGAGCCAAGAGCTGAGAGATCCCATAGCTAGTATGCGATTTCTTGATCCTGAGATTTGTTGTAGCTGTCTAGCATCTATTGTGTCTTGTGTCATGAGTTATGATCCTCTTCGTGTATGAACATAGATATATCATGACTCTCGTCCATCCAAGCCGTGCCTTTCGCTTCTACTGTCCTTCCAGCTTCATTCATCTGTCGCCACATAGCAGCTTTATCCGCCTGCCCCGTTGTACCCTCCCAAGTCCGGCCCTTCAGATGTCTCAAGCATAACGTCTTGCCCTGATCAGGGTAGTATAGCCAAGTAGCCCATTTCGTCCACTACATCATATTAGCCGTCTCTTGCAACCAGACACCAATATCAAACTCACCAGTCCCTCTTTCATCTGTGCGCGAGCTCTTTGTCCAATCTTATCCTCGATGAAGTCTCCTCTCAGCATCGCAAGTCGCGTAGGGAATACACGCTCCAAATAATGTGCCGTTGATGCAAGATGAGGTTTATCGTGCCAGAAATACATTGGTGTCAGTGGTATCTTAGTTCCAGGGTATGACGGTGCTTCATATTCACGAGTAAGAGCTGCTGAGGTATCGCGTAACGTAGGATATTCCGATACTATCGCGGAAGTAGCGTATGAGAGCATGCGCACAGCAGCTAAACAGACATATTTGATGGGTGCTTCTGTGTCTGATTCGTGGCTTTGCATGATCTGAAGAAGAGGCTGAATGGGAAGATCCGCGGTTAGAGCCCAGTCATGCTGTTGGACCCAGACGTGCGGAGTTTGGATGATTCGCAGGGCTGACCTGACTGCGAGGCCAAAGCCAAGACGCCTCGATGGTTCTATGAAAGTAACTCTTTTGTCGATTGTGTGGGATATTGAGTAGTCAACTAGGTTCTCATGCTTGGGGCTTCCATATTCTGCAGTAGTATCCTCTTTAATTAAGGCAGTATTAGCGGCATCTTGGTGATATCGTCCGAGTATCAACTGTTTGACATTCTTCTTATAAGCCTCAAAGTCGGATGCCTGACTAGGTGTAACCTGTCCCTTCTTCAATCTCGCAATTGGAACAATCTGATCGAAGGCATCAAACACGACGACAACATTACATTCTATCAACTCTGGACAGTGTCGATCAAACGACTCCAAAATTGTTGATATGAGCTCTGTTGATGGTGCAGACGGCGTTGGCGAAGTGGTGATGATGACGGTAAGCAGGCTTCGCACGGTCGCATCTTGTGTCATGATGTCAGGTAGAGTAGGCAGTCGGCGACGCCCAAGACTAGCATTTACCCTGTACTTTGGGCTTCGTTTGAGATCCAAATCTGAGTCAAATGGTTAGGTCAGGGTCTGGCGGTGAAGCGAGGCTCAGCTCGTGGATGGCATGTCATGGGACGGGCCGCTGCTTCGCTTCTGACGTGGAAAATTCTGCGCTTAGATTGCATGGCGCGAAGTCTATAGATGCCCAACCTTGTGTCTACAAGAATGAATTGTGCTCAATCAATTGAACACAATTAGCCTCCTCCTCTCAACCATAATCAATGATCAGTACTACAATCGTCAAACACAATTCTCAAAACACGGGAACTTTAATTAATTGATGGCAGGAAATGGAATGGCATGTTTAAACGCGACCATAAGGTCACACTGTGCTGCACAGTATCGTGACGTGTAACCTTGAGTGCATGCATAAGACTCAATCCAAGCATCACCAACATGCTCACTCATCATCCATCAATTAAAAAAGCTCAACGGCTGGCTAAGCTCAATGGACAAATAGCAAAACACTAGATTGAAGCCAAGCGATGTTTCATCTTAAATTCCCTGGCAGGAATCGCGTTTATCTGGAAATAACCTGCTTTATCTCATTTGCCCAGCCACCAACCTTTCGAGTATCTGCGTTACAATCACTGGGCGCCAAGCAGAGACACCAATGCATGGAGCCGTAATGTTTCAGTAGAGTCCATACGAGAGAGGGAACGTGGAGCAATAGAAAGGGCCTAGAAAATGTACCCAATTCGATGCATCTTTAGTCTGTCTCTTTATTGAAGAAATGTCATTCAATTATGGGTAAAGATCAGGAATTGGCGTCATTCAAAGGGAAAGCCCAATTAACACTGTACTACAATTGGGCGGCTGGGGTGTTGTCTACAGTGGGCCATCCGCCAAGTCAGTGTCGTCGACACCCCTGAAAAGCCTGGACTGGACCTGACCTGGATGGATGGCATTGGATCCCAACCACGGGATAAAAAGAAAAGGGCAGAACAGAAAAGAGAGGGCCAACCTCGCCCATTTCCAGCCATCGCGTTTCTGATCTTGTAACTAAAATGAGAATAGGGCCCGGGAGATAGACGCTGGTCATTTTTTTCTCTTCATTCCTTTCTCTTGTCTTGTTTTGTCTCGTCTTGCGGTAAGACAAACGCTTCTCCATCACCGCTTTTCTCTCTCTCTGTCTCCCCGCACTCTTCAGTACATACAAACAACACAATGGATATGGCAACAATGGCGGCTCCTCACCAGCCGAGATACAATCTCGAGGATCCTGGCTCTGGCTTCGAACCTCGTAATGCCCGCGACGCTCGCGAAGCAGCTCGTGCTGCGCGAAACGGCCAGAGCCCGCGATACAGACGCCCTCAATCTCCCGACGGGCTCGACGAGTATCGTTTCCAGAGCGAGGAGGGCTCCGAGATGCGCTCTCCCACTTCTGACGTGGCATTGCAGGACGCCATGCTCGCACAAGCACAGCAGCAACAACAGGTGAGCTTTTCTCTTCTCTCATTTCGCTATCTATTTCCTTTCTATCTCTTCCCCTGCGCCGCTAGAGAAGAACGGCTCTAGTCTGAGCAACATAGTTTCTCCGATTTTTTCTGTTTTCCCCTGAAGATTAAAATAAAATTAACTTTTTGGCTAAAAGCGTGTCGTTCCGGTTGGTCAGGTTGCGCGAAACGCCGGGCAGCGCAGACAACCACCTCCAGGTCAACAAGGTCCAGGTCCCAACCTCAACATCAACGGTCCACGCGGTCCTCAAGGTCAACAACCTATGCCTCAAACATACAACGGACCTGGTTCAATGGATGGTCAGCAACAGCCCAATGGCCCCCGAGAGGGTGGCCGCTACAGACGTCAATCGCGTCGCACTTCCGACTCTGGCGGATCGCATGCTGAATCCCCTACGCGACCAGGCCCCAACACTCAGCAGAGCCGCATGTCTCAATCTATGGCCTCAGAACAGCACCAGCAGCAGCGCCGCGGAGTTTCCCCCGACCGATTGAACATTCCCGGCCACGACATCAGTCGCCTCCAGAGCCCCAGCATCCAGAAGAGCGTCCTCCAGCCCCTCGAGAAGAAGATCCACGAGTACGACCACCTCATGCACGAAGCCCAAACGCAGATGGCCCAGCTCGACGAGGAGCTCCGCGCCCTACAAGAACGTCGCCACGCCGCCGAAGCCCGCTTCATCGAGGCCAAGACCAAGCACGACGAGTACGAGCGTCAGCACGAAGACGTCGGTCGCGCTCTGCGAGGGGAACTCGTTAACCAGGCACCCCCAGCCCCCGCTCCAGCCCCCGCAGTTCGCCAGCCACCCATGCAGCGAATGGACAGCATGGACAGCTTCGACCAGCGACCCGTCAGCCAGCAGAGCTCCTTCCACCAGAAGCCCAAGAAAAGTGGCATGCTGCGGATGAGCCTGTTCAACAAGAGCAATTGACGGCGCAAAAAGGGTTGAAGGGTTATGAATTTATGCGATAATGAATGAAACATTCGGTCGGAGAGAAAAACATGAACGGGACGGCCTTTTGTGTGGTGCTTTTAATTACGGGTGGTTTCTTGTTTATTTTTCTGTTTACGGCCATTTACTGGACCTTTTACTTGGACTTACATCTTCTTAATACAATTTGGATGTACATAGGTTGATGGGGCCTTTCGACGATATCGCAGCATTGTCCACTCTCGAAAAGAGTGCGACAGAGTACCGATGGGGGCTACAAGTCGATGTTCATATACCATGATCTTTGAGGAGGGAGTGGCAATCTTACAATAACATAACCCTAGTACCCATTGCAATAGCTTATGTCGATGCTATCAGGAGCGCATTGAAGTTGTCTTCATTTCTCGCTCAGTACCAGAGACAGCTGCAATGCGCTTTTGACAACATTGACGCAGGCTATTGCAATACAGACAGGGCTTGTTATTAAAGTAATCCTAGAACTATTAGTTAAATTAATTGCATTGCATATCTTTTTGTTACGCTGATGGACCTTGCGACACGAGTCGATGACGTCAATGAAGCTCTAGAGATTCGTGACAAAGGTAGAGTCGATCATCGCGCCCGACAGGACACCGTTACTGCTACGGACTATGACAAGAAGCGTAACAGGATGACATTGAACCGACACATGCTCTGTATTGTACACGACACGATCGCTTTTCTCGGATGATAGGATCCCGGGTAGTGTCCCGTCTCCGCGTGCCAACCATTGCGATGCTATGGAATTGAGTTTGGGAAGCCGCTTTTTGCTTGCTGCTAGGCCTTTTCGGCGCAGTACTAATTGAAACCCTGCATTTCCGGAATCAAGGGTCCAAGACTTCCGAGGCGATGGACGCGTATCTTACCAAGACATGTCTCGCTGTGCAAGATTGCTACCCTGTACTTGCGTATCTCCATGGTGTCCGGACGGTTTGTGAGAGTATTGCGCGTACAAATGTGAAGGCGTCATGATAGGATACAAACTCAATGCCTCGAGCCAAGTTGTTTCTCGGGATCTAACTTTAGTTGGGAATATTCCCGTGCATTCACACGCGGGAAGCAATTGTCATTTCACATTAAGATCCTTTTGGCATCACGGATAACGCTCGCCGGCACTAAATCCTCTTGAACCCCGTTTAAACTGCCTTATGAGGCTACAAACCTTCAACTATTGAAGTCAAAGAGATGATTGTCTTGAAGCCCATTCATTATAATCTCCGATTCCGTTCTCTTGACGGAAATCCCGTAGCAAGATGTCAACGGAACGCGGAACAAGCGCTGTAGATCTGGACGTAGGGGTTCAGATGCGAGGACGTCATTGGCTGCAATTTCTACAGTGGCTGATCTACCGTCCCGCGTATCAGTTTAACCCTTGTAATTCTGTCGGCCGACCGTTGCTTCTTTAAATCATTCCGAGCCCTGTCTAGAATTGAGGCCTAATCAATCTTCAGCAGGTGAAGAAGTTGACAGCTTTTGTGCATGCATTCGGGCGTACGTAACCACTTTGGCTCAGCTGTGAGCTGAAGTGCTGTGCTGTGCTGTGCTGTGCTGTGTGGCGGGGCCTGGCCCAATGTTATAGTGGCTGATCGTATCGCCACTTTAATGCAAACCAAGCAGTCAACAAGATCGTTTCATGACAAGTCACACAATTAACGGCGTTTGTCTAAATGACTTTCGAAGCAATCGTTTCGCTATTCGGATCCGTTACCGAATCTTGAAGTCGTCATGTTTTATTGATGTCTGGAAATCTCCGAGAACGAAACAGCCTCGCGACTACTACTGGTACGCCCCATTGATGATGCGCATCGTCAACTGCTGCCCCTGGCCCCTGAGAATGGAGACGGAATGGCGTCGATCCAGGAATATGTGACATTCAGTGGTAACGAAACAAGGAAGGTGAATAGATCTGATCTACACCATCCCTTGGTTTCGTTCTGACTCTTTTCATCTGACTCTGAATGCTTTTCTTCATTAGGAAAGTCATTCATTGCGGCTTGTTCTCAGCCACGTGGAAAGACAAGATGATCACCCCTGGCCTACAACCTACTGTAGTCCTACTATCTACCGACCAATCCTTTGCTTGGTGAGATACATGAGACGAATGCCTGATTCATTTCCAAGGATATCACCCTGCAGCTTCTAGTCTGAGCTTCAGAATACCGGACCTTCCGTAATGACTCGCCCCGCAAGTTGGTGTCTTTAGCGCTTGTGCTGATCAGCTTCTAGTGCCGCCATTCATCCGTCGCTAATTCCCGGTACGTAGCGACTCGTCACTCATTGATCAATGCATGTGGATGTCGTCTATCATTTGTGCACAGCTGAGACGCCGGTGCTGCAGATATGGATACATAAATGCCCCGTGAGCGGACCCACGATTCATGGATGGTCCCTGAAGTGTGGCGGCGATTTACCTCATGCTATAGACTGTGGACTGTTAGGTCCCTTAAAGAGTCTGCAGAGCCCGTTGATCGCGGTCCCTTCGTGCCTGAATCCTTTTAACTCTTGGTCTTTGTGTTAGCAACCATGGGGAGCCAAGCCGACTTCGTCGTTGAGGCGTTCACATTACTATCAATTGGCATCCTTATCATCTTCCTACGAACATACGCACGATTACGACAGGTCGGAATACGAAACTTCGAGGCCGATGACTGGCTTATGCTACTGGTTATTGTGCCGTACACGATCGAGACGGCCCTTGCATACACTGTCGGCGCGCAGTTCCGAGGCTTGACGAACAGTGGTATGACGGATGAGGAACGCAAAGCCTTGTCGCCAGACAGTGATGAATTTGCATGGAGGGTTGGTGGTTCAAAGATCCAGGTTGCTGGTTGGGTCATGTATGCTTCGGTGCTTTGGCTTGTCAAGACAGCGCTGTGCGCTTTCTATTTTCGACTCACGGTATGTAATAGGCCTGCCACATAGGTCATTACTAACTATCCTAGGCCGGCCTTGCGGGTTATAAGACACGGATCTACATTGGTTTTGCATTCATTGCCGCGACATACATTGCTATCATCTGCTGTATTCTCTTCAGCTGTCAGCCATTCAACCACTTCTGGCAGATCTATCCCAACCCAGGCAGTACGCTAAGAACCTCACTCAATTTCGAAGCGACCTGCTGACCAGCTTTAGACTTCTGCCAACCGGCTTTGTCCAAGATCTACATCTTTGTTATTGTCTGCCTCAATATTACTACCGACATCTACCTGCTAGCGATCCCGATCCCAATGTTATGGGGAGCCCGAATTCCCAAGGTTAAGAAATACGGCTTACTGGTTCTGTTCTCTGGCGCTATCTTTGTCATGGTCGCGGGATTGTTACGGTGCTTCCTCATTCTTCAGGTACGTAATCCCCAACCTACAACCAAGAAACTCAGTACTGACAGACTCAGAACCCCGATACAGGTCCCGAAGAAGGCGCCTCATGGGCCGTCCGAGAATCCTTCGTCGCCGTAGTAACTTCCAACCTCCCCAGCACATGGGGCTGGATGCGCCAGAAACTCAAACCCCTCTTCGGCTCACTCTTATCTTCGAACAACGTCAGCTCAAAATACAAAGGTGCCGAACCTGGAAGCATCATGCTTGGCGACGGGCGGGGTTCAGGCTGGAGGAGTCGCAGTGGTCGGGCAGACAACGGATTAGCCACTGTGAACTCCGAACACAATGTTTACATTCACGGTGGAGGCGACGCCAGCTCGGATGAGATTATTCCTTCGATGCCGGATGGGATCAAGAAGGATGTTGAGTTTACGGTGCAAGAATCTGAGCCACGAAGATGAGGGGTTGGAGAGCGATGTGGAAGAGTGATTTTTTATATACCCAATAGAATGCTAATGTATATTTTTGAGTTTATCATTCTCGAAATGCACAGATGCACTTCGTGAAACCGGGTTGTTGTTCTGACCGTCTACTTGAAGACGTGAGTGGGTAGCTGCTTTCCATTCTCATCAAACCGCTTGGGAATGACGTTGAGAATACCATCGATATCCCGGGGCTCATAATCCAACAGGGACGAACCCAAAGTAAGCACATCAAGCCCAGAATTCTCAATAATCCATTGCGCACACATATCCATTCCAGCAACAGCACCGCCAGAAGTCCAGATATTCCCATCAATAATCCACTTCTTCTCGTCTGTCCATTTGACATTGGGAAACTTCTGCTTCATGAAGGAAACGGCACCATGATTGATAGTGGCATTCTTGCCATCCAGAACACCCGCCTGCGCAGCGAGCATAGCTCCGGTGCAGGTAGTCAAAAGCAACTTCCCAGCTGCAACATGTCGTCGAATGAACTCTGCGTACTTTGGATCAAGCTCAAATGTGCTGGGATCAGGACCTCCCAGAAGGAGTATGTCAAGCTCGGGGCATTCCTCCACTGTGGTTGTCGGTAGGAAGGATAGTTTGCGGGCGATGGTGACAGGGTCCCGGTTGAGACCGATGAAGTGGAAATTGAATTCCTTGGCGCGAGACATTGCGTCTGCGTCGACTTCCATCATGGGCTCGCACTCTTTCAGGTACTCTTTGCTGCATGAATTGAAAACGTCGATGGGACCAATGACGTCGAGCGCCTGGAAGTCGTAGAGAAGAGTGCCAAATTGGATAGGAGCCATGATGGAAAGTTTGGAGCGGTAAGAAAGATGAAGTGTATGTTGGTATGAAGATTGAAAGCGAAAACATATATTCAGTAGGCCTTTTATAGTTGAGGAGACTCCGGTACTCGATGTAAATGATCTTTTAAAGGACACAGAAGGCATTGTATATATCCGAGGGCATTCGGAACTTAGACGATCCTTGTCATCGCAGTGGATCTTGTGTCAAGGGTACCAACCAGTGAAGAGGCCGCTGTGCCTTAAATGCCCCCGTCGAAGATTCGGCTAGATCTAGTGCCGTAAAATCGAGAGCCGGAAGTCCATGAGCTTCCGGACCATAATGAATTAACTCAAGACTAGATCGGGTTTTGTCGCTGTATGTGTGGGCCAGCAACGTCGAAAACGGGTTCGGACCCGACGTGCGGTTTAGTACAACGACTTCTAGATGGAGAAAACGAGCTAAAACTGAAGGATGTGAATAACAAAATGTTGGGAGTCCAATTTCCGATAGACTTCATGATTCTGGGAGGAGCTCGGTGTATTGAGTGCGGACTTTCATATGTCCGAACTAACACTGAGTGGACCACAAATGGTTTTGCTGGTTGAGATTCTGGTGATATCACGACTCATAATTTATGTCATGGCATTGGAAGGATGCAATTCACAAATGAGGGGCATCGTACGGGATCGATCATCGAGTAATCATCATTGAAGCCTCTTTAGATATTAAGTCTGATGAATAGATGAGAGCTCACTGTTAAGAGGTTGATATACGATAGGCTTCAAGCCTGCTTCGCTCTCTCCTACTCAGACAACAGTATTCGTGAGAGTCAAAGGTTTATTTTGCCACTCATGGGATCCCCGCAAGAGGAATTGAGTTCATAAATAACCGTGCCATCCTCTCTTGTCCTCTTCCTCCTTCGATCATCTTCTCGCATCGAATCTGCCAATTGACAAGATGGTCTCCTTCAAGCTTCTCGTGGCCTTCATGGCCACCTCGACCAGCGCAGTTCAAGCTGTTGCTAAGGAAGACCCTGACTGCTTCACCAAGTGCGCGATAAAGATCACCTCGATTGATGGCTACGAAAAGGATTGTGCAAACTTCGCTCATATGCATGGAAACACGCAAGTATGCCCTGTTACCTTGACAACATCATCGTATCTAACACATGTTTAGGGCTGCCCGGTACCACGGCTCGGTCCCCGAAAAATACGAGGATATTTGCGGGGATTTGATCGACTTTGCCAATGCGTGCTACTGCCTGCCCTCCCTGCAGAATAAGCGCCCCGACGAGGACGATAGGAATGTCCGGTGGAAGCCCAGGAAGTCCAAGAAGCCCAAGAACGACGCAACGAACCAGGCCGAAGATTACAAGGAGAAGAAGCCGAAGCTGAACAACGAGGACAGGGCCGAAGCCTTCAAGTTGAAGAAGCCCAAGTTCAATGACCAAGGCAAGGCTGCCTACTGGGAGGGCAGGAGGCCCACGAAGACCTTCCCCGAAGACAGAGTCGACAAATACATGGAAGACAGGATCCGGTACTTCAACAAGAAGAAGCCTGAATGTCCCAAGGGTAAGGGTTGTGATTGTGACAAAGACTGTCCCAACGAGGAAAGTGCCGGTGACAAGAAAAAGGAAACAAAGGAGGACAATAGCCGTAACAACCAAGAACTCGACCAGGTTGCCGCTGCAGATACTCCAACTTCAACACCCACAATCATAACAGGAGAGTTCCGAGTGGTTGCGCAGACTGTCACCGAGCAACAGACGGCGACAACAACAACCACTGCCTTTGCTACAATCACTACAACCAACTCTACCACAGTCACCACAACCAATTCTACTACAGTTACAACAACAGACTTTACCACACTTACCACAACGACAACCACTACTCCTACAGGCACAGCGTCTACACTCCCTTTCGTCCTGGGTGACCCCGCAACATGCAATGCTCCAGGATCATGTAGGCTTCCGTCATCCCCATGCGGTCCTCCTGACTCGCCCTGCTCTTGTTGGGCCATTTCAGAGGGTCATAGTCTCTGTATGCTTGAGACCAATTGTACGGGTCTCCAGCAGTGCTCATCCTCGAGAAAATGCCCGGCGGGACAGATGTGTTTCACCAATACTTGCTGTAGTCGTGGTGGTGTTTGCATTGCTCCTGCTACCAATGAGCAGTGTGGTATCACTGCCCCCCAGTAAGATGGTTAACCACCTGCTGATCTCAACCATGGTAAAGATAATGCCGGATTTGAGAGGGCTTGTTGTCAAAATTGAAAGCCGTTGAGTTGGGCAGCATGGCTGGAACTATCAGTCATTAGATAGAATAGTTCGTTCCTCCCAGTTGACTTGTTTTTGCTATGTATCTTAGTGCCATGAATTGTGACCATGTGAATACGTTTTGTACGCCATTTGTGTAAACGTTATGTTAAAATCTCCCCGAAAATTGATTAAGGTTAGAGAGATAGAAATTATACTTTCTCGACATCCAATACATCAAAGTCCTACGAATATGAACTTCAACAGAAATAAACCTTCCTATTCTTACACAGAATATGCTTTGCTTACAGTATTGCGGATGATAGATATTGCATTGGCCGTTATCTTTGTGTTTGCAAAAGATTGTGTATATCAGTTCCTTGAATAGTCAGAGTCGTTCGATCACTCAAGTCGGTAAAAAGTTGTGGTAATCCCATAAAGTATAATATAGAAGCTCTTTATCTACCATCGCTTGCTTTTGCATAAGGCTCTCTAATCATGGTAAATAAAGTAATAGCGTCCCCATTATCATCGCAAACCATCTCCTTCTGTAACTTGAACCCAAAGCGACCATAAATAGCCACATTTGGCTTATCCCGACTTGATTCGAGATAGCATTTCATGTTCTCAGCATCGGCCTGCTCGGTAGTGACCTTCATCATCTTTGCTCCGACACCTTTTCCTTGGGCCTCGGGCAGAACAACCATGATATTGAGGAAGTAATAGCCTCGAGGATCAGTCCAAACCTCTGACTGGGCCTTGGCCTGGGCATCTTTCCAGATATAGTATCTCTGTAAAGGTCATAAGTAAGCATGCGAGAATGTTAAAGACGGATTACCACTTACTGTCACATTGAGCCCTCCACGTCCATATACCAGATTCATCCATACCTGTCCGAAGTACAGTCTCCAGCTCTCAAGCCAGTCATTCCAAGTTGCAGGTTGATCTGCCGGTTGTGGACGCAGCCACATGGCGACGCCGAGGACCTTATCGTTGCCCTCTTCTTTTGCAACGTGGAAGATTCCATTTCGCATTCCCCATCTCATCCTGATGCCGAGAGACACTGAGTTTCTTTGTGGATTGAACTAATAACTCCCAACGTTATTAGCTATGTCTCTGAGCTATACATATCGACACGCTAGGTATCTGATGGGGTTGAAGATTACTGACATTCTTATGGTCGTACACCCATTCATTATATGGATCTCCTGCGAATGCCTCCCTTGGGAGAATTAGCCATGATAAGTCCTCCTCACTCAAGTATCATTTAAGTACTTACTGAACAGCTTTCACAGCGCCGGGAATATCTTCTTCCTTCAAATCTGTCACGTATATCGTCATGATGAATAGTATCAAAGAGCTATAACTTTGATTGACGAAATCTGTTAAGGATCAGGTCCAACGGGCAGCAACACTGACTGGAGTAAGTACCAATGATAAGCTGCTTAGAAGCGCTAAACCTCGGTACACCAAGAGAGTGATTGTGCGGGGTGGAATGCAGGTTAATCTGCTTCGCACAGACTTGCCTAATTAGTCTAGATCGCCAAGATGATAGCTGAGACCTCCCCGCCATCTACAGATTGCACGCGCCCGCATGTTTCACCCGGAAAGAGAAAGTAGGAGCGAAGAGATAATTAGTTATTTTGTGAGGTCTACAAGCGGCTTGAGGCGTCTCATAGAGGTAGCTCCAAAGTCTGTAGACGGACAAATCCTTTGCCACAGACTCTAAGTCAAACTCCAAAGCCCTTATTGTTTTCGTTTGCATGCTAGAGAATCTCTATCTAAACTCTCATCGCCATGGACCCTAAGATCGAGACGGAAAACATGAAACAGTCAACTCAAGCATTCGCCGGTACGGCGACGGCTACCCACAGTATGTTGATACCAACCGGCAATACACAGACAGCAAAGTTTGACATTTCCGTAGGCTCAGTTATGTCCCAATTCATGGCGAGCATATCTACAGCTATTCTTAAAGACCCCGGCCTGCCTCGTTCAAATCCTACAGTATCTGCATGGCAGATCCCAGTTCATCCCACAGTGTCCTCTATCCAGTCAGCAGTACTGCCAGAGCAGACGGACTTTGTCGTTATTGGCTCTGGAATCACTGGCTGTAGCGTCACTAAAACCCTCCTCGAGCACAAAGCTGCAAAAGGCTCTCATGTTACTGTACTAGAAGCGCGTACGCTTGTAAGCGGCGCAACAGGGCGGAACGGCGGACATCTTGTAACTGCTGCTGGCCACACGTTCGGCCCGTTGGCTCAACAGCATGGGCTCGAAGCGGCCCAGCAAATCACACGATTCAGTGTTCTGAACATTCAGCATGTGATGGATATGGTTAAGGCTATGGACAAGGAAGTTCAAGAAGACTGCCAGATCCGTGATGTGCGAAAGGTAATGGCTGTTGGGGATGACGAGACATGGGCTGCTGCCCGAAGCTCAGTATTGGCTTTCCAAAAGAACGTTCCCGAGTGTAGCACTTATCATCGAATTGTCGACGCGGATGAAGTGCCGGAGGTAAGAAAAAGTTCTCCGGAGATACTTACCAAGAAGCTGACCTTGTACAGAGATGGAATATTAAGGGAGCATCAGGCGCTGTGGAACACGATGCAGGGGCCATCTGGCCATACCGTCTCTTGACTGGCATCTACGAGCGATTGTTAGCTCAACACCCAGATCGACTAGCCATCGAAACACATACACCAGTTATTCGTATCAAACTCCAGGACCACATTGACCCGGATTACCCGTATCTAGTCACAACACCTCGTGGGACTATCAAGGCCAAGAAAGTCATCCACTGCACCAACGGACACGCATCACATCTACTTCCTCAACTTGCTGGCCGGATATATCCTTTCAGAGGTACGATGTCAGTCCAGAAACCAGGACCACAGCTCGAGAACGTGGGAGCATCGAAATCCTGGAGTCTGTCGCACAAGTCAACACTTGATGCGCGAACAGGATTATTTGACACAGGTCTTTACTATCTCCAGCAGAATGCCCTGACAGGAAGGATCTGGATCGGAAACGAAACAGCCTATATGCACGATATCTTGACCTCGGATGACACATATGTACCCGACAGAGCAGTGCAGGCCCTTTCAACTGTCCTTCCAAAATTCTTTCTTAAAGGCTGGGGTACTGAATCTAGTTCGGAGATTGAGTCGATATGGTCCGGTATTCAAGGCCATACTGCTGATGGATTGCCTATTGTCGGCCAAGTCCCTGCTTGCGTCACCGGGAGTAATCAGGATGACGGGCAGTGGATCGCCGCTGGCTTCAACGGGTACGGAATGGACAAGTGCTGGTTGACTGGTGAAGCTCTGGTAAAGATGATGTTGGGAGAAGACGTCAGTGCTTGGTTTCCGCAGTGCTATCTCGTCACTGAGAACCGTCTTCTAAGTCAATTGACTGCCGAAGCTACGGTCACTAAGTTTGCTGGATTGGCTTCGGAACCTTTGGAGGCAAAGCTCTAAACTTCAAATATTCGGTAGAAAGTACCATGGTAGATTGACTCGGGTTTAAATATTGTTGAGCACTATCTAACCGAACATAGTGCCTAACTTCTTCTGATATGCCACGTCCAACCAGTAAACATGCTGTTCCCCAGCATCAAGCGCCGACCAAATGTGATTGATCAGCTGAGAGATGGCCCGCGTCTTTTGTAGTGGTAGTATGTGTGTATAAGCTGCAAGTCGTGACGCTAGAAATTTGCGAGCTTTGCTGACTCGGAACGGGAGTTGGTCAAGACTGGCGAAACCACCGTTTTCGAATGTTTGCTCAGAATTGATCACCAGCTCACTAGATACTGCGACCATAATGAAGGGTTGAGCGCTGCGGGTACGAGACTCAAACGGGATATCCTCCAATATTTTAACCACATGCAAGGCCAATTCTGTGAGCCAAACCTGTCTTTCCTCAGCACTAGGGATCTTAGTCTCTGGCACAGGATGAAGTATGTTGGCTTTGTCCCAGGCTGAGTAACGATCGATAAGTAAGTCTGGAAAGACACGATACAGTTGCAATAGTCCAGTGTAGCGATAGGCGTCGTCCATAAGCTTTAGGTGAATTAAGGATGTTTGAGGGTCACCAGGGTCTTTGATATGAGACAAACTGGGGAGCTTGTGTGCGAGAAGGATTCGCTCTAGACGCCTTGCTTGGCGCAAAGCGTCTCTAAAAGCGTCCATATGCTGCTCTGTCATGAAACCAATATTCGACATGTTCTTCCTATAACTGAATATGAGAGCCCCAACGCTTCTGAGAACTTTGATGATCCGGCGGGAAATGCCACAATATGGATGAGGTTCTATCGAGTTCGTTTGATCCGCGCAAGTTGTGTCAAAAACCTCCGACCTTTCGCTATCTGTCAGATATGCGAGCAGCATACCCCAATAGTCCATAGTTCCAGAGAAGAAGGAGGACGTCGGGTTCTCACCATCTGCAGCCATCTCTTCAAGCATATTGCAGCTTGACTTGTACATGTCCGGCGCAAGATTGTTTGGACTGATCCAGCTTGATGTGTGTCCCAAGAAGGTCATGGCCAAGGTCATAGCTTGTTTTTGGCCAAGCGTCACTCCCTTATTCCTCACAAACTCCAAGGCAAGACTATGCTCTTGTTGAGCTACCGTTTGCAAGTAAGGGAAGGTCTCCGATAGGCATGCGGCTGCCATACTTTGGATGGTGTGGTGAAGGGCACCGGATGACTGCCATGAGTTTTCGACTATGCTCCGCATGGTGTTCAACTTGCTGTCCCAGACACAATAGAGAGGAATGACTTCTGTAAAGAAGTACTCAGACAGAGCGGTCGGGATATGAAGTATTTGACGTGGTATCTCTTCGACTTCATCCCCTTGTCGTAGTTGGACTGCGTCAACCGTCTGACATGGGGTTTCCGAATGATCTTGCACTTGGGCCAGTACCACTTCAGCCTGTAGATTATGTGGAACGTCCGATTGTTCCACGACGCTGAATGGCGATGGTAGATTTCCTCCAGCATCCGACCAAGACATGCCATTCAAGTCAGGACAGTCCCAACTAGGGACTGGGGATACTGTGGACTCACCGCCTAACAGTAGGACAGCGTCATGAACGTTTTCTTGAAGTGCATTTGAGGATGTGACAGATCCCCATTGTTCCGACGAGACCAACCAGAGCGAAGCCTGATCTTGTTGAGTTGATGTTTGATCAAGCTGGCTGCATGTTGTTGACTCAACAAAAGGTTGCTGTTGCGACGCGTCTTGAATTGATCCAGTCGTTGATCTGTTGGCACGCATCTCATGCTTCTTAGACCACCGCACGTTCAGCGCGTACCCAGGACATTGAACACCACGGGTCTCGCAGCGGCCACAGGCTGGTTTCCTCTCATCGCATTTTATCTGCATCACTCAATTAGACAAAATACTACCAGAGCTTTGCCTCTATCCATTCACCTTTCTTGTTTTACATCGGACACAACCGCCTCGGGTTTTGGCATGGAATGCCTTCGGTGAGAAGCTCATTTCGGAACCCTTTGAACATCAACGAATGTTCTGAATGACATCTGTGTAGCTGTCGCTCCCTTCTGCCTCTGTCTTCCTCTTGTTATTTCCCCGCTTCTCTCCCGGACTGTCAACCGCGAGCTGATAAGACCCCGCGTGATAAGCTCCAGCTAGGGAGTTGGCCGAACTTGAGTCTCGCATAGACTTTCCGGATTCATCTTAGCTTCAGATCATTACTACTAACACCACGCAGCGCACTTCCTCATTCGCCATGGCTTCAACTCTTGGAGTCTTGTCATTTGAGATAAGACCTGATGGCTGGGGTTATTAATTGCCATGAGTTCTCCAGTCTTCAAGATCTAGATGCATCTTCCCATGAATGCGACCAACAACATGGAGTCACATACATCTCCCAATCGAGTCTCGATAATGCCCGATAAGTCCGACGAAAAGTACCATGATAGCGAACCCGGCCACAGCGGCTCGCTTCGGCATGGAGATGTCACCATCCAGTCTGTGAAGCCATTCACGACCCTCTCCGCTCTCGGCATTGGCTATGGAACTACCAACACCGCAGTCGGTCTCCTTCTCGTCCTGGGCAGCACTCTACCCATGGGTGGGACACCCCTCTTTTTCTGGGGCTTCCTTATCCAAGCTCTCGTCGGTCTCGCCACCGCAACGACCCTCGCAGAGTTGGTGTCGGCCATGCCACATCCTGGCGGTCAATATGTATGGGTGAACCGTCTCGCACCGGCTAGATACCGCCGTGTCCTATCCTATTTCACGGCGGTCATCAGCTGGATAGCTGCTGTTGCTACCGGTGCCTCCGCCTGTTTATCGGTTCCCGTGGGTGCTTGTGCTATTATCTCGTTGCTAGACCCTACTTTTGTGTATAAGCGGTGGATGGGATTTGTTGGGTTTCAGCTTCTCAACATCATCACCGTCATTTGTGCCAGCTTTGAACACGCTCTGCCCAAGATATCGAAGGTCATGCTGCTCTTTAGCTGTTTGACCATTGTTACCATATTCATTACTCTCTTTGCCATGTCCGATACACATATACCAGCCAAGGACTTCTTCACCAAGTCCGTCAACATCTCCGGATGGCCGAAGGGTATTGCTTTTATCATCGGTATGAACGGCGCCAACTGGAGTTTCTCCTGTTTGGATGTCGCCACACATCTCGCTGAGGAGATGCCTTCACCAAAGACTGATATCCCCAAGGCCTTGATGTGGACCATTGTTGTTGGTTTTGTCTCTGGTCTGTTGGTTGTTATCTCCGTGTTGACCAACGTCAGCGGCATTGATGGCGCCGACGACAACTCCGCTGTAGCTCTCTTCTATCGCATCACTGATAGTAAAGCAGCAGCTGTAGGACTCTGGGTTCCAGTACTTATCACCACGGCTGGTGCAGTTTGGTCTATCCAGACTTGGCAGTCTCGTCTTGCTTGGACCATTAGCCGCGAAGCTGGTTTCCCTCTTTATCGTCATCTCAGCAAACTTGCACCATCGCCACTACACACTCCTATCTGGTCATTGATCTGGTCTGCTTCGGGCACTGCCGTCTTTGGGTGCCTGTACCTTGGTTCGGAACTGGCCTTCAACTCTCTCATCTCGACAGGTATTCTGTTACAGTATATCAGCTACAGCATTCCCGCTATTCTTATGCTCAGTCAAGGTCGATCCAACTTCCAACATGGTCCGTTTTGGTATCCGAGACTTGGACTTCTGGCCAACCTCACGATGTTAGCTTGGACTGTGGTTGCTATTATCTTCTACTGCTTCCCTTATTACAAGGCCGTAGTAGCTGATCAAATGAATTATGCATCGGCTGTGCTTGGTGGCATTGGTGTCCTCACCATATGTTTATGGTTCTTCTACGCAAAGAGGAATTACGAAGTGAAGGAGATACTGGAAGACTAGGTTGCCATTCTCTAGGAGGTGTTGTACTTGTTAAATAGTTGACTAATTATTATCATCGAATACTCAGACTCTTCTATGCATGCATCATCGTATTTCTTTGTGACATCTTATTCAAGCAAAGGTTGCCGGAGTGGCAGTATCTTTATGAAGATTTTCATTATATTGATCCATATATATACCGTTGAAGTTCTACAACATTGTTGCTTCAGGCTCTACATATATGTCCTACTTCAAATCCACTTCCATCATACCTATAACCCAGAGTCATGGCTGTTTGCTAGTCCCCAATCTAAGACTACCAGTTTCCGAATTTAGTCGGTGGTGACCATGAGCCACTCACCGTCAGGAACATCACCAGGGAGGTACTTCTGGATGCAAATCTCTCCGTCACCGATGCCGATGTTCTCACGAGAGCAGTCGCCGCTCAGGTCAGCCTCGGCGCAGAAGAGGAGAGGAGTAAAGGTAGGGTATCCAGAGTGACCAGGCTCAGGAGCCATCTGCTTAGAAACAGATCGCTCCTCAGACTCGCCCTTGCTGATCTCGTAGCCGTCGGAAATAGTGTTGACAAAGACGATGTACTCGGAGAATCCAATCTCGGTGCTGTCCTCGTGGGATCGAGTGTTGACGATCTCAGTGCCAGCAGTGTAGGTCCAGGTCTGTCCGCAGGTGGTCTGGTCCTTCTCGCAAGTCTCCTCAGGACCCATCTGGATCTGCTGACCGAAGGTAGTGTAGGGCTCGCTCTTGAGGTTGATGATGCACTTGTCGTCCTGGCGCTTCTTAAGGATGGGAGAGCGCTTAATCTTGGTTACATCCTTGGCCTTGGGGGCAGGGACGCTGCGCTTCTTGGAAGGCCAGTCGCTGATATCATCGTTGCAGATAGATCCACAGCAGTAGCTATAAGTGTTTTGTTAGAGATGCACTAGGAATGGAAGAGAGGTATCAACTTACGCGTATCCAAACTTCTGAGTCAGTTCCAAGTCAGCACAGAAAGACTTGTCCTTCTGGATCTTGCGGTAAAGTCCATTGCGGCAAGCATAGGTCTCTCCCTCTTCCTGGGAGCCAGCGAGCTGGTAGAAGAGCATGCTACAGCCCTCACCGAACGCGGAGGTGTCAACCCAGACAGGGTATTTACCGTTGGCAGTAGTGGGCCAGCCAGTGGGAACGATCGTGGCCGCGTTGCAACCAGTGTACTCATTGCCGTTATCGTCCTCCTGGGTGTTGATACCCAGCTGGAAGGACTGAACGGAGAGGTCGTTAGGGTCAGGATCACAAGACTCGGTGCTGTAGAGGTTGATGTCTGTAGGCACCTGGGCTTGAACCCGGATGGCAGCAAGGGCCATAGAGAAAAGGGAGGCCTTGGTCATCATTTTGAAGACTGGTGAATGATACAGGCAGAAAGCTTGAGATTGTTGAGGTTGGATGGGTAGACTGTGTGATTGCTGGACTTGCTGATGAGAATAAGTTAGTTTTCAAGTCTGAGAGGTTGATTCTTATAGATGATCGGAATGCCTTCAAGACCTCTCTAAACACGCATCGAGATGATAGTTAAAGTCCATGACGTCTTGTTCGTGATACGAATTAACGTTTTTGTCAATTTCTCAACAAGTTCCACTCGTAGGATTCGAAGGATGTTGTCCCGTCCCAAATAAAGCCTCCGATCACGATGATCTCTCCGCCTCCCACTTATCGAGGTGGAATCAGCCTCGTGTCTAACTTTCGTGGAGATAGTTTCAAGATCAGCAAAAACTATGGTCCCAATCCATGTAGTATCTTATCCACTAATCCTTCTATAGCAGGAAAATGATTCCCGCGAGATTTATTGTCCGTGACCCGCTTATCCCCCCTGGTCAACTGCCGATTATCTCTCCTGAAGGATTCGCCAAGACTGGGCGCAGCAAAGAGAATAGGTACGACCCCATGGATATCGTGTAACAGACAGCTCGGAATGTCGTCATGGCGCGCGGATTCTCCCTTGTAATTCTCCGCTGAAGGATCTGACCTTTCTTCTTGAGGAGGTGTAAACAAGTTTAACCTCCGAGCGCAGGGCATGATCGGCATTGAGCGACCAATCAGCGGCTACTATTCGAGACATCAACCTCATTAAAGCTCAATCCTTCAATGCGACCGCCTGTCACTGCCCGCATTGGCACGGCATGTTCCTTTGACGTCGAATCAGGAGACTCTTTCGGTCTATTACTGGACTGTCTATACCCGACCGGCCGAGTACACGATAGAGAAAACCGATAGAGTCGTGGAGAGATTATTGTGGGAAGATCGGTGACTTCTTTGAAGCCCGTTTGCAGATCACTCAGGAACATGGATCAACAGGAACTTTGACCGATTCAACAAGTTTTCGCGACGTTGAGCCGAAGACAACAGCGTCATTCAGTCAAGAGGATTGAATCCTTCAACGCTGATCACGATTGATGCATGAAGCAAGTTTAGATTCGGTCTTGTTAGAAATGATTCCGTGACAAGAGTGTCCTCAGGACATGTATAAAGTTGTTCGATCAACCACCCTTCTCTCAATCTCATCCACACTCAAACCTTCAAGCACAAGCCATCAAACCACTGCTCAATCTCTACCTCTAAACTCAATCTTTTCACTTAAACACTTTCCCAACCTCAACCACAAACAACCACCAAAATGCACGCCTTCAGCGCCCTCACCACCCTGGCCATGACCCTCTTCACTGCCCAAACCACCAACGCCTGGCTCCTCGAGTTCTGGGGCACCCAAAACGTCTGCTCCAAGCCCGAGGGTAGCGCCGCAGATAACTCAGCCGGCGGTGAGCCCGGCCAGGGCAACGACTGCATGACGGCTTACTACGACCTCAATGCCATGCTCGTCAAGGACTGGGATGACGGATGTACCGTTAAGTTGTACAACGGAGTTGGCCTTAACTGTGATGGAGACGTTATCGTTGAATACACCAAGGAGAAGGCCGAGGAGGATGCGAAGCTGTCTGACGATGGTACCTACATGTGCCTTGTTGACTTGGGTGGTGAGCCTGGACCTTACTTCGCTTCTTACACTTGCGAGTAAGAGGGGAGATTATGTCATTCTCATTTTAGGCTATGTATGTAACGAATACCAAATCATTTTGCTAAATCTTACAAAGTTTCGGTGTCTTGGATGTCTACCTTCTCTAAACACATAAGTCAATATTGTTCTCGTGAAATAAAAGACAGAAAGTCTCGGAACGAGTTGAACTTGTCATTATCTTAGTTTAAATGCTCAATGCTACTCTATGTGTACAATCATGGTCCATCATTTCAATAATATAGGGTAAGGTTCCCATCGTATATACTATTGCAAAAAGGGAAATTCGTGATAATACTGGGGATAAACTGGAGAACTTGAGAGCCAAGACACGGGATATGCACTGCACCACGGAGATTAATGTGGATGTTGGTGTCTTCGGCCGAAAAGCTCCTCGGTTATCAATCAGGAAAAGGTACAAAAAGGACGTAGATATGAACATTTATTAATCATTATTGCCAACATTCTAGTTCGAGACCATTAAAGCGCAAACCAGATCACCTTGACATGATGATACAGTGAGTCATTACATTTATTAAGTATGGAATTTAATAGGTTTTATAGTCCACTGTCAACAAATCTTAGTTGGCCAGGATCTTGGCAACAGCAGCCTCAGCAGCAACCATGACAATAGTTTGGACGTTGCCAGTGGCAAGGTCAGGGTGGATACTAGCGTCAGTGACGAACTGTTTTCTGTTAGTCTCTGCATAACGACGGGTATAGAGTTTGACTTACAAGGTTGTCCATTCCATAGACTTTAGCATTGGTGTCGACAACTGAACCAATCTTGGCAGTACCAACGTAGTGGTTTCCGTTCTGGGGAGCAGCAAGAATGGCAGTAGCGTTGGTCTTACCCTGAAGGGTGTAACCAGTGGAAGCATCAGTGATGGAAGAGATAAACTCCTCAACAAAAGCCTTGGCAGCCTTGGTATCAGCCTCGGTAGTAAGGTAAGGCTTCTTCTCGAAGACAGTCTTGCCATCCTCACCGAGACCCAGAACACCGGAAGAAGTGAGACCGTGGGTCAGGTAGACCTTGATAGAGATGACACCCTCACCAGCAGCAGAGGTAGAACCCTGGAAGTAGCGGGTCTTACCATCTGATCCCTTGCGAGAAGTGAAGAAGATGAGACGGTGACGGCCCTGAGTGAGAACACCAGAGGACTTGTCCTCAAAGAGCTTGATGTTCTTGGTGTCGGTACCGTTGAGAACGCTGTCAGTGTCGAGCATACCCCACTTGCCATCAGTCTTGACGTTGAAAGAGAAGATAGGGTGGTCCATGAGCTCCTGACCGACAGGAAGGTCGATCCAGTTGCGCTGAGAAGGAAGAGTAACACCAGATTTCTTGGCGTTGAGGATCTGCTTCTTGGGTCCGATACCAGAGTTGATCAGAAGACGGGGAGTAGAGAGAGCACCAGCAGAGAGGACGACGCGACCACCCTTGGAAAGACGGATGATCTCCTTCTTACCATCGGCGGTCTCGACCTCGACACCCTTAGCAACCGAGCCAGATCGGACAACGCGAATGACCTTGGTGCCCATCTGGAGCTTGAAATTGTCGCGCTTCTCGGCGAGAGGGAGGTAGGTCCTGACAGGTCCAGCACGAAGAGAGTCCTGGACGTTCCAAGAAGGCCAGCTGTAGACCTGGTGCTTCTCGTTGGGCTGCTTGATCATGTCAACAGACTTCCATCCAGCCTTGTTCAGGAACTTGGACAGAGTCTTGTAAAGACCAGTGTCGTACTTCTTGTTGTCCTTGGAAGGCACAAGAGTACCAGGGTTACGAGCATACAGCTTCTCAGCGGCAGGCTTGATATCATTCCACTTCCAACCCTTGGGCCACTTGTCGTTGAAGTCGCGCTCGGGAGGGTGGACAAACACCATGTAGTTCACGGTGACACCTCCACCGAGAACGCAAGCGGCGAGACCAGCAGTGTCATCGCACATGTACTCATTCCAGATGTCCAGTCCACCGACAGCAGCGGAAAGACCGGGGACGTCGATGGGTGTAAGAGAGTTGTCCCAAGGAAGAGTGTGGTTGGAGCCGGTTTCGATGGTAGGACCCTTTTGGCCGCGTTCGAGGAGGAGGACCTTCTTGTTGGCTTCGGAAAGTCGCTCAGCGGTGATGATACCGGAGGGGCCACCACCAACAACGATGTAGTCGTAGCCAGTGTCGCAGTCGGCGGCCAGCACTGAAGTCGACAGCGCGACGAGGGAGAGAGCAAAGAAGCGCATGTTGGTATATAAAGAACGTGAATAGTTGGTAGTTGGTATGGTGATCAAGATCTAGATTGGCGCACTTCTACTTCTAATATACTGAACAAACTCTTCTTGATCTCATTTACTTGCCCCATTCCATCAGCTTCCTGGAACCCTGTTTCAACGTTTCATCGTGGAAAAAATTCGAGAACTAAGAACCAAGGCGTCGGAACACAAATACTTAGTCAGGAAAGTACCCTTATTATAAAACATGTTGTTCCCACTCCAACTTGACAGTTCTAGTGCAGCCTAACCTAATGGAAAAAGAATTATCTCTGGACAGGTCGGCAGTGAGTGCTCGAGTCCAAGCCAGTTCCGGATAGCCGGGTAGGTAGAACCAGGTTTACATCCCTGCTCAGCCATGATTACTCAGGGTTAGTCAAACACTAGCTTGTCATGCGAAAGCCTTGATCCGAAGTGCCGGAAAAATCGAATGGAACTTTTCCAGAAGAAACCAAGAGCATGTGTCGGCTACAAAATATTGCTGTGCGCTCATCTTATCTTTTTCCAATGCTGCATTACCTCGTTCCTTCGATGTTCTTTGCCGACCGGCGAGTCATGCACCATTGCATCCCACTCTGAAGATCCCACCTGCCAAGAGGTTCCATCGTACCTGGTGACGCTAACCTCATCAAGGTAAAGAAATCGTGGATGGACGGTTCAATCAGAGGGTCACGGGCGTTGATCCCTTGCAATTCCATCGCAGGATACCTTTCAATTCGAGCCTTGTGACCATTGAGGCCTGAGTCCATCTTTCGACTCTCGCCAGCTCGCCTTATTCCTTAGTCACTCTCGCCCGTAGATTATAATCGCCGGCGGTAAGTTTAGCTAGTGTCTGGGCGCGCCCACATCTGCCGACTGGTGTCACAGTACAGAGTAGGCGTGATGTCATTCATTCCCTCAATGCCGCCACGGTTTAGCAGAACTAGTCATGTCGATGAGAAGCCATCTAGCCGTATCTAAAAGCTCAGGCACAAATTCACCACGAGAATCGTCATGAAGTGCATCAATTGCTGAGAAAGGACAGCCTAAGAGTCGACCCAGGCTAAAGATAGACCGGATCTGCCGAGGTTGGCTCGTGTTAATGGAGTACCAAACCCACTTAATTTTACTCGGCGCACATCATGTCTACACGGTCAGAGCGTGCAGCTGGCTATAAGGAATACACCATTTCTCTCTTTTCGTAGTTGATCATCTTTGCTCTTCATCCTTCAAGATATCAAAGTAGGGACATCAAGATGGTTGCCACTCGTTTCACCAAGGCTGTCTTGGCCTCTTCCCTCGTGGGCGCCGCTTCGGCCGCTGTCCTGGACCTGCCCGTCTTCATCAAATGGGGTTACGTACGTATGCTGAGCAAAATACCTTGCGCTGGAGTGTCGACTAACTGGACTAGAAAATGGTTGAGTTTGACGTTGGAACACCTGGTGAAAAGTTCCAGCTCGTCTTCGACACTGGAAGTTCCTCTGCTTGGATTGTGGATGCCGATTGCGCCGAGAATTGCTCACACATCTTGAAGGGCAACCGAACCGGATACAACATCTCTGAGTCTTCGACCGGAAAATTGACTGGAGATGATGCTACTATCGAATACCTCGGAGGTGCAGTCGAGGGCCCTACCGTCCAGGACAAGCTCTCTGCTGGCGGTCTGACCTGGGACTCCAAGTTCATTGCTGCCAACACGAGCAACTGGTCCTCTCTCCCTGCCGCTGGTTTCATGGGTCTTGGATTCGATAGCATCACCGATGGAAACGCCACCCCCATTTTCTCTTCCATGATGCGACAGAAGCTCGTTGATGAGCCCAAGTTCGGCATCTACTACTCTGTCGCCGACGGTGATGACACCAACGGAAAGCCTGGCAACGGCCTCCTCACTCTCGGAGGATCTCGTGAGGACAAGTACGTTGAGGGCGACTTGATGACCTTCCAGATCGGCACCAACGATGGCGACTTCGACGTCTGGCGATCCGGTCTGTTCGGCCTCACGGGCAACCAAGGCAAGAACCAGAGCCACAGGATCGAGACATACGGCATGACCACCGTCTTTGACACTGGCGCTTCTAGTATTACAGTCCCCAAGTCCTACATCGACGAGCTTTACGAGTCCATCGGCATGAACTACAGCGCCATCCTCTCCCATGATCACGTCCCCCTCTGCAGCGAGTTCACCAAGGATTGGTCTGTCACCTTCAATGTCGGATTCTACGATAACAACGTCAACATCACGGTACGAGGAGACCAGCTCAAGCTTCCTGGCTTTGCCAACCGTGATGACGCTTGCTGGCCTCCTTTCGATGACGGTCCTGAGGGTTATGCTCTTATTGGTACCCGATTCATGCGAAACTTCTACACCGTTTGGGACTACAGCCTTTTCCCTGGTGAGGAGGGATATCAGGATCCTAAGCTTTCTTTCGGTTACCTCAAGGAGGGTTTCTAAACTTTTAATCAGATAGATGGTTATTTCATGACATGAATGCCAAAGCGTTGATGAACATAATTATATAATAGTCTCAATATCATATCGTACATACTTTGCTATCTCGTCCCTTATGCTTTATTACATTGAGAAGTCTATAAGCGCCCAATTAATACTTCCTCCACTCTCCCCAAAGTCTTGCGCGCCCGTCAAAAACTCATTTAACCAGGTTGTCTCATTGATTGGCGAAGAGAATAATGTCAACCCCGGAAAGTCCCATTCAAACACGAACTGGTCAGGCACAAACGATTCGAGGTCGGTGTACCCATCTCGTCGCTCTTCTGTGGCATCGACTTCCGTGGGGTCATTCGTGTCTAAGTTGAGCCCTCTTTTGTACTTCTGAATGCTCTTCTTAAGAAGCTGGAGGTAGAGCACACTTGTATTCGATCGACTGTCGCCTCTGACTCCACCGGCAACAGCTGTTTCTAGTTCATTGAGTAAAATACTCGCTTTTGCGACCAGGTCGTGCTGAGATTGCTGATCTTCTCCATCAGGAAGAAGAGCGCATAGCTTGAGTAGAAGTAAACAGCAAAATGTGTTTTTTGCCCAAACAAAGTCCATGGCATATCGTATACTCTTGAGATAAAGACGGGGCTCCTGGATGATAATGCCGAGATGCTGTTTTAGCGTCGCCTTGGTCATGTCAAGAATGGTTTTCTGTGTAGGCGACATGACATTCACGTTCTCCACGCCTGCAGCTCGCACGGCGCGACAAAGAGCCATGTTATCAGCCCAACATCGTTGAACAGATAAATTCGGGACAAACCATGGCATAGTTTGGTGATGTGGTTGAGAGATACGTATCCAATCATGGAACCAGACATCGATATCAAGCTTGGCATCTCTAACCAAATCCATGATCTCACTATCGTTAAGGTTTGCCTTCTGCGGCAAGGACGCATATATCTTGGCGCGAAGAACATTCAGTTCAACCTGAGCAAAGAGATAATGATCCATGCCAGTAGAGAATGGACTTTGTAGAAGGATTCTGCATCGTCGTGAAGCACCTCGGAATTTGAACGTGGGCACACCGCCGGCGTCGACGTGGAGGATATAACTCATGACCAGGAGATGAAGCCACACTCGCGCTTTTCTCATACGCGTGTAGTTGTTCTCAAGTGTCGCTGGCTCGCCATTGGAAAGTGTATCGCCCAATACAGACTCAGCAACGAGGGTATCATATGCTTCAGTGAATTCAAGATCCATCGCCATGCGTGTAGCAATCGCAATCAAAATCGCTCTTTCACCAGCATAGCATGCCTGAACTAGTAAAGCCTGCACTGTCTCAAGATTGCCTGTTGACGGATTCGCGATGGCGGCATTAAGCATACGCTGTGTCCTCAGCGCGAGTGTACGCCATCTAGAATTCGTTCCGTTCAGAACCCGACATCCCACTGAGCAAATAGTAGTGAACAGCAAATCACTCCTACTCCGGATTGCTGGAAGGGAATCATATCGCGGATCGAAGACAGGAACATACCGATCACAGCCTGAGAAGAAAGCGTTAAAGTATAACTCTGATTCCTCAGTGCTAAGATCGTCGTCGTTGAAGACGTTTGCAACAGCAGGAGTCTCGGTTTCGAAGGAGGATCTGGGCCGTTTTTGTGGTCTTGGGAAGTGGGATGCTGTCTCCGGAGAACTTGTACTTGTTGAGACTGCTAATTGAGATGGAAGATTGGTGTAGCTAATGTTTGCTGGAGTGTTGAAGGTTTCTATGGGAGGGAATTGAAGTGATCTCTGGTTATCAGGCGCATAGTCGTTGGGAAATGACCCGGCTGTATGAGATGGCTCTGGTGGTAGTCGTGCTCTTAGCAGCTGGATCTCTTTCTCGAGTTCCTCTATCTTCCTGCCCACCCAATCAGCAAGTTGTGTTTTACGTTTACGTCTAAATGGCGACGAACAACTCATGAGGTTCTTTGGGCTTTTCAACAAAGTTGCACAATTTCTGAAGTTGCTGGCATCTGAAGGTCATCAGTAACCATTATGTCTCTCGACTTCAAGATACATACCGCGAACAAGGTCGTGACCCGTCGCATTTCACCTATCGCTCCTATCAATAATCTGCCACAGTCCAGTCATGACTTCCTGCATACCTTACTCTGCCGACATGAACCGCATGATGTCTACACTTGGTTAGTCCATAGAAGCTTAGGTGAAGCGGTGTCAATACCGGAATACGCTTCTTACGAGCGCGAGACGAAGACCCTTGTGCAGATTCGGCAGTTGGTTGCCCGATTGTCGGGGAATCTGTCTCGTTAGTTACCATGTTGACGGCGATAGCAAAGAATGTCCGATGTTGATAATGCGGGGGACGACACAACGGCTGTGAGTGCGGCTATTGGGAACACACTTGATAGGGTCACGAGAACATATTGTGGAGTCGCATCGCTCTAGCCCAATTTCATCTTGGCGCATTTCTTCTTTCTACGATTAATCGCGTGCAGTCATTTTGTGGCATTATACGAGTTCTGACATTTGTATTAAGCAAACTGCTTTTGGAGTAAAAGGATCGACAGTCTCATAAAGAAACAGGTGGTTTAATAGCGTAGACAGACATGCATTGTCGCTACCCCATGGGGACTGTCGGCTAGCTTTCGGACTTGGTCAAGTTTGTCCGAACTCGGCTAACAACCCGGCAAGAAACCATCACGAGCTACGGACTTGACCACGATTTGCCGATGCCAACGTCGGACAATGTACACCAAGCCCGTTCAGCACTTGTCAATGAGGCCATCTTCGAGAAGGATTCCCCGCTAGACCTCAACATCATATAGATTTAAATAGAAGCTCTCCCCGCATTCATCATCATTCTACATCATCAGTCTCTAATCTCATTCACACATCTTCATCATGCCTCAACGCGAGCGTATTCCCACATACTGGGGCAAGGACCCCTCTACAAAGGACTCTTCCGCTCCTTCGGTCCATCTCAAGTGCAACGACTCAACTCTTCCCTTCGAATTCTCCTTCGAAGCGGTCCGTCCTAATGTCTTCCGCACAACTTTCACATCCGCGACTCACCCTACCCCTCCTCATCCTAGCGTTCCCCGCGCTGAGACAAAACTGGATGGCGCTCAGCCTAATGTGACCTCTTCTGAGAAGGGCACCAAGATCCAGATTGGTGATGTCGTTGCCAACGTCGATTACTCTGGGGAGACTCCTCTTCTTTCAGTTGGCTTTGAAGGAAAGGATCCTATTCTTCAGGACCTTCCAAATCGGTCTTATACCATGAACGGCGATGGTGTCGCTCATTATACCATGTATAACCGCAAGACTTTCCATGCTGGTCTTGGAGAGAAGGCTGCACCCATGGATCTTTCTGGCCGGCGATTCCAGCTTTCAGCGACAGACAGTTTCGGATATGATGTCCACCGAACAGACCCTCTCTACAAGAACATCCCACTTCTAATCAACGCTACCCCTCAAGGCTGTGTAGCTATGTTCTCTACCAGCCACACCCGAGGCGAGTACTCTATCGGTTCTGAGATGGACGGTATGTGGGGTTTCTACAAGGTCTACCGTCAGGACTTTGGTGGTCTTGAGGAGTATATCATCACCGGCAAGACTCTGAAGGATATTGTTCAGACCTACGCTGAGTTGGCAGGCTATCCTCTTCTTGTGCCTCGCTGGGCTTTCGGATATCTGTCTGGTGGTATGAAGTACTCTATGCTTGACAGCCCACCCGCAGGCGAAGCTCTCATCGAGCTCGCCCAGAAGATGAAGGACCACGACATTCCTTGCTCAGCATACCAAATGTCCTCCGGATACACCGTGGCTGAGAAGCCTCCCAAGAACAGACACGTCTTCACATGGAACAACCACCGATTCCCTGACCCTCAGGACTGGATTAAGACATACCACAAGATGGGCATGCGCCTCATCGCCAACGTGAAGCCTTACCTGACATCATCGCACCCCGAGTACGAGAAGCTCAGGGAAGCTGGTGGTTTGTTCGTTGACTCGCATACCAAGAAGCCCGCTGTCACTAAACTCTGGAGCGCCGGTGGCGGCGAGAGAGATGATGGTGGACACATTGACTTCACTTCTGAGGCTGGTTACAACTGGTGGTACAATGGTATCAAGAAGCTTGCGGAGGAGGGTATCGATTGTATGTGGAACGACAACAACGAGTACACTATTCCCGACGATGAGTGGGAGTGTGCTCTCAACGTCGGGAAGGACAAGCTCAATGTCCCCGAAGGTCTCGAGAAGCGTCCTCAGGTTGGTCTTTGGGGTCGCAGCTTGCACACCGAACTCAACGGCAAGGCCTCTCACGATGCCCTTCTCGCCGTTCACCCCGACTCTCGTCCTTTCGTTCTTACACGCAGTGCAACAGCTGGTACTCTCCGCTACGCATGCAGTTCATGGAGCGGTGACAATACTACTAGCTGGGACAGCATGCGAGGATCTACCGCATTGGGTCTCAATGCCGGTTTGTCTCTGATGCAATGCTACGGACACGACATTGGCGGTTTCGAAGGTCCCCAGCCTGATCCGGAGCTGCTACTTCGATGGATTCAGCTGGGTATCTACTCTCCTCGTTTCGCTATCAACTGTTTCAAGACTGGCAAGGATAACTCTGTCGGTGATGTTATCGAGCCCTGGATGCATCCTTCCATCACACACCTTGTGCGCAAGACTATCAAGCGTCGTTACGCTATGATTCCTTACATCTACTCTCTCGCTCTCGAAAGCCACAAGACTGCTGCTCCTCCTCAGCGATGGGTCGGCTGGGGCTACGAATCTGACCCCGAAGTGTGGAGTCTTCTCGATGGAGAGGGACAATACTGGTTCGGTGACTCCATGCTTATCGGATGTGTGTCCCAGCCTGGAGTCAGCAAGGCCAGAGTTTACCTCCCCAAGGCATCTGAGGACGACGAGGGTTACTTGAACCTCAACGCACCCTACCAATACCTCGAAGCCGGTCAGTGGGTCAACATCGATGCTGAATGGCACGGTGCCGGTATTGCTGTCATCGGCAAGGTCGGCCGCGCTATCCCCGTTGGTCGAGACGTCCAAGTCCTCTCTCCCGGTGAAAAGGAGAACGTCGCTGACCTTCCTCTCGACGATTACCGAGCTGTCGAGATCTTCCCTCCCCAGAAGGCGTCCAAGGGTGGCAGGTGGCATGAGAACACATGGTATGAAGACGATGGTACCTCGGTGGTTACGAAGAACAAGATCTCATCTTATACTCTGTCTTACACTGCTACGGAGTCTGAGGTCAAGGTCAAGTTCTCTCGGGATGAGAGCTCTGGCTTCGAGGCACCTTGGAAGACACTTGTTGTTATTCTGCCGTCTGGTGATTTGAGGAAGGTTGTTAGCGAGGATGGAAAGCAGGTCAAGTCGCTGGGAGTTAATGATGAGGGTAAAATGCGATTCGAGCTTCAGTAGCTGTTTCCAAAAGCGTAATGATTGATTAGCCAATAAAACTTTCACTGTTCCTTCTCATATCTTGTTGATACCAATATTGCTCTGAGAATTATATGACAAGATATAAGAATGTCGTATTCAGACTTTGCCTAAGCCACTCAGTAAAGCTGTGACTAGAATCAGTCTTCGACTGATTTTCCACTATTCCTAAGCCAGATGAGACTCCTTTCCAGTCTTCTTCTCCAGCATATGATGATCAAACAAGATACCTCGAATCCTATGCTGAAAGTACAATGGCCCCTGCTCCAGTTTAGGATGCATTTCTCCATTGACGAAAACTCCTGCATTGAGGTTCTTCTGAGCGTTGTTGCAAAGCCATTTGTCCTCAGCGAGAATCCTCTTGAACATCTCATCAATCGTTTTGAAGTCTTCATCGCTAGCATCTTTGTGTCGATAAACCTCATATTCCATGGAACAGTGACTAGCCGAAGTAGGAACGCAACGCATCAAGTAAAAGAAGTTGGGACTGTCATGTCAGATCTTGATTCAGGTTTGGTGGAGGTTTTACTTACGAGACGGTCATGCAAGCATTAGGAAAGTAATAGTTGCTCACTATCTTCAAGCCTGACTTCTCTGCCTCCGCGGTCGTGTTGGCGAAGTGCTCAATGTTACCACCCTTGGTATCGACTCGATAAGCTGAGAGGTCTGCTACAGCAGCAGCATCGGGATGAGCGGTCTTGCAATGATAGCATTCGTTGTAATTGTCCGCTAGTGTCTTCCAGTTATAATCGCCGCTCATACCCCAGGTGTGGTCAAAGTGATAGTCCTCGAAGTTGAAGGATTCGTGTCTCGCCATATTGTCGATGTTTCTGAACTCGGTTGACCAGTCTTCAGGGATCTTTGAGTCATCAAGATTGACCCAGATAAACCCCTTGGCGTCGACGCGTACATGAATAGGAGACGGCTCTTTAGTGGATTCATTCAATTCCTCTGCATTACCCTTTGCAGGGTATTCATCTTCACTCGCAACGTGGAAGCCATCAATGCTCCCTTTCTTGGTCTTAACGAGAACGAAACGGAAGCCAGCCTCTTTAAATTCCACCTGGGATCCAGTCTCAAAGAATCTGAGCTTGTGGCTAACGAGAATCCATTTCTTGGAGAAAATGGCTCGGCGCTCTAGGTCGTAGATTTCCTTAGACCTGTACCACGAAGATGGCAGCGCTCGGGCCGTAGACTTGAGGTCTTGAATGAACTTGGACTTGGACTGAGTTAGATTTTGCGAACGAGATGATAGTAAGTGCTTTTTGAGCACGGATATGAGTGTAGCTAGTCCTGCTAGAGTCAGGATGTAGGGAGTAAACGACGATGCGACATGGAACGACATGTTGGCAAGGATACATTGAGTCAGTGGGTATACAATGGAGACCGCTTAGCTGTTTTTATCTTGAGGACTTGACCGAATACAATCTAAGCTGTGCTCATATTCCAGCCACTGTCTCCAAGCTGTGGTCGGGAACGTTCCACGGAGAATCCGAAGAGATCCCGCTGGGTAAGCGGACCCACGGGAAGAATCCGTGTCGGTCCGCATCCGGTCTTTGGCCGACTACATCGTGACCCAATGCGATAACAAGTTGTATCTCTGGCTCCAAGCCACAGATCCAGCAATTGGGAAAGATCAACACAGTTGTATCATGTTTATCGCAAGTCCACATCTTCATGCCCGATAGGTGGCGAGTAAGACTTCGTAACCAACGTGGGAGAGTCCTGATCTCAAGACCTTCGATGCCATATGCAAACGCCGTTAAGTAGAATGTATCTGAGCATAACACTGAGCTCTTAGCTCTTACCAAACATCATGAGTAGAGTCATGTCTCTCCGTATCTCAAGTCGAGGTCAGTGCCCAACTACCCAGTCGGTTTCAAGGACTAGCAAGATACACTCACTCTTGGCTCGATAACCCGGATGTTCCCATTGGTGCCCGTATCTCTCATCTGTTACCCCGCGTAATCTCTGTGGGGTACTGGCTCTTAGTGTCTCCCTTTCCCCATTCTAGACTTGGAGGAGTACCAAGGGCGAAGATAGCCTTGGCTGTTAGTTTTCCGGTCTGTGATGTATAAGATAGAGATGGATCACGTTCAGTTTAGGATATCTAACTATTACCCACTTCTATTCATTCAGATATTTCATGCACACTGACTCTATCTCTATAATGTCGAACGTTCAGGATTCTACCCCGGCTGGACCTGGGAAAGAGAGTCATTCCGAGAAGGGCATCCCCAGCCCAGACAACGCGTCCTACCATGTCGTTTCTCATCATGCAACTGTCAACGAACTCGGTAACGTTGTAGACCCTGTTCTCAACGCAAAGATCCATCTAGTCAATGAAGTATGTACAGCCTATACCCCTCCCCACTATACCCCCTGCTAACTCCGCAAGACAATCAACGAGATCGGATGGACAGGATTCCACCTGAAGCTATGTTGTCTTACAGGCTTCGGCTTCGCGGCGGATTCCCTTGTCGCCTTCCTTCAGAGTGTCGCAGCATCCCAGGCATATCTCGAAATCGGCAACGGCGGCTATCCAACCGGCTCTACAATGGCTTTATATACTGGTCTTCTGTTTGGTGCTCTGTTCTGGGGTTTCAGCGCCGATGTAATCGGTCGTAAGATTGCCTTTAACACGACACTGTTCATTGCAGCTATCGCTACAATCGTTGCAGGAGCAGGACCCAATTGGGTTGGCTTTTGTGTCTTTGTCGCTTTTCTTGGCTTTGGTGCCGGTGGCAATCTTGTTCTGGATCCTACTGTTATGCTTGAGTTCGTTCCCGCGAAGCAGCAGTGGGTTATTACTGCTATTGCTGGTTGGTGGGGTATTGGACAGGCAAGTGCCGGGTTCATCGCTTGGGGTTACTACTGTAAGCTTCTTCACTATCCCATCTACTATAAGGGGCAGTCGTTAATGTTTGTTCTAATAGCTCGACCCGAATGGTCATGCACCGCAGAGACCGAATGCACATGGCAGAACAACAAAGGCTGGCGACTTATCATGTTTACAGGCGGTGCCTTGATGTTCCTCATGTCTGCTCTGCGAATTCTCATTATCCGACTTCCCGAAACACCAAAGTTTTTGGTGACATCGGGCAAAGAAGAAGAACTTGTGGCGATGCTTCAGAACCTGGCCAATACCTACCAACGACCATGCTCTTTGACAGTTGATGCCCTTCGAGCCTGTGGCATCACAACTGAATCTGAGCAAAGTGGACGTCCTTCCGCCTTCAGTGGCCTCGGTAAGAGTCTTTTTGGACATGTCCGGGGTCTCCTTTCCACCAAGAAGTTGGCTCTGTCTACATCCCTCATCTGGCTTTCCTGGACACTGATTGGCTTGGGATATCCACTCTTCTTCCTCTACCTGCCGTAAGTCATTCACTCTTCGCGCATCTAAGATCCTAGTCTAACATGAAAAGATCTCTCCTTAGCAGCCGTCTTCCCGATTATGCACCCTCCTTCACCGAGACATGGCGCGATTACACCATCACCAACATTTGTGCCATCTTTGGTCCTCTGATCGCAGCTGGTCTGGCTGAAGTTCAGTTCCTCGGTCGCCGATATACCATGGCCATCGGAGCTATCATCACAGCCATCTTCTTCTTCTGTTACACCATCATCCAGACACCAGCTCAGAACCTGGCTATCAGCAGCTGTATCTGTACGTTCTACCTCTATCTTGAAACGAGTAGGCTCTTGCTAATATTCTCTAGCGGTCTGCATCAACCTTTACTATGGTACACTCTATGCATACACTGCAGAGGTGTTCCCTTCTGCGCACCGAACCACTGGAAACGGAATTGCAGTCGGTCTTAATCGAATTATGGGTTTGCTTTCGGCAGTGATCGCTGTCACTGCAGACACTGCCACTGTAACGCCTCTGTACATCTCGGCCGCGTTATTCCTCGTAATGGCTATTATCTCTATTATTCTTCCCTTCGAGCCTTATGGACACAGTGCTTCTTAGCTGGGAAGCCTGTTGGTTGTTAGTTTAGTTCTTATTTTGGATCTGTAATATTATTTATTGTTCATGAACGCCTCCTCAGTGCACGCGAGTAATTGTAAACAAAATGAGTGGTGGTTGAAGGGCAAGAAGGCATCCTAGAACTGATTCATATCCCACCAATCCACATTCATATACAGACCCTCTCCCATAGGTCCCAGATTCTCCCAGGCGCCCCATGCAAGGTCATACGTAGCATTATGTTCACCCATTACTGTTTCGGAAGCCACAGTCATATCTTCAGTTCCTAGTTGGTCCATGTCCATCTGGGCGTCGGCTTCTCTTCTTTCCATCATCCACCTCGGGGGTGTAGCATACCGAGCTGTCGATTCTCGCATGTCAGCTGGGGGTGTATTCATCTCAGACCGTGAGACAGGTTCGTCGCCTCCACTGCTGGTCCAGAATGTCTGACTACGAGCACTTCGATCTCTATAATTTGGGAATTGAGGAGCTGCCACGTCTAGGAGTATCCATATAAGAGATGTTTTCACCGCTGCGGGAGAGCTTCTATTTTGTGTTGGTTCTGTTGATTGGATGAAGTGGTTCAACGAATCCTCCTGGGATATGTTAGCATCACCATGAGGTGTAAAGCTAGGAGAAAAGACGAACAATCGCTTTGCAAACCGGCCAATGGGTGGCCATTTCCTTGACAAGATTATGGCACAGCTCCAAATTCTCCACCGAAGACGCCTTCAACCTCGTGTCACTCGTCCGCGTCCAGTAGAGATGCAACGTACTTGCAATAGCGGCTGCCTGCGCAAAGAACGGATCCGACAAATGCAATCCTTTTTCATTGGCCGTTCTAATTAGTCTTGAAATCCAAGTGCAATGCCTCAAGGCTTTCTCGTAGGATGATCTCCAAAACGTGTTCCCACCTAATTTGTTCTTCGGTGTTTCTGCCATGGAAGTATAGAGACAGGGATGGTTAAGCACGCAATGAATAGCGTGGTAGGTGATCTGAACCCTTAGCCATGGGAGCAGTTTCAAGCGGTTGGAGTATACATCTTGACGGGATATCGACGGAAATTTGACTGCATTGTAGCTTAGACAAATAGGCCACCCCATCTCAACTTCGAGTAGTCGCGAGTAAAGTTTCGTATAATCTGAGTCCGGCTGCCATGGGTACTTGGCCTGCCCTTCAACACATTTGGCCACATAAAGCCTTATATCTGTCCAAAGGCTGCAAAGCTTCAGTGATTGAGACCATATATCGGCTAGTGGCTCCGTTCCTTCTGCCTTGGGGGTAGGAATGCAATCTGCCAGCGGATCCCCAGGTTCAGCAGATAATAACTGCGGTGAGCTGGTTTCTTGCAATAGGGATGGTAATAAGGTTGGAGCGCTGCATATGAAGCTTAGAAATTGAATGCTCCAGAATAGCTTGGACTTTGCTTCGGGGGTTGTGTCTAGATGGTTTTCAGGTATCAATTGGATCATGTTCTTTGCAAGAGATACATCGAAGCCTGCAGTAGTAATTTCACCAACTGATCAGGTGTTAGTAATCTCTTTCTCGCAGTAGAATACTCCTCTTACCGATGAAGTTGTAGTAGGCCAACAAACACAGTATCTGGCAGTGTTGAATCGTCATACTTCCTTGGGCAATAGCAAGCATCACCCCCGTTCTGGCACTTCTATAGTAAGTATCTGGACTTTCTAAGGCCTCTCCCATAAAGTCAGAGGTAGTATATGTGGTCAATAGGGCTAACATGGCAGAGACCAGACCATCAGATTCGTTTTGGGTAACCTCGTCAAACAGCCACAACGGTTGTCGATGGATATTTTGGTAATAGAACCGGACAACCCGTATTCCCAGATTATCTGATATAGGAGTTCTATATCGATTCAGTATGTTTTAATTAATGACTATGAGAGGTGGCAGACATACGACAATGGCTGTGATGCAGGTCTCTGCGGCGTGGGGACAGAAAAGGATGGCGCGCGGATAACCCTTTCAGGTGTCGATGTAGTCTCTTGTATGGAATCGGGTCTTTGTATCATTTTAGTAACAATTTACAGTTCTCATTACGAGGGTACCCACGCAACCCTGCTGATGAGACTGTCCAGCTTATCTTCAAGTTGCTCAAGTCGACTTGTCTACTATAGTCAGTCCTTATACAGTCGTTCAGTGCGTCAATACGTCAATGCTTCAAGGTAGGTACTTACCACGGTAGTATCTTGCTGGACTGCAGCATGGTCCTCTTGAAATGAACAGTGCTGGCGCAGACGGCTACACGTCGAACATCGCGGTCTTTCACCAGGACACCGTATTTTCTTGCGCCTTACCATCACCTTTTAGCGGATCCTGTCACAGTGGTTCATTGACTTGGCATACCTGCAATTATCACAAGCTTGCGCCACGCGCCGATATTGTCGTGTTCTAGGTGCACTCATAGCTGTGTATACATGAACTACGCGTGGGCAATTGATGTCTGGAGGAAGGTCATCGCGTTTTTAAGCAAATGCGGGGTGTCGGGCGCTAAATGTCAGCCCCATTTAGCAGTAATATTCCGTCCCACACCACTGTAATTTTGCGACACATGTCCTATCCCCAGATGGATCCGCAGTGAAGGGCATGAATGAATGCTATTAATTCTAGTCGTTTATTCTTTTGCGATAAAGCCAATTCTATCTACAATTTAGTTTCAGCCGCTACTCTAGGAATCCCAAAGTTAGAAATATCCTCCTTCGTAGCTCCATCAATTGCAAGCTCCGCAAGAACACGCCCAATAGCCGGCGCAAACTTGAACGCATGTCCACCACCAAGTCCGACAATAATATCAGGGTACCTCTTCAATGGGCTAATCACAAATTGACGATCAGGTGTGATAGCGTATTGGCATGTGATGGTTCGCAACGGCTCGCCCTTCTCAGGAATAAGGTTACCCATGAAAGACGTTAACTCATTAAAGAGCTCTGAAGAAGGGACAAATGTGCGGTTCTCGGGTGTCATAAAGTTGTTGGATGTGTCGCGGCCGGCTTTAATGGCGGGCTCGCCGTATATTGGGAAGCCGTAGAAGTAGTGATCGCCGGCCCAGATCCAGACAGGGAACTTGGTCTCGTCGAAGCGTGTGAGATCGGCGGGTTTGTAATATGTGACTTGCTCTTGCATAATTGTTAGGGGAATTTCTGAGCCAAGAGGTTTGAGGAGATTGTTTATCCAGGCATCGCAAGCCAAGATGACTTTGTCGACCTGGAAGCTGCCCTGGGATGTCTCAATTGTCAATCCCTTGCCATTCGCGTTAGGAATGACCGCATCCACGCGCGTCTTTTCCTTCAATGCTGCTCCATTGGCGCGAGCCTGATATTGCATCGCCGCAACAGACTTGGACGCATGGACAATGCCTGAGTCAGCAGTATAAATTGTCTTGACACCCTCCGGAACGTCAAAAGCCGGCCATCGTCTCTTGACTTCTTGTGCATCAAGCAACTCATACGGGATACCATTCGCATCCAAACTTCTCGTAAACTCTCCAGCACTCATACTCTTCTCAAACTCGTTCAGTTCACTCTCATCGGCAGCGGTCTTAGGGAAGAAGACCACGCCACCAGTGATGGTCAACATTTGAAGACCGCTGCGACGTTCAAGCTCAGCCCAATCTTTGTAGGCCGCGCGAGCGAGAGCTACATAGTCTGGAGATCCGTAAGATGTTCTTACGATGCGGGATGTGTCGTGGGATGAGCCGTAGACGTTGCCGAACTCGTATTGCTCGAAGCCAATGACGCTAGAGCCTTTGATGGCGGCTTGGTAGGCTGCGGCGCTGCCGAGGGCACCGAGGCCAACGACGGCAACATTGAACTTATTATTTGACATTCTGAATGTGTTGATGAGAATTTGAAGGTGATGCTACAGCTTGCTACGATGATTCCTAGGAGCACTTTATAATAGAGTCAACGGTTAGTGTAGATGGTCTCGCCCCACGTTACCTCTGTCCCCGCAGTCGCTTATCCAGTCTCATGATACTGCCCGAACCGGAGAGAATACCCAGTCTGCTTCCCCTCTCTACGCTAAATCCCCAGAGGCGCGGTATCGCTCTTGTTGCTGGTTATCGCTGTCACGTAAGTGAAGGAATCCGTCCCCACACGGAATCTTGGGCGGATTCTCTCGGATTTCCCGCTCACATACCGATCGCTTATCTCGTTGTGATAAGGCAATCGGCCAAGACGGTTCTATCTTAACAGCATGATAAAGGATAGATCATGAAATTATCATTTGGGTAGGCGGGCCTTCATAGTTTATATTAACATTAGCATCGCGACATAGTAAAAGGAAGCTGAGATAGGACATTAACATCAGTACCAACGTTTCACAGGAATCACATTTGGGTGTCAATTGGCAATTTTGGAGGCATGCTGTAACAGGTAATATAAGTTCATTATCATTGAAATAAATGCCAAAAGCTATCATGCGTATACTAAATCATCAAGCATGCATCATAATCATATGTCCAACATCATCCCATGGTACCAAACACTCATATTTCTGAGGAAACGAGTATTTAGTCGTATGCGATACCGGAAGGTGTACCAGAAGAAAGCTTGTTGTACTTTCCAGAGTTGGCGTTGTCCATGAGAGTGTGGTCATGCTCCTTCTTTCGCTCGGTGAAAGGCTCAGACTCACGCTCGGGTTGAGCGCCGGGCATGGACTGCTTGTTGGAGAAGTCATTGCCAGAGGTGTTACCCATCATACCAGTGTTCTCGGCCATACCAGACTGGTTACCAAGACCAGTGTTCTGGCCCATACCAGTCATGCCGGATTGGTTACCGAAGCCAGTGTTCTCACCCATCTGGTTACCAAGGCCAGAGCCGGTCATGCCAGACTGGGACTGGAAACCACGGTTGTTGTCGCCAGTGTTAAACTGGTCATTCTCACGTCGGTGGTCAGCAGGGTGGGAAGCGAGCGCACCGGCTCCAAGACCAGCGGCAGCACCAGTGGCGAGTCCAGCGCCTCGGTGGGAGTCTCGCTGCTCAGAACCAGGGTTCATAGCAGATCGCTCACTTGAGTAAGCGTCCTGAGAACCAGGGTTCATAGCAGAACGCTCACTAGAGTAGGGATCCTGAGACTGGAAGCCTTGGTTGGAGCCGAGACCAGAGCGCTCGTTGCGGTCATTGTCGCGACCGGCATGAGAGGCCAGGCCAGCAGCACCAAGACCGGCAGCAGTACCAGCAGCCATACCAGTGCCTCGGTGGGAGTCATGCTGCTGGTCGTAGCCGCGAGAGGAGGGGTCCATGGCAGAGCCCTCAGTGGGGTAAGCAGACTGATTCTCGTAGCCACGGTTGGACTCGAGGCCAGAGCGGTCGTCGCGGTCATGATCACGGCCAGATCGTGATGCAAGGGCACCAGCGCCAAGTCCAGCAGCGGTACCAGCAGCCAGGCCAGCACCACGGTGAGAATCGTGCTGCTGGTTCTGGCCCATGGGGTCCTTGTGAGAGAAGTTGGTGGGCTGGTTGGCCTGAGAGTCGTAGCGGTCGTCAGCTACAGCAAGGGCACTCAAGCCATGCATGTGCTGGGAGCCAGACTGTTGGGATGTAGCAGAGGGGTCGTAGCTCTGGTTGTCAAAGCCAGTACCGCGCTGATTGGCAGTACGGTCATCATCGCGACGACCATAGTGCGAAGCGAGAGCTCCAGCACCGAGACCAGCGGCAGCACCGCCAGTAGCACCAGTGGCAATGTCGCGACCGCGGTGAGAGTCGATGTCCTGCTGGCGATAAGGCATCTGGGTAGCTCCACCAGAGGAGGGGTTGGTGCCCTGGGTGCTGTAGTCACGAGAAGAGTCGAGACCAGCGGCGGGGTACTTGGTAGTGTGCTGAGTAGCAGAAGGGTCCTGGTAATCGCGGGCAGTGTTGTCGCGACGGTTGTCATCGTCGTGTCGGTCCCTGGTAGCAGCGTATGCTCCTGCGGCACCGGCAGCGCCAGCAGCACCTAGAGCAGGACCAGTCTTGGAGTGGTGGTGCTTGTCATTGTCATAATCACCGACACGCTCAGCATCATCCTTGTCCTTTCGGTGGAAGAGACCGCCAAGCTTGCTGTCCTTCTCCTTGTCATCCTTGACCTTGTCGTGGTGGTGGTGTTCCTTGTGCTCCTTGGGCTCCTTGTGGTCCTTGCCAAGAAGGGGGAATGCCCTGTGCTTGTGCTCCTCAGGCTGAGTCCTGTCGGCAGTCTGGTCGTACTGTCTGGGCTCGTCCTTGTCGTGGCGTCGCTCATTCAGCTTGTGAGCTCCGTATGCTCCAGCGCCAGCAGCACCAGCACCGGCGAGTCCTTCCTTGTAGTGCGAGTCGGATGTTCTCTCGTCGGGGCGTGTCTGATCACCAGGACGGCTGCCGTAGGGCTCTGTGTTGCCGAGGGTGTCATCACGGTCGCGTCGCTCGCTCAGCTTGTGGGCGCCATAAGCACCAGCACCAGCAAGTCCCTCCTTGTAATGGGAGCCAGATGTTCTCTCGTCGGGGCGCATTTGCTCACCGGGGCGGGTGGCATTAGGGTCGGTGTTCCTAGTGGAATCGTCGCGATCGCGTCGGCTAAGGAAAGTGCCACTCTCCAGAGTGCTACTGGGGTTGTGAGTAGCCTCTGTCGCACCGGAGTGTACATCTCGGTGACGTCGGGCTTCGTCTTCAGGGCTACCGTGGCCAATAACGGAGTTGTGAACACCGCCTTGGCTGGGGAGGTCACCCCAGTAAGGGTGCTCTTGGGTAGATGGTGCAAGAGGATCCTTCTGTCCCATTGTGCTGGACTCGGTTGTTCGGTCCAGAGTGTCATCCCGTCTACCACCGAGGGTATCGTCACGTCTGCCACCAAGGGTATCGTCGCGTCGGTCGCCAAAAGACTCGTCGCGTCTCTCAGACATGTTCTCATGGCCAGGCTTGTAGGAAGTACGGTCCTCAGAACCGGTCATTCCGACACTTGAGTCCTTGTAGCCATGGCTGCGGGAAGCGTCCTTGTCGCTCTCTGTCCAACCGCGAGGATCGTCAGCCTTGTGAAGCTTGTTGTGCTCGTATTTCTTGGAGTATCCCTCTCTGGTGTCGCTGGGCTCCATGTCTTCTGTGGGGAACGAACCTGGGGGATGAGGGGTAGCATCGTCGTTGGAACGGTCCTTGTGGAGAATCTCCTTGACTTTTTGTCCGAGGCCGCTCATTTTGGATGTCGGTTTGAGATTATGAGGTTTGGGTATAAAGAGAAAGAGAGATGAAGTCGCTGGGTATTATTTTGGTTGATGATTGTATTGGATAGAGATGTCCTGACTGTAATACTCAATTGACGCTATCATAGCTTCATATATAAATTGCTTCTCCAGCTCCCGCGTCGTGAAACAGGGACAGCTCCTCAGCTCTCAGCGTCGTCTACATCATCATGACCGCTCCGGGAACTAACAGATCGTGTGGGGTGCAGTCAAATCTGTGATTGACGTCCAGGTTTCCCAGCTTTGGTTGGTAGCATCCCTGTCGATCTTACTGTCTTGGGCTAAGGGCGACGCCGACTTCGTCATCCACATGCCCATCCGATTGTTCTCAACATCGGGAACGTACATTCAAACCTGGGATTACGTCTGCCTTTTTTATTTCCCTGGATGGCCTGGTCCAAATCAGCTGTCTTTTGCTGCACGACGAACGTGGATTGCATCATTGCGGCTGAAATGAGCCGTGGCTGGTCTGCCCAGGCCTGGGCGCGCGAAAACAAGATTGGAGGGAGCTGCAGTGTGTCTCTACTGGAACTTCCCAGTGGCTGGTGAGTCCCATTGGACAATATGCGCACGGTTCACCCCTTTCTTCTGAGAGCAGATCATTTAGGCCATCGATTTGACAGCTCACGATGCTCATAACAAGATGTGGTATCGTAGTTGGACATTGCAGTGATACCATGTACAAGGTGGATATTCACGTGGCCTGAGGGATACGGTACCATGTGTAACCAGCTCAATTCTTTGTCCTGGAGCTACCCTACAGCTTGTACGACAGTAAGCTCAAACAAGACAATAATCACATAATTGTTATGGCATTATGTCATTTGACCTCTTATTGCAGTTGATGATTTAATTTGGCCTATCACATTCAATTGATAAGTTTCTCTCTTGTCTTCTGTGGTTATAGAACCCGCATCGTACGCGATTAAGAGTCGAGCATTCAGATGGAAATCACCCAAAGAACATGCTTCTACCGTTAAAGCTGTGACGACCACGGCGTCATTTTAATTGGCTGAGCGTGTCGCACGGTCCCACTAAAGACGCGTTAAGAGGTACGTGACTTCTGAAAGCTGGCAGGTGCTTGACATTCCCAAACTGGAGACAGTTATCAAAAGCTGCGTTGTTGACAGACGACTGAGCAAGACAGTAGACAATCGTGAGTTCAGAAAGATCGCTTTATCTTTGATCGTTCCGTAACGCCGTTGGGGGAAATCTCTCGAAGTACTGCCCGATTCCGTGATGTCATGCCCTTGTCGCGTGTTCTCAAGATACCCGGGCTTAACTGTTAGCCTCTTTTTGTGCTCGGAAATACCACGAAAATGCCATAACAGAAGCTATCGAGATCTAAGGCACTGCACAGGCACAGCAAGACACCGGAAAAGAAATACTCCGGTAACTGCCTCCGCATAAGCTCGGATATCATAGCATGAATAATTATGCATGGATAATTCACTCCACATAAGAATTATGCCACCCTCCGTCATGTTTCCGTTTCAAACCCGCCACTCCGATCGACCAGCTGCAGACAAACATCCAACACATTCGTTGCACAGCCGAACAGCACAAATTCAATTGGCGGCCTAAAATAATTTGTCCAATCACTTCAAAGGCAGTTGATCCGTTTGGCGGCTTATGCCTGGGCTACGCGCGGCCTAGCGTTCTTTTTATAGAAATTACAGCGAACAATCATGTGAATTTGGCGAAGACGATACGAGGTGGTGGTCGAAAGATGTGACACGAGCTGATAGACGACTGATTATCTGTAGCACAAATAAATATAGTTTTACTGCTGCCTCTTTGTGACTGCGGAGTTTACTTTCGCAACCTTTTCAATCGGTGCTGGTGAATTTCTTCTCATCATGCGATCTTTGCTCACGATCACGGTTTTGATCTCGCACTGCTTACTTGCGACCGGGCATAGCAAGATGGGTGATGCACAACCAGAGGCGAGCGCTTTATTCTACGACTCCGATGCATCAAATCATGTGCGAAATCCGCAAAAAGATCCACTGCAGAACATGCCACTAGCAGAACGTTGGCGACAATGGGTGCGACGACAAGATACCGAAACAGACGACGATAATATTAATACGTCAACGGAAGAAAGACCAGAGACTCGTGAGAGTACAAGAGAAGAAGAAACAACAACCGAGGATGAGGCTACGACTACAGAAGAAAGATCGTCAACAACAGACCAACCGTCATCAACCACTGAAGAATCCACGACAGAAGCATCATCCACCGATGAATCCACCTCAGCTTCAACAGCTTCATCCACCGAAACAACAAGCGACCCAACCACTACTCGCAGCAGCTTCACATCCATAGAACAAGGCGCATCATGCTACAGCACTCATACTACAACCAGTGTAGTATGTCACATCACCACAGCCGGCCGTACAGAAAGCCATTCATGCATCACCAACACGATGACATCCAGTACATGCGCTCCAGGCCTCTTCTGCGAGATCCATCCCGATTCTGGCGCGACGGTATGCATGGAACAGCACAATGAGATTGGTACGGAGGGAATTGTTGTGGCGTCGATTTTCGCAGCCGCCATCGCGGGCTGCATGGCTGTTCTGGTCGGGATGTGTATAAGGGACAAGCGTGCGCAAAAGAAGTTTGAGAATTTGAAGAGGGTCAAGACTTTGAGGACTGCGAAGAGGGAGGAGCAGGCCAATCTTATGGCTGGAGGTCATATTTGAGGAACGCTTGTATGGCAAATTATTTGGACTCAAAGTAAAAAAGGACGGATAAACAGAACTACATGGCTACGAGAGTGAAATAATATGATACTATTTACAGACGAACAGGTCGAGGCCAGTCGGGATCTCGTGCCAACTCAACCTGTGCAAGGTGAATCGCCTGATCCTCAGCATCGTCAAAACTCTGAACGCTTGCAGCTCCATTTGGCTTAAAGTACGGTCCATCAACTTCGCACTGCGTCTCATTAGCAGCAGGCAAAGTTCCATTGTAAAGGAATCCCCGAACGTGCTTGGCGAGACAAAGTGAAGGAACCGCAACAGAACAGTGTCCGTAGCCCTTGACCTCGATGAGTCGCGAATCTTCAAAGGCAGCGAGAGCGGTCCTGGCTGAGACGAGAGGGCATACAGGGTCGTATGTCGTGGTAAGGATAAGCAAGGGATGCGCGGTCTCTACACCGTTGCGAGGGACGTAGTTGTGCGTTTTTGGGACACGCCATTGCTGTTTAGCGAAGAGCTGAACAATGTCGTCTGGCGCGAAGAGGCTGCGGTTGAAAGTTGGCACCACAATATCCAAAAGGGAGTCGAGATCTTGCGGCCAGTGCTTAGGACCTGACATTCCATCGTTCAGCGAAACAAAGTAGAGCGGATCACTGTCATCTTCACCACCCAGACCATAGTCCATCAAAGCCTGTGTCGCGTTGCCGTTGAGAAGCTGACTCATACGTTCGGCGAACATGTGCCACCTCTCGGGTTTGTACAAGACTGGGAACAGAGCTCCGAACCAAATCTTCTGGTAGTCGAGCAGGCCATACATGCTGTTGTTGACATATACATTCATGGGTTGATTCTTGAGGTCATTGGCGAAAGAGACAAATTTCTCTTTAAGACCTTCCCAAGAGTCTGCCATTGAGGACAGTGGGCAAGCATCACCGGACTTGGCACACTCTTTGAAAAGTCCATCCATGACATTCTCGGTATCGTTGAGGTCTTCTTCGTCGAGGCGAGACTCATACCAGAGAAATTGGTTGACGACTCCATCAATGATGACTCTGTGAGATCTCTCGGGGAATAAGGTAGCATAAGTCTGGCCGAGAAGAGTTCCATAGCTGAAGCCCCAGTAGTACATGTCTTTCTGACCAACAGCATCGAGGATGCTGTTCATATCTGCGGCTGTTTGTGGCGTGTTGATGTAATGTCCATGTTCGCCCATCGTATCCTCACAGGCTCTGACATAGTTGTGAGTCCAGGCGAAAGCCTCGGCGCCATCCTTAGTGATATCCGCATCATTTACAGATCCGAGCTGTTTACGCGCCTCTTTGCTAGGATAACATGAAGCAGTTGGTGTCGAAGAGTTGATACCACGGGGATCGAAGGTAAGAAGATGGAAGCCATCACCAACAATAGTGCTCAGCTGCTCACCCCGTCTATGGATGAACTCAAACCCACTACCACCAGGTCCACCAGGGTTCAGCAGCAGGTTGGGACTTCCATCCTTGCCGCGCATCCGGACAATGGGTACATTGAAGGTTTTGTTGCTGGCCCCCGGATTGAACTGGTCAATCGGCACATCAATGTCGCTGCACTCGAGAGTTCGGTTGCTGATCTCTCCGCAAGGCTTCCATTGGATGTTTTCGCCCTCGTGCTGACGGTGGAGATGATGACGGTGCGAGCAGTGAGGGCGGCTCTGAGGGGTCAGCCAATACCAAGCGGCGCAAGTGAAAGCGCCCGCGACAAAAAGCTTCCAATTCCACTTGCTGATGCCTTTGCGTCGGGTTTGGGACCATTCGTCCCCGAAGGATTGCTTTTCGCTCATTTTGATAGGTTTGTTGATGGTGAGATGAGATGAGATGAGATGGATGGGAATGAGGAGAGTGAGCTATGGACTAACTGTATTGGAACGCTTACGCGGGCACGTGAGAACCCCTGTAAATTGCCAACGCGTGCGCTATTGGCGGTCATTACCGCTGTTTCCAGTGCAATTGAGACGCAACCATCATCAAAACTATTCCATCTATGATCTGCCTGAATCCTGCGAGAATATGGAAGTGCCGGATCAACAATGCAGCTTTGCAGAATCATACGTTACTTGCTACGTAATTAGTCCGAGAGAAGTAACGAGTACGAAAACCCAGACGTTTCATTAGTGCTTAGAAGACCCAGTAACAACAACCGCTGGAGCAAAACGTCATAGAGTCTGCCGACACGGATATTCGGCATTGTACGAGAACCACGATTAAGGAATATAGGCGCTTTTGATATATATCGTTTCTATGATGAATTGTGCAGCTTTTGATACATTTTCCTACTGATGGGAGATATACATTGAGAGTGGTCTAAGAAGTCGTCGTGGGATTCATGGTTTCTTATTGTCATCAATAGTAGTGCCGAGCCTCCACCTGCTACGGAGTAGCCCACGGAGTAGTCCACCATAATCTCCAGTCTAATTGCCGGGCACTTTGCCTAAATTTATAATGATCGCCGCCTAAGATCCAACAATGGTACTACCATACGACCAGGTAATGCCGAGTATCCGGGGACCTATGGCCAGTGACCTTGCTACACTGGGACATTGGTAAAGCACAATATTTAAGGACGCTTCTCCCTATCTATCCTTGCCAAGCCATCTATCTTTATCCGAGATCAAACGCTAGTCACTATGAGCTCTTTTGAAACCCCATCGTCAGCACTTCAAGCAAGTGCAAAGAAGTACCCTGATCGTGCGGCGTTGAAGATCCCAACCCGTTCGTCTGAAGGAGTAGTCTTTAAGGACATCACCTATACACAGTTTCAAAAGGATGTTGCGCTATCGGCGAGATATTGGAAGTCTGAGCTTTCTAAGATCGGAGCTCAGGACAGGGCAGTTGTTGGTGTCTGGTAAGTCTGTTCTGTGTATGACCTCATTTGAATCCTTCGGCTGATTACGATTTAGGCTAAGAGGGTATTCCTACTCAGACGCAGTTCATATCTGGGGTCTCCATTGGGCTGGCTATACCCCTCAAATGATCTCTCTTCGCTTGAGCGATCCGTCCGTTGTCTATGAGCTCTTGCAGACTGGAAAGGCTGTAGCACTGGTACACGAACCGGAATTTGCCTCGATGCTTGATAATGCTCCTTTGCCACTATTCACAGGCGGCGACAGCATCTTCGAACAGAATTCGGAAGAATTGCCCTCGGTAAACGCATGGCATCCTACCAAGTGGGACGATGTACTGTTTATTTATCATACCTCTGGGTCGACCTCGGGCATTCCAAAATTGGTGCCATGTACCGCAAAGTGGGTAAACCACGCCATTAGGGTGTCCGCAGAATGGGAAGCAAGAGCCAACAAGACTGGAGACCGCATGGTTAGCTTGCACATGTAAGTCTCCCCCTCAGTCGCTTCTTTACACGAACACTGCTAACAAAATACCAGCGGAAGCTTTTGCCACATGGCCGCATCCTACGTTTTATGGTTTACAGTAAGAGAAGGCTCATGTGTCATCATTCCTAGTGCCTTTCCCCATCTTATTTCCGAAGTCAAGTATTGCCTCGAAGAGCAGGGTCTAACAACAGTGATTCTGTTTCCACCCATGCTGTCTGCTATCCTTCGACAAGCCCGTACCGACCCGTCACTTCTTGCCGCCCTGAAGAAGGCGGATTGCATAGGCTCTGGCGGCCTTGACCCTGATCCAGCAGATGTGGCATGGGGACGAAGCCAAGGCTTCCACATGTCAAACGTTCTTGGATCTACAGAGCTTGGACTACCAATGATGACTGACGGTCGAGCGAACGACGACTACCTTCAGCCATTACCTGGTAATAAATATGAGTTCATTCCAATAGGTGACAAGGTGGAGTCTGGCGAACCACTGCTGGAGCTAGTCGTACTTCCCGATTCACCCGATTGTCCAGTTCCTGATCTCTGCGCCGCCGATGGCAAATTCTACACTGGAGATTTGTTCATCGAGCCCGAGCCCGGTAAGTACCTATGCAAAGGCCGAAGCGACAACTGGATTAAGATGGAAACGGCATTGCGATGTGACACCACTTCCATCGAGTCTAACGTTATGGACACCTGCGGAAGCGACTTGGTCAGCGCCGTTGTGGTGGTAGGAGTTGGACGCCCATGCCCCACCATCATTGTTGAGCCGAAGGATGGATCGGTGACCAGTTCGAGTGAATCAATGGAGAATCTGAGGAAAGAGGTCTTGGTGAGGATCGCTCCATTTCATAGGAGGAGATATGAGCACGAGCGGGTGGATGATAAACGGTATATCGTTGTCGTTCCCCAGGGAACGCTGCCTCGGACTATCACAAAGGGAAATGTGCGCCGGAAGGAGGTTGAGAAAGTTTACACCAAAACGTTGGATGCATTGTACGGAAAGCAAACGGTTGCGCAGGGATAGATGTAGGAAATGTCTTTCTGTCAATCGAAAAACTTCGTAGATCGTTTATGATCCAAGTGCTGAAGGAAAATAGCATCAAGGATGTTCGTGTTAAAAGTGAAAAGGATGGAAATCCTCGTTATTTTGAGGCTTATATCTCAGCTCTTCCAGATTGCTTCCATCTGATCCTTCGTTTTGATATACGCGATAGGTAAGCATGAGGCTTGCGTTTCCCAAGAGTACTCAGCTGATGTCTTGGCCATCTGAAAAGCTTGGCATCAGACTCCGGCCTGAGTTTCGTCTGGGGATCCATGACAAGCGCGTGTATGACCTCACCTTCATGCAAGCCGAATCCGGAAGGACCCGACTCTGTTGAATAATCCAACTAGCTTATATCTTGGTAAGATCAGGAACTTCTCATGAAATCTGAGAAAGGGTGTTTTCCTCATGGAGCTTATGTTCCCCACGGCGCTATCCTTGACTGCGGCTTAGCGACAAAAGCGTCAGAGTACCTTACCCACTATATTAACTCTAAACTTCCAACTATAGTGGCGGGATTAACATGGATGGATTATGCTTAATCTGAATCGAAAAGCAAAGAGAGCTTGAAGGGACATTGGAACTGGTGAGGCTTAGCGCTATGCCTGAACCACTGCGCCACTCGTCGATTTGGTGTCTGGTCAAAACATGGAAAACACATGCAACATGCTGATATCCCAAAGAATGCACGTGCATCAAAAACAGGACCAGGCCTCGGGTGTCATTGCCGTGATCTGGTGGGATGCGATGCGATGTAACGATAATCTGCTGTTACCGTAGGTCCCGGCCGAGTTCGGTTCTTACATCGAGACTCCAATTTGTGTAACAGAGGGTTTTGCCGTCTTAGGTAAGATCTAGTGCCTCCACGGTCAAGCCTAACAATAACCATAACTAGGAAATTCCGCCCCGTCATGGCTGGGACAGCTACTTGAAATAGTCATAACGTTATCCAACGTTATCTAAATAAAACTTAAATTCTGTGCTGCATTTTCGCATGTCTCGCTATTCGTGTCTCGCTTCTCGCGTATCGAGGATGACTCGCTCTCTCTCAGAATGAGTCTAGCCAAGTGAGGCGCTGCATAGTAAGCAGCCCTGACAACAAACCAGCCCAGTAAATCCTTGGCATTTACAATTGTTTCCCCAAAGAAGCAACAGCCGATGTCTGAGGCAGACCGTCATTTGTAATTTCGAGTGGCTACATCTGTCTGAGCTATCCAAACGCCGACGCAGTCAAGTCTGATGCCTCTTAAAACCGATGCAGAGATGGATCTGGTAAGGCTTGGGCAACCATTTGGGCGGAAATCACGACCGTTAGTCATTGAGCGAGCCAAGCGTCTTGGGCTTCTGCTGATGCCTCCGCCAGTCAGATCGAGCATCGCCCTACTGTACAGACAGGGGTCATATTTTAGGTGAGAAAAGACAGGATCGAGTTATTTGCAGCATTGTGTCTGCTGACTCCGCCACTTAGCATTGGACTGATTCTTTTCGCTGCCTCGAGGACATTTTCAGGTCGTAATATAAACTCATATTAAGCTAAATCACTGCCCGTAATTGTGCTTTCTGGTCGGACATATTCGATAATATTCGCTTGAACTATTGTGTCTGTTTACGTAAACAAGACCCTCTCAAGAACACACGACCTTAGCGCCTACTTCTATGCCTCAAGGTAAAAGTCCGAACTTTTTAGGAGTAATGAGCTCCGACGCCAGTAAGGTAGGTCTCACATCGGGCGTATTACGTCAATGAGAAGGCCACTTGGGACTAATGAGACGCACAGAGTAGACGAGAGCGAAACCGAGAAGCGCAACAACAGTTCCGAAAGCGAAGACAGGCTGCCGAGGCTGCTCGCATGCAGCGACTGAAGCATTTAGAGGGTATCATAGAGAAGATGAGCACCGTGATAGTAGGCTTCACCGACAAGATGTTGCAAGAGGATGTCTTGAAGCGGTATCCCGCGTTAGCAGCCGATGCACAAGATGTTATAGCACAAGTGCTTGCTCTGGCCAATGAGGCTGGTGATCCTGAGGAGGGTAGCACAGCTGAACTACCCGATGGTGCATCGCCTGATACTAGAGAACAAGACTTGGGGTTTCTAGGGCAGCCTTTCTCGTCGAGTCCGTTGCCGAGCGATATGATGCATCTAGATTCGGACAATACCGTGTTCATGACACATTCTTCACCCGAATATTCGCACGTTATGGCTACTCCTTCGGTATCATACACACACATGCATGATCCAATGCTATCCCAAGCTTCGTACCTATCATCCTCAATACCACAATCGCTCGACCAGATGTCATGGAACACGTCTGACCACCTCTCCCCAACATCGTTTACGTATCAGCCCAGTCAGTCATACTTGAATGTGGGTTCTCTTCCCATCTATAAATCGCGTAGCTTACCGTTAGCTTCGCAGAACAATCTCGAATATTCGCCACAATACTACGACGGGACGAGCGCGACCCGATGATGGCGATAAAAAAGTGGCTCACAAGCCACAGAACACACTTTTTCAAGCTTGTTTTTATGTTACATTAAAGTGTAAGGCAAGCCGACCGGACCTCAATTTCCGAGGCGGAAGCTTAAAAGGGCATCATGGCTTTAGAAAATGGAGGCGTTTAGAATATGTCAGTTTGGATTTAGTCAAAGGATAGGCGGCAGCGAGTATTTAGTAATACAAGATAATAACCAATGCCAAGTAGAAAGATCTAAAAAGTGCAAAAACGACACCTTTATCTCCCAAGTATAGCTGGTATGAAGAAGTTGTCGCATAGATGTAGTAGGAGGAAGAAAAGACACAGCCTGGGAAGAAAGAGGGAAAGTAATCCCTGTAGTAGTATCATGTTGTAGGTAACTTTGAGGTTACAAATTGCAAAAAATGAAGAGCGGGCAGTGGGTGTATGGGTTTTTTTTCCTTCCTTTCTTTGTTTCTTTGTCATCTTCCTTTTTTTCTTAGGTTGTAACTTTAGTGGGATTTATTTCCTCTTTTCTTTGATCCTCTTTATTTTGGGTTTCTCTTTTGTTTCTGTGTAAACCTTATATGGGTGTTTGTTTCTGGTTCTTTTCTTTTTGTCATTTTCTTTCTTGACGTATTCGGTTTAGAATTTGGAAGTGCTTGTCGGATGCCACTGCACTACTCTTCGGGCTTGTTCGCTGGTAGATATTGAGTCATGTTAGTATTTAAAGGCAGATGTCCCCAAGGTTCATACACGTTCACCCAATGGGATTATGTAACCTTCGATTAAGCTTTCACTTGATCTGTATATTCTTTAGGCACCCATCTTTGTTATCAGCTGACCCAACACCTATCGATACTTGATACCTGGCTCTACACGGGTATACCCATTGCCAATTCCCTCTTCGCCGACATAGCCTTCTCTTTTTATTAATTCGTCACTGTTCCCTTGTCTCAATACCATCTCCAGCCTCCCCTCATTACCAACAGCCCTGACCACAGCAGGTGTACTCCAAGTCCGCGAACTATCCACTCCCCCGCCAACGTTTCCCAGATCATGCTTCTTAGAACACAGTGCTAGAATAAGGATCTCACCGAAGCTACCCCAACAAGAACTCAGCCAGCGGTGTCGAGAGAAGAGGATGACCATAGCATGAATGAGGACAATGGCAACGTGTAGTAACAAGATGGCGAGAGCAAGAGGGATAGTGTTGCTACTTCGGATGCTGTAGCCGTAGCCACCCAGAAAGAATTCGTGTTCGACGATAGGGTTATCTGGCCCGGGCGATGTACCATCATCCTCGTCGAACGGTCGGATTCCCTTCTTATCATAGTAATCGGGGCCCATTCGAGAGAGAATATCGGCTAGATGTACTGCAATCGCCATCTGTAGTGAGTTTCCGTTTGCTTCGGCGGAAGAATAAGGTTCGCGAGTCCGGATCTCGTCGGCGATGTCGATGGCCTTATCCCAAATAGAATCTTGCTTGAGATCCGCCTTCTTGTCGGTTTTGTTGCGCCGTTGGCCCACAGTCTCTAACCATTTCTTCCGCAGCTTAATAGGCTTGTATGCCTCTGCTGTATCACCAAGCAGATCCCATATATCGAAGAGGGCATAATCAAACTTGCTTCGGGCAAAATTTGATATACCACGGTCGATCCAGAGATCGACTTCTGCCCAGCGAGCATATACCCTGCACAAATGGAGCCCGAGTTCCTTTTCACTTGCGGTATTTGGATATTCATCATCGAGGGTGCCATTATCGAAATATTTTGGCACTTCTTCCAATAACAAGAAGTTCGCACTGATCCTTGGGTCTTCTTTGTCCAGGCTCGTCAGAATCCGATGCCTGGTCTTTGGATACTGGTTTTTTGACATGTTCCGAGCTTCAGTGACCAAGTCCTTGAATTCGGGGTTCTGGTCAAACGTCAATGTCACATCGTTGCTCGACATATTAGCCGAGAAAAGGAAAGCTGCGTCGAAATCACTTGTCCTGTTATAGGCACACTCAACAGCCACGAGGGGCTGCTTCCATAATTTTCGGGAAGGAGACCTGAGAGTTTTCCAGTACGACTTGATGAGTAGATCATTCGGTGCTAGCTCTCCAGCGTGCCAGCTATACGTGATTTGGTTCGTCAAAGTGTCCATCGGCGTTGTGGCAACCGCAAGTTCCAGCGACAATTGTTCAAAGTCCTGTGTTAATGATATCTCCCGGTCGGATCCAATTCTCTGGGGATAGTTTGTGAAAGAGACATTCGATAGCTGTCGCCGACTGGTTTCCATATTTCCTCCGGGCGTGTCCCTGAGTATAGGAAGAAGCAGTGATAGAGGGTCAAAAAGGGTGGAGTTTGATTCATGTTCGATGACATAGAAATCTGCCTGGTCTGCACCGAGGTCATTTGGATAGATGTCCGGCTTGAAGTAGGTCCTTCGGTCTGACCTCTCATCCCAGGGCACATATACCTGCCACCATCCTTCACGAGGAATCATGACGATGGCCGATAGTGGCGCCGCCGCAACGGAGAGAAGAATCGTCACGATGATAACCGTACCAGTCATCCAAGACCGCGCCCTCTTGGGCTTCGCACCTGGTTGCAGAAGACCAGCCCAGAATTCCCAGCTGAAGAAATATTGCAGCGGTGAACCAAGGTAGAAGGGCGCTGATAGAAGACCCAAGGGAACACCGTCATCTTCATGGAAAAGACTGTAGCATATTCGTTGCAAGAGGATATCTGTCAACGAGACGAGGATTAATATCTCGTGAGCTTTAGCAGCGAACTGCAAAAAGTTCAATTGCTCTTCAGTGAGGTTGCCCCATCTTATCCTGTGAACATAAAGTCCCAGAAGAGCGAGGGTGATTCCGATTGGTAGGATATGGAAAAATGCAAGGTGGCGTAGGACAGCCCACACACCAGTTCTGCAGACCCTTTTAGGTCTTTCAGGACCTTTGAAATTTTTCCAATAAGATTGTTTCTCGGATTTCGATGAATCTTTGATCAATGATTCTGTGCTTTGGTCCAGGCCTATTGTCGGTTGCTCTCGTATCGAGGGCGTCGGAATATGGTAGTCATCATCGCCAAGCGGGGAATACTGCCGGTCGCGTCTTGCGCCGCGCCAAGACTGACGGAACACCTAGGGCTTAGCGTTAGGTAGGATAATCTGACTTGCAGAGTGGTGAGACAAACATCTTGCTTCAACTCATCAAGTTCTACACCAAAGAAGCTCAATTCATTGTCGTGTGGCATTTTTTCCGATAATAAATCGGAAGCGAAAATAGGACACGCGACAGAGAGCAGATCCTCCTCGTTAAAAAGGATTCTTTGTGAATTGCATGGATTAACGGACGCAACAGGGGTATATGGCTGCCTCATTGGCTAGGTAGAGTTACAACCGGGGCTTTGAGAAGAGTTCTGATATTGATCTGTGTTATAGGTGGTAAATGCAATAGCACATGTTCAATCTCAGCCAAATATCAGAATTCGTAACTATTTACCATTCGAATATGTACAACTTCACAAAAGTAAAATAACATCCCGGTGCCTACTGGGAAATCTTCCCCTTGGTCTTCCAATAGACATTGTAGTTGAATCCTTGTGCATCATAGAAAGGACCCATCTGAACCTTTTCGCCACCTGCTTGCGCTTCAAATTTGAGACCCTCATTACCCTGTCTCTTGACAGTAGCCAAATCAATTGTGGGCATATTACCAATTGAGGTATCACCGTAGTTGGCTGCCAAAATAACAGGACCAAAGGCAACGGCGGCAACGTTAGGATCGTCGTTGGCAGCGACGGTTCGGAGACTCATGGGGAATTGCAGAGTAACCTTGTCACCAGACTTCCAGTTGCGCTTGACCATAGCGTATTTTCCAGGCTTGACCTCTACATCAATGGTCTGACCGTTGACCTTGATGGATGCCTTTGCCGTCCAGGATGGAACACGAACAGCGAGTGTCCATTCACCATCCTTTCCGCCAATCTGAAGGGTGGATGAGTCCTTCTGGGGATACTCGGTGCTTTGAGTGATGGAAACCCCACGCTGCGACCAGTTCAACTTCGAGGGAGTAAACAAATTGACGTAGAGGGTATCCTTGGTGTGGAAGTAAATTGAATCCATAAGCTTCGTGTTCGTCTCAATACCAGACCCTTGACAGCACCAGAACGAGTTATAGTCAGTGCTCCAAGTACCGCCACCCCAGGCAGGTCCGATTCCTCGGCGACCGCCAGGGTTAAGAGGTGTGAAGTAGGTAACGTGACCATGGTTATCCTTAGGGTTCTGCTGACCGAGAAGATGGTTCATCAAAGCATTCTCGTAAAAGTCAAAGTATGAAGCATCGCTGGGGTTCAAAGCCCAAAGCTCACGGGTCAGCTTGAGCATGTTGTATGTGTTGCATGCTTCGCAAGTGTCGTTGGTCAAGTACTTGGCGATAGCATCGGGTGCGCGGAAGTGCTCAGCCTGAGAGTTTCCACCGATGGCGTAGGTATGCTTGTGAACGGTCAAGTCCCAGGCATTGCGACCGATGTCAAGGTACTTCTTGTCACCGGAAACCTTGTACTCGCGAAGTGCACCAATCCACTTGGGCACCTGGGTGTTGGCGTGCAGACCGGAGAGCTTGTCAACGTTGTTCTTAAGAGGGTCGAAGATGATGGCATGGTCGAAGCGTTGAGCGACCTTGAGCCACTTGTTGTCATTGGTGTAGTAGGCGATATCCGCAAGGACTTCGTTCATGCCGCCGAACTCGGTCTGCATCATGCTTTGCATCTGGTTGTAGCTGAGCTTGCCTGTGCGGGTATCGACCCAGCTCGCAAGAGAAAGCATGACTTCCTTAGCCTTGTCGTCGCCGACACGACGGTAGACATCGAGAAGTCCAGCAAGAGTCTTGTGAATAGCGTAGTAAGGAACATTGCCATTGTTCAAAGTCCTCTTCTCGACCTTCTCAATTTCGGACTCGGGAAAGCCAGACAGATAGCCCTTGGTGAACCCAGCCTTCTCGTTGTTGGCCTGGCACTTAGCAAGCTCAGCAACAAAGTACTTAGCGCGCGAGCCACATTCCTTGTTCCCAGCGGTGGCATAGCAATGGGACCAGGCAGTGAGAAAGTGGCCCTGGACGTGACTGCGGAAAGGAAAGTCCGGCGCGTCCCAACCTCCGTTCTTCTGAGCACCCTTGGTGTCGAGACCGTGGTTCTTGCGAAAGACGTAGAGCATTCTGTCTGGGTCGATGGAAGTGAGGTAGTTGATGGTGCGATCTTGGTTGTCCATCCATCGACTGTCTGTCAGAGATACATCGGACAGCTCGAAAGCGTTGGCTAGGTCATCGACCTTGGCACAAGCCAGAGAGGCGATGCCCGTGAGGAGAGCTGCCTTGAACAGAAACATTTTGGAGTTGTACAGTGTCTGATACAGCTTGGCAGGAAGGCTCCGATTATGGCGGATCCGGTGGCCTTTAAGTAGTTCGGCATGAACCACCTGCTGGAGACATTCCGGACCTTCAACTCAGTATAATGTGGCGATCGCCTCATAATCCCACCGGACGTCGAATCCACCGGACCAGAAGCCCACCGGATTTATTCTCATTCTCCAAAACTCATTGGGTCGGTAATGATGATGTTACATCCTGCAGATCTGGGGAACCCCAATTGAGCATCTTTTTAGCCGGAGCTTTGACTGCCGATCACCTATATTCGAATGGTTCCACAAATCAGAGCCCTCGAACAAATATGCGCACCAATATCCGTTTAAAATTGTCCGCAAGTTATACGGCATAGGGAAAGTGATATATGGAGAAGGTTGTAGTGCATCTCATATCACAATGAGGGGTACTGTGTCGGCTGTTGTATGGAGTACCGAGGATAATGACGTACACAGGGGTAGCTATACGAGCTTTATCATCACTTAAGCTTGCTCAAGTAGGTATCTTTGTTCTAGAAATACTAGCTCTCGGCTGGTCATGAGATTAAACCGGACTATTCATCCCGGCTCCCCGCTACTCGCCGTCCTCTGACGAAGACGTGAGCGACGTTCCTATCATCTCCCGTCATGATATACTTCTCAAAAAGCCCTCTCAGCGAATCGCCATCTTCCCTTGGGGTCATAGCGGACTGCAGGCCCCGAGTCGTGGTCACCCATATCGCATCAAATTCCTTGCCCACTTCAAAATTCCCAATCTGATCTCCAAGCCACAAGACCCTAGCACCGCCCATGGTCGATAGGTAGAAGACCTCTTCGAGCGAAAGCGCCTTGTCCTTTCCTTCCGATAGTACTTCTCGTGCATTCGATGCTATCATAGCTTGTCGGATCACAGCCAACATTTGCGAAGCCCAACCACCACCACTATCGGTTCCCAAACCGACCTTGATGCCACGGCGAAGGAAGTCCCGAATTGGAGCAACCATGAAGCCTCCACCAACGGTCATGTTAGCAATCGGACAATGTGCAATACCACACTTGAGAGCCTCCAATCGTTCTTTCTCGTAGTCGTTCATGATAGTACAGTGAGCCAGAATGCTGCGCTTGTTGAGTAATCCATAGCTCTCGTAGAGGTCAGCCTCGCTACCTTGGAATTGAGGAAACAGCTCTGTGGTGGCGTCGATTTCCTGCTGAGCTTCGTTGAAATGCGTTTGCATAGCCAAAGTATCGTCAGACTGGACCATATTTCCAAGCCCCCGAAGCAGCTCATCCGTACAACAGATAGCGAATCTTGGTGTGACAACAGCTTTCACCAACCCCTCATCAGCGTCATGAGACTTCAACCCACGAATATGAGCAATACAGTCCTTCGTCTCTTGCAGCGAAACGGATGCACTTTCTTCACGGATATAGTCAGGTGCATTCCTATCCATATTGCACTTTCCCACAAAAGCGCGCTGTCCTTTAGCATGGCATATATCGGCCAGAATGCGCGTCGCTTCAGCGTGTCGCGAACCGTAGTATGAAGCAGTTGTGATGCCCTGCCGCAGGAAGTCCTGAACAGTATCTTGATACATTCTCTTGGCGTAGTCAGGATCCGAGAAGCGCGCTTCGACAGGGAAGGTGACGTCGTTGAGCCAGTCTAGAATGTGAAGGCCTTGGCCAAGACCCCGCATCGGCCATTGAGGGGCATGATTGTGGGTGTCGACGAAGCCGGGGATGAGGAATTCTCCGTAGGGGAGGGTGTGGATCTTGGCGTCTGAGGGTATGGCATCCTTGGGAATGTCTTGAGCTGTCTTCCAGAAGTTGGTGATGCGACCGTCGGTGATGACTAGCGTTGCATCATCAATGAGCTCGAGAGTGTCGAGATCAAGCGAATGAATGGCGGCGCCACGGAAGACTAGCACGGACATGGTGACAATGGAGCTCAAGTCAAAATACTGTGACGATCTTGGAGGATGAAAACTGAGAAATGAAAGAAATGAATTGACATCTTGTTTGATGAAATAATCGGAAACGGCGGGGTCTGACAAGCTGTCCGCTTCTAGGTCACCCAATCACAGCGCTTCACATTATCAACGATTAGCAGTGACTGTGCATCCTACACTTTCTTTTCAATCATCAACAGATAAATTCTCTTCCAAGACTTAGACAACAATAGGAATTTGTGGCATATAGTAACTAAATTGTTTGATGTCTAGTGCTTTTAACGGCTAATTCTTCCGACACCCTAACAGTCTCACTCTGTTACTTTGAACTTGGGGAGGACCTTGGCAGCCCGCAACGTATCGAACGTCTTGGAGAGACTTTCCCAGGTATCCCTGTATCTGTGAGTCGTTAGCAGCTGAGTTGCCATGAAAGAGCGTGTTCAACGTACCCGATCCAGCCATGCTGTCGTGCCTTGCTCATACTAATCACAAGATCATAATTCCTTCCCAGCACGAATCCAAGGAAATCCCAAGTAGCGTGCTCAAGGGCACTCTCGTCCAAGCCCTCTCGCTTCGCAAGTTTCTTCCAAGCTTCCTTGACTTCATCTTGTTGACTCCACTTTACCAAGTCGACGGTCTGCTCAACCTTGCCAGGCTTGATAAGACCTTTGAGGCCTGCCTTATCTTCGAAGAGACTGATGGGAGCAACGGGGTTCAGGTCAGTGGCTGAGCTCAACGGATGAGGCTGATTAAACTGGTTTGCGTCGACCTTGGTGTCGAAGTGATCCGCGACCTTTGGCCACATGTTCTGCCAGCTCTCGACATCTCCATTAACAACGTTGAACGCCTCGTTAGCTGTAGAGGACTGAAGAACGACCCATTCGCAGAACTCGGCGTGCAGTTTAGCACAGGTAAAACAGTCAAAGCCCATGTAGAATCTCTCACCGCCAGGGTAAACAAGATCCTTGCCCATCTCCTTGTTGACAGCAGCGTAAATGCCCACGGCCGTCGCCAGATTCATGAAATTTCCACGAGCATACCCAATTACATCATTGGGATACGTAACATTCCATGAAACTTTTCCATTGGTCTTTTTACAGAACGCCTTGAGAATATCCTGCTGACGATAGTAGAAGTTTGGCGGGAAAGTAGACTGGTCTGTGAGCCAAGAGTCAGATTCAATCATGGGATTTTTGGCAGGTCCAAGATGGACGCCATATTGCTTGCATCCAGCGACTAGAAGAACGCGCTTGAGATGTTTGTCAATTCCATTCTTAATGAGTGCGTCAAGAAAGGTTTGGAGCATGTCACCGTTGACCTCCCAGGCTTGCTGCTCCTCTGGCTTTTGGAGGTAAGCCGCGAAAAAGAGGAAATCAGCGCGAACGCCCTCGAGACTTTTGGCAACGTCATCGGCACTGCCGGTAAGATCGATGTGGCGATGTTCGACAGTGGAAGGGAATTCTTCCTTTTGAGAGCGCGAGAAGGAATAGATTTTCTTCCATCTTTGAGGATGGAGACCGAGTTGTCGGACGATCTCCCGGCCGAGAATGCCTGGAGGAGTCGTGAGTATAGGGTCATTAGCGGGGTGGAGGCGATGGAGACAAACCTGTAGCGCCAACCACAATTGCGGTAGACATGTTAAATATTGGTACTATTTGTAAAAGTAGATTTTCGAGACTTTGAAGACGTAGAAAGGAAGTGAACAAGCTTTTTGAGGAAGAGGTGAAGCATTCTCGGTCTTATTATCTGTCATCGCTGACTGGTGATATCAGTCATACATCATCTTGTTACAACACAATCAGCCCAGCGTAGCAATGACGATTACCTTAGCCTTGGATTACACCGACAAGAAGATGACAAGTTATTACTAAGACATACTTAATTCCGCTCCTTCGTGTGAAGCCTTCCATAATTGGATGCTCAGTATAGAATTCCGGAAGGCAGATGGACGCTGGTATCTCGGCCCTTTATGTATACAAAAGTGGAACAGAAGATTCTGGACGTGCATAGCAGCATCAACAACATGATATGACTCTGTAAAGACAAGAGATTTTTCTTGGAGAGAATTGTTCTTGTAATGGCAGTATTAATTATTCTATGGGTATCATAACATTATCTATGTTGATCTAAACTCCTCTCCGCAATCCTCACAAAATCTTTATCCGCGCTTCGAAGTGATGGATTAGAGCTTGTGCTCGTATCAGGGTATCTTGGATCCCTTTCCACACCATCATCGACCTCGACAACCACCGATGTTACTGTGTCCATCTGGATAGCAGGTCCTCTTAGCGACTCTTGACTTGTGGTACGGGTCATACCCCTGTGACTTCGGTTGGAGGAGCCAGCTCCCTTGGCAGGCCATGTCCACCATCCACCTGTAGCGGGGGGCTCCTCATGTTGACGTCCACCTTGGATAGAAATAGAGTTTCCGAACTTTCGGTTCGTGGGCGTTTTGAGGAATGCAAATGTTTTGAGACCCACGTCGTTCGAAGCGATGTCGTATCGTGAGGCGAAGATGATGGTGTTTCGAGTCGTGCCAAACAGTAGACAGTCGAACGAGCCGTTGGATGCGATCATTGCGCCAGCGAAGCAGAAGTATCCATTTGGTACGCTGGCACCAGCCATTGTGGCAATTCGGCCAGCTGCCAGAGGAAGCGTACACAAAACATAGATGACGGGGTAGATCAAGAAGGCCGGGTTGCGATTGAGTTGTAGTTCAATCGAGTCACCGTCATTTTCTCCATTTGATGCTCCCAGGCGAGCTTGGCGACGGATGTGGAAGAAGATGATGATGTATAGGATCGAGGTGGTTCCGAGACCGAGGAAGATGTAAAGGTAATGGGTGAGTAGTCGTAAGTTCTCGTATTCCCTATTCATCCAGCACTGCAACAGGTTAGAAAACAATTGAGATGTTGCAGATGGACTAGACTTACCCAGCTCCCAGCCCGAACGAAGAAGCCACCAAACTCAGCTCCGTTTCGCGTGGTTGCAATCGGTATGAACGAAATCGCATAAACAAATATCCAAATCGCGACGATAGCACCATACAGAACCTTCTGTGGTGTCTGTATTCCTCTGACAACAGCCATGTATGTATGTATAGCAATCGCAGTGATGAACATACTCGAAGCCAAATCTCCGAGCGACACGAAAAGGCCCTGTGTATAGCAAGTCGCCGTGTCGACAAGAATCGCATCGTATCGCAACCATGCGGCATTAAGAAGGAAAGCCACACCTTGGTGCATATCGGCGAGAAGCAAGTTGATGATGAGCACGAGAAACTGATTCGGTTGTCGAGGTCCTGCATCGCCATCGTCCTTCTTCCCGGCTTCACCATTGTTGTCGGAGAAGATGCCATCAATACCCAGTGTAACGTCGATCGCTCGCTGAATAGACCCCGATTGTTGATGAAACTGCCCGTCGGACTGTGATTTGATGAAAAGACTCCATGTCGTAAGTTTGTAAACGAGATAAAAGAAGAGAATGCTGGCGGAAAAGAATGAGATGAATGCAAGGACCGTAACAGCCGTCAATCCGTGTCGTAAATCGTCACTCAAGGGATCCAATGTTCTGGCCTCCGCTGGAAGATCACCCCAAGCCATTTTAAAAGTTAAAGAAAGTTAGGCCAGAACAGCGACTAAGAATAACGTGCGCTGCATGGCATTTAATAAAAGCAAGGGCAGAGAAAGAGAAAGTGACCTGTCGCACGTATTAAAGTCCCGAAATCTTCAAGAGGGAAAATGACAGGATCTTAAACCTTACAAGGCACGGAAGAAAACGATGTCACCTCGCTTCGCAGCTGAGCACCCTTTTTGGTCTTAGACCTACAAAGACTCTGACCAACTGCATAGCCAAGGGTCTCCCATCCCATCCTCATCCTGGAAACTCTCGGCCGACCCTGAGGCGAGCTAGCGTTAAGAGGTTCGGACGTGGCGTTTTTTACCCGCTTTGACCTAAAATTCTGCAATGAGGGAAAAGAAAATACCCATGGGTTCTGGCATCTGATAGGGATTGTACGTAATTAAGATCCATTGTTGACAGGTGGAATTGTTGGCTTGGCTGTTGTTTGACAACCTTGACAGCAGTGGAGCAAATCTTTTTCAGCTTTCAAGATGCTTGTAAACTGGACCGGCGATACCGATCTTCCTCGCTTATGTACAAACCCCAGGAAGCACAGCGCAGCAAAAGGACGGCACGAGTGAGCATCAATTGTGGACGATTGTCAATCAGTGATTCCCCAGCTTCAATGCAACCCATCTCTTCTCACCCGTGTCTCAACTCTCAACCCTAACTTCTGCCGAGGCTCACGCTTTGTCTTTTTGTCCAGAATAGAATTAGGATCGGCGAATCGACGGCGAGTCAGTTTTTTTAGTGCTGAAACGATCCCCTCTAGAACTCTAACGGGCAACCATTAACTGCTTCGGTAATAGCTTCATTCGCTAGTCCGCCGAAAGACGTTGAGTTTTTGTCGGTAGTTTCATCCCACTTGCTAGACTGGATCTTTTGATTTGAAGCCCATGCACTTTTTCATGCGATGAGTCTAGAACGCTGCTAGACTTGAAATGTCAATGAGGCTGAACGAGATGGCACCATTTTCCCATGACGTGCAGAAACCTGAAACAATATCAATTTCACAACTCATCGTTGCTTAAACAAGCGATCGCATATATAGCTCGGGAGATATAAGTAATGAGGCTTGTTGAAGACATGCCAACACACTATAATGCCACCTGATTCCATCCAATTACTCTGAACTCAGTGCTGAATTTCAAGCCCTGGTCCATGCATAATGCATTGATCATCAGCCACAATTCAAGCACTCTCCTTCTCACGGAATTGCCGTTCCACCTCCTCGGCAAACTCACCGATTGATTCAAACTTCCACTCGAATGCAACATGATGTTTCAATTCTTCAAAGTCACCACCTGTTCCATATCCCTCCTTCTTATCACCTCCTCTGCAGATCCAAACACTTCTAAGACCAAGTTTCTTAGCAGGAACATGGTCAGCGATCAAACTTCGCGCTACATGTAGAAGCTCTCCCTTGTCCCTGTCGACCTGCAGATCGTGTTTGACGTGGTTGAAAAGATAGTTAAAGTTCGCATGGGCGGGCTTGTAAGTGCCGATATCTTCGGCTGTGTAAAATTTGTCGAAGGAAGCGGGTTGAAGACGTTTCATGGTCTCTGAGGCGTTGGCATTGTCCATGTTTGTCAGAGCGGCAAGTTTGTAGTGCTTCTTGAGAATTTGCATTCCTGCTATGGTATCGGGGAATGGCTCCCACGTTCCTGGACTGTTGCCAAATGCTTCCATCTCGCTATCGGAGACATTGACTTTGAGCTCATCGGCCAGTTGCTTGAAGGTACGTTGCAGGACAAGATTGTAACGTAGTGTTGGCTCATCAACCTCCAGACCCTGGTAAAGCTTGGCCAACCGCTGCATCAACAAGATCGGATCCTGCTTGTATTCGCTATCATTTGGAAGACGAGAAATGATCGGCTGCAGGTCTCGGATCATACCAGGCTCTTGGTTGATGAGTGTGCCATAAATGTCAAAAGACAGGGCTTTAAATGATGTAACGTCTAGGGGAGCCATGATGATAGAATGATTAGGCACGAGACGTGACACCTAGACTTTTTCTCTTGGTACAAATGTCTTGTATAGTGTAGTCGTGAAGTTCCCATAGCTGGAACGTACAGGTGCACGGCTTGGTATATACCCGGAGCTTAAGGGCGTCGTTGACACGAAAGGGTGCACATGACGGAATCAGGATTGACACATGTCCCTGACGTCAGATAATCAATATTACTGTTGTCCCATTTTTGCAGACAATAAATAATTAGATGATCATAGTATTTCTGTTTATATTGTCTGAGACTAAACTCTTATTGCTGCGAGATATCAACCTTACTCCACCAAAACTCAGACTGCTTCCTACCCCATTCATCACTATCAAATACAGCAGTCTTGCCCGCATCACCACCAATCAACTCCTCATTCCCATCACCGAATCTCAAAACCTTGGGATCCTTCTTATCATATACGCCCCACTTCGGTCTATCCGGATACTCGCCCGCAATAGCGTTAGGATCACCCTTCGTGATGAAGCTGGTAACGTAATGGTTCAACGTCTTGGCCAGATCGTTTTGAGTTTGCGACACTTCCACAACCTTGGGATCGCAAACTTCATAGCGCATGTTATCGGCATGCTGAGCACCGTTGTTGACGGTACTGACAGCGGCCCAGTGATACAGATATACGGGGACGGATGGGGATGCCAATTCGGCTGTTTGACGTGCAGGAGCGACGTAGGCGTAGTGAGCATATGAAGCTTCTATGCGTTTGTACTGAGAACCCATGTCTTTCCTTGTCTCTTTATACTCCGAGTCTTCGAACTTCGCAGGATCTCTGTATAGCTCTTCAATGGTATCGAGGTCTTCCGAGGTAAGCAAGGGTAGTAGCTCCGCCCAGAAGTGTCTGAATTGAGACGACTTAGACATGGTCTTGTCAACATAGAGTGAACCCTCATTGGTGGTGAAACCGGTCATGATAGGAACCTTGTGCCACTTGCCCTGCTTCCATGTCTCAAGAGGTGGACGAGCGATAATCTCACCGTCGATAACAGGTTGAAAGGCCCAGCGGAGAGAAGGATTGTATTTGTCAAAGGTGACGGTCTGAGCATCGGTGATGACCTTCTCGGGTTGCTTGCGAAGGAAAGAAAAGATCTCATTTTCTGGGAGGTCCTCTGGGACGCCAGCTTCACGAAGAAAGTCCTTGAACTGGGCTTCGTGAATGGGCGCATCGTAGGGTCTCACAGCTCGTGATGTGGGAGCTCCTGACTCAATGATGGCTTTGTGGAAAAGAGGTGCAACACCCTCCTTGTAGTGCATGATATGGTGGCCAATCTGTCTCAACATTAGTAACTGGCTCTAAGGGCTTGAGAAGAGGACTTACCGAATGAGCACCAGCTGAAAGACCAAACAGTGTGACATTGTTAGGGTCACCACCAAAAGCCTCAATATTATCTCTCACCCACTCCATCATAAGGATCTGATCCTTCAACCCCAGATTCAGAGCACCCTCTTTCGCACTCAGGCCTGAAGGCAAGAATCCCAGCGCTCCGATACGATAATTGAAGCTTACGGCAATAAACGCATCCGGAGCATTCGCCACCATAGATGCTGTCTTGTGCATCATCGCCGAACCTCTGTTGAAGGCACCACCATGGATATAGAGTGCAACGGGTAACTTCTCATGTTTACCGTCTGCCTTTCGAAAGATGTTCGCTGTTAGACAATCCTCGCTCTGATCGAGCTTGGGTCCTGGGAGGAGCGCCTTGCCGGGTCCTGCAGGGCCATACTTGGAGGCGTCAATAATGGTGTCAGGTGAGGATGGGACTTTGGCAGGGGCGCGGAAACGTCGGTCGCCTGTTGGTGGGAGAGCATAGGGGACGCCGAGCCATGCATCTACTGGCTGGGGCAGGGTGTCGTTCAGCTGGACGCCGACGAGCTTACCCTGGGGAAGGTGGATGGTAAGAGAGTCTGAGACTTGGCTACCCATTGTGATGTGAATGAAGATTAAGTGAGTATGTGAAATGGGTATCGTGTCAATCAATCAATTGAATGGTTGATGAAGCCCAATATTAAAGCAGCCTCTGCGAGGTTTAGCGATGTCTCACGTCAATCGGCATCCAGAAAGGTCTCCGCATACAAACGGATCCGGCTCCGAAAAGCGGAATCGATAAACTGTCACTGACGCCCTATCTTTGTCCCTTCTAGGAAACAAATGACGAACATCAATGATAAGTCGATAGCTAGATCGGCCAAATCGCTTTTACCCCGCGTACCAATCGCTCCGGATGTTAGATTTGGCACCCGATTATCGGGGAACTCCACAGAGTTGGTGATGCGGATGATCCTATTGGTCAATCGAGATATACGATTCGTGTGAGAGCAGCGTCGTTTGGACTTGGACTGGAGATAACTTGATAGACTTGCTGATATGAAGAGTCTTGACTCCGAAGGTTTAACCTATCGTAAATTTGGTGGAATGAGAACGGATAAACGGCTTGCAGATCCCTCAACGACTGCTAAATATGCTTAATTGAGTTAGGTGTGCCATTAGATACTCGTTTAAACCTGCTGGCTGCTCATGGTCATGACCTTCTTAAGAGCACTCGAATCCTTGAAGCCTGCTATAGTCCCACCTTGAACCTGTCCCTCACTGAACCCCTCAACCATCAGTCATCGGCCGCCTCGAGTCTTCCGGCTCACCACTCTAGCGCCATGTCTCCAAACCTCACAACAGACAAAAAGACCTCTTTCGAGGCAAAAGAGGCAGAAGAGCAGATTGCCATGCAAAAGCTCAACTCCCTGACACAAGGCGAGACCGTCGACCTCGACGCCACGGAAACGTTCCTCCGCGAACACAACTTCACAAACGAGTACATAGCAGAGCTCCTAAACGACAAAGCCCTCAACAAACGTGTCATTCGTAAAGTCGACATGCTCCTCCTCCCGCTATTATGTGGAACCTACATGCTCCAATACATCGACAAGAACGCGTTATCCTACGCAGCTGTCTTCGACTTGTTTACAGACACGGGTATCTCATCGGAACAGTATAGTTGGTTCGCTAGTATCTTCTACTTCGCGTACATGGCGGCTGAGTATCCTTGGTTGTTCCTTGCGCAAAAGACGTTGATGGCAAAGGTTGTTTCGGGGTGTGTTCTTGCCTGGGGAGCTGTGTTGATGTTGACGGCTGCGGGGAACAATTTCGGATCGTTGGCGACGTGTAGATTCTTCTTGGGTGTCTTCGAGGCACCGATCACAACGTGTTTCATGATGATCGTTTCGATGTGGTATATGCGGGAACAGCAGCCGTTCAGAGCCGGTATCTTCTACTGTTGCAATGGTGTCGGGGCTATGGTGAGTCTTTTCGTCTAAACCGTTGACGTTGCTAATTGAGGACAGCTCGGTGGTCTTCTTACCTACGGCATTGGTCAGATCAAGAACTTCCCTGTCTGGAAGGCCGTCTTCATGACCTGTGGTGGCATGACCGTCGTCTGGGGTTTTGTCCTGCTCTTCTTCCTTCCCGACAGCATCATGACAGCCCGTCAATTCACACTCGAGGAACGAGCGCTTCTTATCGGACGTGGTCGCCTCGCTCGAACGGGTGTTCTCAACAAGACAATCAAATGGTACCAGATCCGGGAAGCTTTCATCGATCCCCAGGTCTGGCTTCTCGTCCTATTTATGCTACTCAACGAGTGCATGAACGGAGGCGTCGCCAACTTCGGCAAGCTCATCATCAAGGGTGTCGTCAAGGATCCTCTTCAGACCGTTGCTTTGGGTATCCCCATGGGCGCGTTCCAAGTCGTCTGGATTCTGTCTGGAACTTTTCTCGCTTCAAAGATTAAGAATATCCGCACTACTATTATGGCAGTCTATCTCATCCCTACTATTATCGGAATTTCTCTTCTCTGGAAGATGGATCGCGAACATCACAAGATTGGCGTTCTTTTCGGCTATTACATCGTCGGTGCATTCGTCTGCTCTTTGGTTCTGGCGATGCAGATGCCTGCCAGCAACCTCGGTGGTTATACCAAGCGTATGACAGCTTCCGCCATGGTGTTCATTGCTTACTGCGTCGGTAATGTTATTGGTCCCCATGCCTTCCTCGGCGAGGAGGCTCCTTTATACCAAACCGGGTGTATCTTCATCTTAGGCTGTTCTGTCGCCCAGATGATGGTGGCGATTATGCTTCGAGTTCTATTGGTTAGGAGAAACGCACGCCGAGATGCTGCTGCGGCGGCCGTGGGATCCAATAACGAGGATCCCATTGATACGGATGGAGGTGATTTGACCGACTTTGAGGTAAGTTTTTTCAAAGCTATATCAGGGTGTAAACTAACTTTATCTATAGAACCCCCACTTCCGCTATGTCCTATGATCATGTAACTTTGCGTGGATATAAACTCATGCAGCATATTTAACCAGGGCAAACGCAAACGCCTTGTTTATAATCACTGCTATTTTTTCGTTCCATCCCTGATAGTACAAGAATATTACACTTATCTTTTTACTCCACAAGTCCCCAAATATGCTTTTAGGAACGTTCTTTTGTCATAACCTGTGGCCAGGGGAATACCACATCATAGGTAGGAACACCTGTAAAGAAACATAATCCCAGCACCCACTCCTGCGTATACAAACGTACTGGTCCCTCATGGGTATCTCCAGAAACTCGAACTCCAAGTGACACATGATGATCTAGCTCATTCGCCAAATATTCTTCGTCCTCATGGGTGTCAGACCATAATGAGGTGAAGACATACGCAGGGCTGTCTTCATGTTGACTCAGAAGTTCACCAGCATCGGTACCGCAATCGTGGATGAAAATCCCTCGAGCTGCCGTAGGCTGCCCAGCTGAATCGCAGAGATACCCCAAAGACAAGCCCTTGTCTGCATCCATTGCTCTAACGACTTCCTTCGCCATCAGCCGGCGATATCGCAGACTGAAGGATTCTTCATCATCGACCACGAAGGCGTCCTCTTTGAGAAATCCCTTCATATCCTCAACAATATCAGCATTCCTGCCGATATGTTGAGCCTTGACTAGTTCGGTGAGCTGCCGTAGGCGTGTCCGTTGGTACTCCGAGAGTTGCTGTTCGCCCTGCTGGCTTGCTTGTGATAGCCGTGGCGACGACCGAGGTGCTCGCAGTGTTTTCCCAAGCTTCCACAGATGACCTCTTGTCTTGATACCCGACTTCGTGAAATCCACGTCAACGAAGCGACAGCTTTTGTTATATGTCAATCGCCTCTCGCCGTCAGGTGCCTTAAAGTCGTCGAAAAACAAGTCATTAGTCTGCTCTATGACAGTTCCCTTGGGTACGTAAACCTCGTCGTTGTTAAGGATCTCCCCATTTAACAGACGCAATGCCAGTATTGATAGATCAAGGCTCAGTCCGTCTTCATCTTTCTGTTGCAATCTCGTTGCATCCAGCCTTGTCGCATACTGACAGCAGTTGGCAATAATAGCCAAGCGATCCCAAGGTTCCGTTACACCTCTCCACTGCACATCAGAAATGATGGTCCCGGACATGGATGTTGACGGCGCTAGGAGGATTTTATATCTCCCAGCAGTCTTCAGAATATGAGTGATTTTGTCTTCATCCTCGTTTGTCCCAAAATCATGCCGCCGAAAGGCAAGACAGAATTTGGTCGCGCTCTCTGAGAACTTGACGGATTGAAAGCTGAGCTCGCCGGGGACCACACCAAACATTGGTTTCTTCCCACTGAGCATAGACCTCTTCGCAGCTTCAAGGTCGGGATCGTGATGGATAAGAAGCGTCATTTTGAGGCCAGCTCGATAATTCTCCTGGAACGTCCACGCCCTGGTCCACCATTTGTCACTAGTGATTTCATATAAAAGATCCAGCATCTTCTTGGCCTGATCGTATTCCGCATTCTTGGACAGAGCGAATCCACCGTCGTGGTATTTGACAAGTACGCCTCTCAAAATAGCTGACAGAGTGGCCATTTCATCCTCGCTGTGAATCGGTCGCCCAAGTAAAGCAGTAGGGTGATCGCTGAGTGAGTAAACCCAGTCCATGGCATCAAGGGCATGTCTCTTCTGTTTGCATTCTTCGTGAGTGCATGCTGGTTGTTTGCACTTCTTCTGGGGAATACTGTGTCGATCAATCCATAGCAAAGGTACATCATGACATTGCATGTACTTTGTGATCCTCTCAAGTACGGAGTTGCGGACTGATGAACGCCAAGCATCCTCGCCATCCCTCGTCTCAATCAAATGCCCTTCGGCTTTGTGGTTCTGTGTTTCATACTCAGAAGCATCCCAGGTATATGAGAGTGCAACGAAATTACTATCAGTGAATCCATTGACATTTTCCCGAAACCAATAAGGCCTCTCTGGTTTCTCATCCTCATCAGCGTCAATCTTCCTCTTCTTGGACTGTCGTCTACCAAGACATTCAAGGTTCTCGACAATCCAGATCATTTTCTGCTGCGGAATCCGACATTTCTGGATCTCGACGAGGGATGCGATAGTGTCGTCTTGGTCTTCTGATGCGTTATCTCGAAGGTCACGTTTTGCGACCATTATCTTGGCCTGTTGATGTACATCTCGGATCAGGGGTAGTTGGATGATTGGATGTAAGATGAGGGAGCCACTTGAGATTATGCCGGGCATAGTGACGTGAGAGGCTTAGCGTGAAAGACGCGTCGCCATCCACCAATCATGTTGTATCTTCTCACCGAAGGCATGTCTAGGGTATCTCGATTTCGAGAGACATGACAGTATCATTAATGGTTGACCATTTCTGTTGTATAGTTGTTTTTGAGAACGAGCATCATCGGATCTAGGATAATCTCCGAGCCATTTGGAACTATAGATCACTTTTTGTATACTCGCTTCATCTAGGATTTCTGAGAGGCAGATTTTCAGGAATAAACAACTTCAACTTATTCGATATGCATGGGGAATGCAGTGATTTCCATTCCAGGTATTTGTTCAAGGCGGATATCTGAGATTAAATCGACTGTTCCTTAGTCCACCCAAGTACCGGGTATTGACATTTTTCCATGAGCCTTCTTGTTTCCAGCCCCTTTCCGCATTTTCCGTTCCAGTTTGCGTTCGCGACGTCTTTTTCTCTGATGATATTCATGATACAACCATTCCACTGCCCTCTTGACCTCCATGTTCACGTCCATTTGATGCCCAAGGTCTGGTGGTCGTGGATCGTCTCCCATTTTTGGTGCAACGGGCCACGTCGTTTTCTCCGGGTAAATCAATGTTGTGTTCTCTCCAGCTTTCCAAGCTTGGCGGAGCCGCATAGTATCCATCCAGTTGGCGTAAGTGTCTATGGTTTCGCGATGTAGGAAACGCGGAAACTCTACCAAGAGTTCTCGTATAGCACATGCTCGACTGATCTCTTCTCGCCAATACGGGATGCGTCTGCCTTTTGAATACTGTACTTGCAAGACCCGGTTGATCAACGACCCGTCTTCGCGATACCCTGGCATATGGCATGCTGCTGACGCTGCCCAAGTAGCAAAACACTGTGGTGTTTCAATTTCCAGATATTGTCCAATTTCTACTCCTGCTAGCTCCAGTACATCGAGCCACAAGTGTAAATTGCTAACAGCTGCATCTGGACAGGCCGGACGTCGAGGAATCACAGTCAAAGTACTGGCGTTATGATAGAAGTCGGTGTGAAGGTCGCTGTATATGTCGAGACCTCGTGCAGTATGCTCTGAGATGAATGACGCCCAATCTCCCACATCATGCTTCAAGAGATGCTGGTTAGAGAAGGCTTTAAGCACACTTCTTCCTAAAACCTTGTAAAAGCGATCTCGGGCTGGTGAGGACCAGGTTAAATACGCATCTATGCAAGCTTTTAGTTGACTTAAAGTTAGAACTCCAGTCAGTACAGAGTCTAGTTCGTCTGGGCTCATCCCATTCTTCCGCATGTTGATGTAGTCGACAGCACATTGTAAGTCAGATGATTCCTGTATGAGTTTGAATACACCAGGACCGTCAGGAAATTGCTCTCTGTGACTGTCAGCAGGGATAATGCGCGGTCGCTCTTACTTCCTCGCATATCTTACCTTTCCTCCACCATATTCGTTTGCGACCTCGCAAATGCTAGAATACGTGGCGCTGTTAATGCTGCTGCTAACTGAGCTGATGTCAATCAATGGCAGATTAGGACCATACTGGACACTCACTCCTAATATGGTATATCCGGTGTCAGTATAATTGTCGTTCCAGCCAAGTAGTGTTGTGGGTGTTATAACACGTTGGACGAGTAATTCCCGAATCTCTTCTAGGTCGTCGTCGAAATATGCGTTCCGGATCCTTTCGCCGACGCTACCTGACCCGTAGTCGACTCGAACCACCCATGGTACCTGTAACGTAATATATAAAGGCGAAAAGCAGGCCTGCGTGATACAAACCTTAATAGACCGGCTGGAAAATGGTGTGCCTACAGTAAAAGTCGAACAACCTTTGGTTACGGGGGGTCCTAAGCCATGAACATTCGCCGTCTTCTTCTGCACTGTGGTTTTTGCGATGAACGCCAATCCCAATAGGGAATGTTGCCGGCGATTTATAACAAATGTTGTTTCAGGTATCGATTTTCGACAGACGTCCGTGGAGGTGGGGCTGGTATCAACATACCCAGAAATTGAAGCTCGATCAGGCTCAATAACAGCACTTAAGCGACTAGGCGAGTCTGTTTCCTCAAGAATAGTGACTTCCATCCTGGGCGGCTGGAGCAAACGAATACTAGTAGAAGGTCAGTCTGATGATTCTCAATAGGAGAAAGAGAAGCTTACAAATTGCTTGTCGTCAAAACAAGATTGAGGCTTGAGAGAGATTTGTCCAACCTCTTGGTGCAGGATGAGATCTTATCTTTAAACTGCAAGAACAAGCCTTCATTTCTGAATGGTCCTCTCCGTTTCCCATTCACAATTTGAATGATGTCTTGAACATCTGCTAATCTGTCATGACACTCCTGAATCCTGCCATGCAGTGCAGCAAAAAGCCGTGCTTCACTGGGATGGTACTCCGATGTATCAGAGTTGTATAGGATATCTCCTAGTGATTCGCAAACGTTCGCCACATCTGCAAGAGTATTCGACAGTGCCTCCAGCTCTCGTGCCGCAGACTTGTATGATGAGATCAAGTTGTTAATAGTTGTTGTCGTTTTGGCAAGCTGGGCGCATAATGGCACGATGCCGATCAACAGCGAGACGGGTTCCATCGTGGTGAATGAGTCAGAAAGTTGCTTCAGTGAGTTTTGAATCGGTCGTAGTGACCTTCACACCTGGTCTGTATATACTGTCGTCCTGCAAAGAGATGGAAACTGTAGATACTGCGTGGTTGTGAGTGATGTTGAATTTGCCAGAGCAATTGGGTAGGCATACAATACGGAATATCACTATTAGGAAAGGAGAAGGCATCCACTCGCGATTGATGCCTTGATCTTGAGGATCATTGCATTACTAGGTACTCTGGTCTGTTCGGGTGTCGCGTGGCACAAAGATGTTGGACAACAATTGCAGCCTTACTTCCGCTTGTGAATGCAGCTTCCCTAGACTCCAGGACCTTTGCCCCGCTGGTCACATTCACAGGACTTGTCGAGGATGTGTCGCACTCAGATGATAAGGAGTCATACTTGTCCAATGATATGAGCTTCATTGATCTATATTTCTTTCATTATTACTTTCTAAAGACAGTCCCGTGTTTTGAATTGAAGTAACCCAACTATAACGCTCTAGGCATCAATTCTGGCGGAAGCTGATCCTGCATACGAAACAATTCCTCCCTGCTCCCCTCATTCCTAGGATATGCCGTCAAACTCTCCACGTCAACCTCACGAACAACATGTATCCTGTCGCGAGCCGTATTTTCAGGTCTCTCAGGCCTCACAGGTGTAGCAGCGATAGTCGTGTTCGTATGTGTATCGCCAGTGTAAATGCGGTCCGGCATGTTGACTGTCGCCTTCGTGTTGCCTCTGTGCATCGAAGATAGTGGGACAAGGGTACTTTGGTCCTGTGATGGTTTCGTCGGACGGGTTCGTGTCCCACTGCGATTTCGGACAAATTCGATGAGCTCGCCTAGCACGGCGAACTCGAGCTTGAGTTTGATCGAGTATGTGACTAATTTGACGCCATGTTCCCACACGTAAAAGTCCATTAGTTCGATGATGACCATAGCGATGTCCATTATCACTATGGCTATGCTGATGGCGAAAAGCCTGTATAGCATGGTTCGTGTGTTGCCAAATGCGGTCTTAAGAATATCCATCGATTTCCACAAGTATAAACCCGAGATGGCTATCTCTTGTAAGTAGAAGCAGCTCATCGAGATCTTTTCTGCGATGTTGAAGACATTATTGAAGCCGCGCCGGTTTTCTCTCGGGCTGTATTCTGATCCAAAGAGTAATACCGTCATAGTTGTGTGCTTGATGAGCGTTAGTTGCAGTGGTTTGTGTAACAGCATGATCGACGTACCCAGATTAGACCGTTGACGATAATCACAGTTAGTACCGTACGCAGGATGAAGACATCGGTTAGAATCAGGTGTAGACGAGAGTACAGAACAATAGATTGACCCGATATCACAAGAACCCAGCCGACGGTCTCAATAATCATGCCCACATAGTCGTGCGTCAAGTCGAAGTAAGTTATGAACCATCCCAAGCAGTACGGTAAAATGCCGAATGATGCGAACAGTATACTCCAGAAATAAAGGCCGGCTCTTCGTTTGAACGTCAGAAAGATGAGAGTAAGAAGCTCGATGGCATTGTAGAGTGAAAGCGTTGAGGCGACCTATACAGTTAGTGATGACCAAGGCAGTCAGTCATCTGTGGAAACACATACAATTACAAACACGTCCCTCCCAATGTATACCATTTCATCAACGTTCATGTTGGCGTAGTGGACGTCCCATTTGTCACGGTGTGGTAACATCATTGTGTCTCGTCAGTTAGGGTGTCTTGGGGAAACGTAAAACAAATATTCTCCGTTAGCAAATACTAAGAAAACTAAAAGCAGAACGCCTAGACACGGAGGGAATCTTGGCACATAAGTAAACCTGGATTTCCAAAGACGTCACATCTAAAATCAGCCCGTAAGCCATCGGACCAGAGCCTGGATCTACATGATATCTGCCTTAGTGGTAGTAGAACTTTTCTGGTATGGCGCCAAGGTCCGCGACCAAGCTTTCCGATGCGCCATCACATCGTCCCATGGGGTTCAATTTCGCTGGTTGATCGTTTCGTACCTTGCAGAAAGCCAAACGGAAAGCAGAGCGAATGATCTGTGGCCAGACACTCATCGATAACGGTCATGCATTCCAATGCCCTGACTTTACTGCTTTGAGAATTATGACTCAAGAGTGAGATTACTGAACTATTCCAGGGTGCCCAGACCCTTTTCAGAGCATTACAACAGCTGTTCCAGGCCTCAGATTCCGGCATTTGACACGTTCACTGGGGTTCGGGTCGCGTAGACCGTCTGTTGGACAACGCGATAGTGTCTTCACCCATAAGAACGAATACTTCAACCGATCAACATCAGCACACGTTTTTGACCTATAATAGAAGACCCTGAGATGCGGCAGGCATTTATCACCGGCACAGTAATTTATACTGTCGATCAATTCCAGACATTGAGGTTGGTGCTGTGGGATTTATGTTTATCCATCAAGCGGGCCAAACTACCGGTATTTCAAGTCCAGGCTAATACAGAAGCAGCCTGTAACAACAGATGATGACGAGAATGAATGGCTTAAGGTTAAGCTTCCGTTTATGGTTGCCAGCGCCCGTTCTTATCATGAATGCGGATTGCAACTCACCCGAACTGTCAAGGGTGACCTCCGGGTCGTGGCGCGCTTCCTTCATGCCATGGTATGATAAGAGATAAGGCGTACGCTAAGCCAGGTTCAGCTTAGACCATTACCAGTCCAGCAACTTTTGAAGAGTCAATCTGATTGGTTAGTTGCTCTTATCTCTTATCGTGATGTGACCTGAAGGTCAGCAGATCCATATGGCCCAACCGCCATGTAATGTTCGGGTTCTCGTACAATTCACAAAGTATACCAGTACGTCAAGACATCTGGGCAAGACAAAACAATAGAGCTGGAAGAGCTTATTTTCATTTTCTTATTTATATCAATCCCAACTTTAAAGCAGAATAAAGACTTTGACCATTGAACAAGATTAAGCTGTAGCTCGAGATAAGCCTAGGTTAGGTAACGCAATACGTTTATTATCGTTGTTATGCCGAATCTGTGTGAAGGATTGTTAGAGGCACTAGCATCCTTTCCCAACTGTGGCTGCGTATCGTTCTGTGGCGTAGCCCTCTGACCAGGCTTTCAAACTGTGGCTAGGTTGTCTAAAATTGCTGAAGTTCCAACCCAACGCCTTGACCAAAGTAAGAAGCTTCCCTTGCAAGGAAACAGCAAATATCAACATGACATGAATAAAACCATCGTCACAGAGGAATGCTTTCGCGATGTCTATTCTCCATGTTTTTGTTCATTCGCCGGTCTTTGTTACGCTTTCCACCCCCCTTGAAAACTAGGTACCGTCTTGGCGAGCTTCAGTAGGTAGGCTCTAGCACTGTGAACGCTGGAAAATGCAAGCCAGCGCCTAGGAGGGCACGACCCAATTTGAGTCCACCGCGACGACTGTTCAAGACAACCTACACCGCGTTTCCTCAAGGTATCATGACAATTGTTATGAGGACCGAGACTATTTCACTCATAGAAGACTCTACGCTCTACTACTGCACCCACTGTGACCTCGGCTGTCGCTAATGTACCGCTACTGGTCGCAATGACGCGAAGGATGCGAAGTCGATGTCAGTTCAATTTGGGGGTTGACGACTGTTTGGAGGAAGGACTCTCCGTTGCACCTAATCAAATATGCGGGACACGTGAATTGCAACCGCACGATAAAGCCTTTGTAGTTCGGCTCAGCATGACCCTCAAATTGCGGGGATCAATTGCCCACGCGTAGCATGGCGAAAATCCCATCCCTGATTTCGGACCAGGTCGAGGCCCTCGAAGGCTCGAATAAATTGTTCGCCGTATTATGCATACCTAATTCTCCCTGAAGTCGGGCAAAGGCTGATAAGATCCAATTAAAGACAAACAGACTTTTAATGTCTGAGTTGTCGAGCACCCTTAAGCCACAATTAACAATTTCTGATCTTTTGTCCAATCGGTTGGCTCTGAGTGAGCGCCCTTGCATGACTGAAGCCATCCCGATGAATGAGCTTCCCAACTTTCTGAGACTATCTGCAAGACGACTCGCACTAATCGCCTTCAATTTCAGCACCTGAATATCTGGTAGGACGCCACAAGAAGTAGGAGGTTCTCATTGGAATCCTGACAATTGCCCTTGCCTCGTAGTAACATTTACGTGTTAATTCGCCCCTGCGCATGTTCAATGTAAGAAGGTATAAGGCCGGGTGGCAACGTCAACTCTGCGTACACCCTTGGATACTCCGCTACTGCTACTCAAACGAGTATCAGCTTGCAATATGTCTCTTCTCATGAAAGACTTGAGGCCACACAGGGTCCCTATTGCAATTGTCAGCTTGATCGTCTTCAGCTGGGTTTCCTTTCTTCTCTTCCCTTCGGAAACTTGGGACTGGCAACCTCAGACTACCACTACATCCACGCGCGACGCAGACCGACGATTCGCCCTTGTCATACCCGCCAACAACCCAAGCCCCGATTTGTGCAAAACAATCGGCAGCGCCCTCGCCCTCGGCTACCCAAGTCCCGTTATCATCAACTGGGGAGTTGACCATCGTCCCATTTCAAAATGGAAAGGTGGTAAGAACTTGCCAAAGGTGCCTGGCTTTGTTGACTACCTTGATGCAGTCATGCACCCGAACGCACACCCATCCGAACGTTTGGAGGAAGACGATATCGTCCTTCTTGTCGATGCCTACGACGTTTGGTTCCAGCTGCCTGCACAGGTAATGCTTGAGCGATACCATAGGCTCAACAAAGAGGCCAACGAGAGGCTACAGGAGATGTGGAACAAGAAAAGGAGTGGGAAGATGCCGATGAAGCAGACTATCATTGCAGCATCTGGCAAACGATGCGACCCCAAGCTTGAGAAGATGGGTTACAAGATCCGATGTGACAAATGGCCTCAGAGCCCACTGCGCAAGGATCTTTATGGGCCTGAAACCGACAAGAACGAGACGTGGAACTACTACAGACCGCGATGGATCAACGGAGGTGTCTACATCGGTCCTGCTGGCGATCTCAGACGCTTGTTCCGTCGCGCCTATTTCACGATGGAGAACGGTATTGGACAAGGAATCAAGATGCGAAGTGAGCAGTCTCTTGCTGCTGAAGTCATTGTCGAGCAGGAGATGTTTCGAAAGTGGCAGAGGGCGAACAAGGTACCGAAACAAGCAATGGCCGACTTGATGGATGACAAGCTGGAGTATCACATTGGTCTCGATTACGCCCAAGAACTATCAGTCCAGACTCAATGGGCGCAGGATGTTCAGGGACGGGATAACGGTGCCTTTGTCAAGTTGGGTAACCAGTCGGAGATCGATGAGTACTCCAAGGAGCGGGGCATCCAGCCAGTTCGACTACAAGGTATACCCGAGGATATCCTTTCAGCACCAAACCCTCTTGCAGACATCGTGCCGGGATCCAACTGGACCAATATGTCACTCTACGCCGACTTCTTCACCGAGTCTATCCCTGTCATTCTCCACCACAACGGTGTCGGCCCACTCAAGAAGCATCGATCAACATGGTGGGATAAACCATGGTACTCCGAACACCTTCGAACGCTCCTCCATAAGCGTATGAAAGCCACCGGTGAGCCTGAAGATCCTCTAGCGACTGTTCTAGACGATGGTGGTCGTATCAGATACTGGGGCGTTAGCGCAGAACATGAGAGTATGTATCCGCGAGAGATGAAGAAGTCGGCCAAGAACAGACTGCATAAGATGAAGTTCTCAAACATTTGTCAGTACAAGAAGAAGAAGGCTGATCCAAACGCGCCTTATCCCGATTGGTGGGACGAGGTTTTCCGTGATGGTGAAGGACCTTGGGGGCATAGGCTTGGGCACAAGCTCAGCCATACGCACAGCGACAAGTACCGCAACAGACATAGTAACAAGTACAGCGAAATGACGCCCAGGCACCCTTTTTAGTAATATTAGATTTTAGTTGGTCAGTAATTATATCATGTTTTGTTCGAGAACCCGACGCTCAAGTGAAGTCCTCACAAGGGTTCAAACTGTGACGGTGACTGTGTGTGTCTTTGCTAATGCTACTTTTTGCTTCATAAATGTGTTATCCATTGTGGTTACAACTACCATGAATATTGCCTTCGGAATTGTAGTTGCAACAAGGAATTGAGTCCCAGCGACCGTTGAAGCCTTTCCCGTACAGCAGTGGCATACATACACAAGCTTCCGAGGCCCTGGTATCTGACTGTCTCCACTACAATCGAGCGAAGCGCCACCGATAAACGGAAGAATAATTTTAAGCGCGGCCAGTACTGTTGACCCACTGTGGTTGAAGCCATTGAAAGTTATATCCAACAGCATTGGAACGTGATAAGCCGAGAGGATGTCATTTGAGAGTTTCGGTTCTCGAAAGGTCATTCCATTAAAACATAATTATAGGCCGTAAGTTGCCATGATCATAAACTCATAACCACCAAAGCATATACAAGAAGTCAAACCATTACACGGAACTCCTTCTATCCTCCAAGAATACACTGTCCAGCAACGCAAAGGCATAGTCCCAAGCGACATCTAGGCAATGTCCTGCAATCTGCAGCTGCCGTACACTCCGGTGTAGGTCCATTGCCAATAAGTCCACAGACACCATTGACACAGGCACAAACGCCTGGCAGAACACACAAATCCAGGTTTGCAAGACAGTCAGCTGCACCAGTACAATCTGTGTTGTCTACACAAACGCCGTTGGAACAAGTGGCACCTGCGCTGCAGTCGTCGTCACCTGAACACTCATCAACATCGGGGGATGTTGCGCAGACGGCGTCTACGCAGACGCAGAGACCTAGAGCGCAGAGGGGATTGACGCTTAGGAGACAGTCGTTGGCGTCAACGCACGCATCGGGGCCACCGCCGCCTGGGGGACCGCAGATGCTGTTGTTACATTCGTCGCCTGGAGTAGTACAGTCTGCGTCTACCCCGCAAGACTCGCCTGTGCCTCCGTTACCTGCTCCAATAACACAGACGGCATTCAGGCAGACGCAAAAGTTGAGACCTTCAATAATACAAAGATCGACATTCGCAGTACAGTCGGTTGCTGTGTCGCAGGAAGTCGTGCCTGCATCGGGGTCCGGACCACAGACACCACTGTCAAGACAAATAGATCCAGATCCAGTACAGTCACCGTTGTCGGTGCAAGCATCGCCGTCGTTATCTCCGTTGCCTCCAGGATTAATGCAAACAGCATTTAAGCAAACACAAAGGTTCAGAAGGCCATCGAGACAAAGGCCAGCATCCACCGCACAGTCGTCGGCTGTGGTACAAGGGGTTGTGCCTGCACTAGGATCTGGGCCACAGACGCCACTGTCAAGACAGATGGAGCCAGTTCCAGTACAGTCGGTGTCGTCAGTGCAGGTATCGCCGTCATTGTCACCGCCGCCACCACCCGGAGTCACAACACAAACGGCATCAACACAGACGCAAAGGTTGAGAAGACCGTCAAGGCAGAGGGCAGCATTCGCAGTGCAGTCAGCAGTGGTGTCGCAAGATGTTGTGCCAGGGTCAGTCGGATCAGGACCGCAGACACCACTGTCGAGGCAAATTGAACCAGCAGTGGTACAGTCACCATCATCCGTACAGGCCTCACCGTCACCACCTCCACCTCCACCTCCGGATGGTACACAGACAGCGTCGACGCAGAGACACAAGTTGAGGAGGCCATCCAAGCAAAGACCTGCATTGGCAACACAGTCATCAGCGGTGTCGCAAGATGTTGTGCCAGGGTCAGTCGGGTCAGGGCCACAGACGCCACTGTCAAGACAGACTGAGCCAGCGGTGGAGCATTCATCGTCCTCAGTACAGGCAGACCCATCACCTCCACCTCCGCCTAGATTCAGGCAGACAGCGTCAACGCAAACACAGAGGTTGAGTAAGCCGTCAAGACATAAGGCAGCGTTCACCGCACAATCATCAGCGGTATTACAGGTTGTGGTGTCTGGACCATCAGGGTCAGGTCCACAAACACCACTGTCCAAGCATACAGATCCTGCTGTTATGCAGTCGCCATCGTCTGTGCAAGCTGAACCATCCTCGCCGTCGTCACCTCCTCCCCCAGGAGCCAACTCACAGACAGCATCGACACAAACACACAGGTTCAGAAGGCCATCCAGACAAAGACCAATGTTGGCAAGACAGTCATCATCCGTACTGCATTCAGTAGTTGCTGTCTCCGTAGGTACAACGTCACCTGTAGTAGCGGCGGCATCGGGTGCAACAACACAGACAGCATCAAGACAGAGGCAGATGTTCAAGAGACCATCAACGCATAGCTCGGTGTTGGCTACACAGTCGGCCGCGGTAGTACAGCCAGTAGTGGGTGTAGGAGCTGGAATATCATCGGTAGCTGTTGTCTCAACATTGGTGACAGGGTCAACAATACAAATTGCATCTACACAGATACACAGATTGATCAGACCATCAACGCAAAGGCCAAGGTCAGCCAAGCAGTCAGCATCGGTGTTGCAGGGGAACTCAGTCTCCGCGGGGTCTGTAGCGGTAAGGGTCAGGGTGGCAGTGGGTTCGCCGTCTGGTCCATCGACAGTTGTAACTTCAGGGCCACCAGGTGTGTCATCGGTAAGAGTAACAGTAGCAGTCGGTTCACCATCGGGTCCGCCGAGAGTAGTGACGTCGGGGTCAGTGGGGACGTCATCAGTGAGAGTGACAGTAGCCATAGGCTCGCCATCAGTTCCAGTGAGTGTTGTGAGTTCAGGCTCGTCAGGTCCATCATCAGTGAGCGTAACAGTAGCTGTAGGTTCGCCATCAGTTCCAGTGAGGGTAGTCAGATCAGGACCGTCAGTAGGACCAATGCTTCCTGAGCCGCCTTGGGGATCTCCAGGAATGGGTCCCTGAACACAGACGCCGTCAACACAGTTGCAAATGTTCTCGCCGTTGAACAGGCAAGTGTTACCAAGAGCAAGACAGTCATCGTCAGTTGTACACGCCAAGGTTCCGGTTGGCGCTGGAGGGAAGTCGTCTGTAGGGTCTGGTCCTCCAGCTCCGGTGGTGGGACCACCCGGAGTAAGATCTGGGTCGATGACACAAACACCATTGTTGCAAATGCAGACGTTGATTCCAGCAACGACACAAAGCTCCGCGTCGAGGATACACTCAGCGTCGATTGAACAGGCGATGCCAGTCTGAGTAGGGTCAACGCCGAAGGTGATGGTCGTGCTGCCGTCGGTGATCACTCCAAATGTTGCAGTGGCTTCGTTGTCATCGGGTCCTCCAGTGGCGATGGCAGTTGTGATGACATTTCCATTGGAGTCAGTCGGTAGTGTGCCTGGGGTTCCTTCAGGACCGCCTTGTAGACCAGTCGTAGAAGCGTCAGTCCCGTCTGTGGCATCTGGGTTGGGAATAACTGTGACAGATCCGGAGATAGTGACAGTGAGGGATGCTTCATCATCGTCGTCATCATCATCATCAAGGTCATCGCCAGGTCGGCCGTTACCGCCCTGGGGGTTACCATTGAATCCAGGTGCAGCAACACAATCGCCATCGAGACATCTCTGCCCTCTAGGGCAGACAACACCAAAGCAGCTGGCCAGAGCAGGGTTTGCAGTGCAGGTCTCAGCCAAGCAAATCTCATCGCTGGTACAGACTTCTCCACCACAGTTGGTAGGATCACTGAGAGCAACGCAAGCATCATCGATACAAGCATAGTTGAGAGGACAGGTAGAGCCACCGCAGTTTTCGGGTCCTTCGACTGGGACACAGCGGTCGTCGATACAGGCGAAACCTTCAGGACATTCTTGGGTCTGGCGACGAGAAAGGGTAGAAGAGGGGCCGCAGGATAGAGGATCTGAGACAGTGAGGCATTCGCCGCCAATGCAGATCTCGTTGGAGGAGCAGTCGGGATCGCAGGACGGGGCGGGGGAACCATTGCCATCTTCTCCCGGTCCAGGACGACCGGGACCAAAGTTGTTGGCACCACCCTTATTACCTCCCTTACCAGAGTTAGAACCGGAGCCTGGGCCGAAGCCATTGCCATTGCCAGAGCCAGAACCGCGGAAGTTGCCGTTGCCATTACTGCCAGAGCCACCCTTACCATTGCCATTACCGGAACCAGGCTTGCCGGGGCCATAGCCAGGGTAGCCGTCTTCCTTGGAAGAGCCACTATCAGAGCCACCACTGCCGGATGGCTTGCCACCAGGGCGACCAGAAGAACCACCATTGTTGGACGATCCATCAGAAGAGCCCTGGCCGCTAGAGCTGCCCTTTCCTGAAGAGCCTCCCTTGCCGTTGGAGCTTTTGCCGGACGAAGTGTTACCAGATCCAGAAGGTCCAGTAGGTCCCTCCTGACTACCGCCGGAGCCAGAAGAGCCGCTGCTACATGTAACACCAGCTTCACCCTCCCGGAAAAGGTTCTTGATGCACATTCCAGAGATGCAAAGCTCATCAGCTCCACATCCTTTTTTGTTGTCGCCGCAGTGAGAAGAATCGGTAGAGATACTGATAGGCAAGCACTCGCCCTCCCAGCAAAAGAAGCCAGGATCACAAGGTCCTTTGGATTTACCACATGCATCTGTTTGGTACTTCTCCTCAGTGAAGGAAAGAGATTGGCATGATCCAGAGACACAGAGCTGTCCGGCGGTGCAGCCCTTGGAGGACTCTCCACAGTTGTAAACGTCGGTCGAGATGAAGATTTGTTGGCATTGTCCATCGTTGCAAGATGAGCCGAGAGGGCAGGGGGTCTTGTTATCGCAGGTTTGAGGGTATGTTCCGAGGATGAATGGTACGCAAGTATCTTGTAGACACCAAGTTCCGGCATCGCAGGTTACTTTGTCGGGACCGCAAGACGTAGTTTCGGGGTCGATGTCGAGGATCTGGCATTCGCCGTTGATACAAACTGCGCCAGCGCCACAGTCTTCCTGATCTGTGCCACAAAGACGGGAGTTTACCGCGATCTCAATCGAAGTGCACTCGCCATCATTGCACCATTGACCAGCTGTGCATGGAGTATCGCACTTCTGAACTCCAATGTTCAATGGTTTGCATTCACCAACAATGCAAATTTCTCCCGCCTCACAGGAGTTGCCATACTTGCCACAATTGCTGGGGTCAAGTCCAATGGTAGTGTTGGTGCAGCTTCCCCAGTTACAGAGCTCTGAGGTAGGGCAGTAGGCGTGTTTATTCGAACGGGCGGTATGTTCGGAGGGGTAGGCTGAGGCCGTGATGGCTGCGAGTGTCACAGCTGTCAGGGCTCGCCAGCTCATCGTTTGAGGCATGGCTGTGTCGTGATTAACGAATGTTAGTAGAACGAGTGACCGATTTGAAGCGAATGTTCGGGTTTGATGAGATGAGGCTATCTGTGGATTGAAGACGATGCTATATACCTGTCGAAGTTAACAATAACATAAACAAACATCGAATATACCTTCCCTTTTCCCAGCATTATTCTTTTCCTGGGTAACGACATTTTCGAATACCGATGCTGTATGTTGATGTTTGATTAAACTGAACTTGGCAGTTAGGGTCTTCTCGAATCGTGAGATCTCGACCACGGTACTGGTATGCAGTCGTCATGATGTTATCGTGATCACAAGGCAGAAAACAGCACAAGACAGGTCTACGATGCGATCTCGAACAGCAAAAGCGATGGCAGGGTCTCAATACGAGAGTCAGAGGTCACCAAAACCTTCCAGGCGTGGATTGTGGATCTCATACGATGGGCTGTGTAACAGTCCCTGGGAAATGCTGTTCTTCAGATATGCTGTGTTCTATTGGTTCGAGAAGCATCAACAGTACAAATATCGGTATTCCCGTCATACCAGGAGCTCAAGTTAGGTGTAGCTGTCAGTTGCGTGTTTATTCGGGCAACTGAATCATGTGTTTGAGAAATCAAGTTCTGGATATTACCGTTTCATATCCATGTCTGACTTGAATCTCCAGATGCCCGAGGTACCCACACAGCCGTTGCGACTAACTTGGTATACCGTGGGAGGCCGTTCGAACTTTGGGGGTTTATGCTTAATTGCATACAATCCGTTCAAAGGGGTACAGCGATCGATGCCTGGCTTTCGAGCCTTACCTTGACGCTAAGGCTCTGAGGTTATACAAACCCATCCTTGCAATGGGAAGAGTGTGCTCTTGTCTCGGTCGTCTAGAGTATAGAAAAGAAAGGCTAATATCATCCGAGTTCTAATTGTTATCTGATGTTGGTTTCGCCCATTGGGTTAGACTTCAGTCGTATGAGAGATATCGGGCATTGTATAGGTAGTGAAATCATGAGATGGGGATTCTCTCACAACCCACCAATTACTGCCAGGGTCCCATATCAAAGCTCTGCCCCCAGCAGACTTACTCTCCGTATTGAACACGCAAAGCTGAAAGGAAGTTGCAGTCATCTTCCTACTACAAATATCGTGATATCGTCATTCTACGTCATGTTTCTCGTAATGCACTTGTATCATCCTAGCCACAACCCCAGCGTCTCCACCCACGCTTTCCCAGCTTCATCCTCTATGGTTAGACCACCAATTGTATGCCATCGATATTGGTCTAAGACACATCGCACGCACCCAACTGCCAAGCAGTGTCTGATGAATCTTTATCGGCGATGGTCTACCGACGGCTCTCGGCAACTGCATGAGACAGCCCAAATACTCTAATATGGTCTGACAGGCTGGTCTTTCCCAGTAATCAAGAGCCTGAAGGATTTGAGTCACAGGGTCTGGCTCTGGCTGTAACTCAACGTCCCTGCCGCTCCGTGATGTTCAATATACTTCCTATATTGATGGTCTATCGAACCTGAAGGCTTCTAATCTAGACAGGCGCCGATAGCTAGTAAGACTTAAATGGTTGTCAATCGTTCCTGAGGCATGTTGACTTTACGTCATTTTTAATCTTATACCACATGTAAAAGCAATACAGCATGATCTGATATCCTCCCTTGGGCTATGGCATTCCTTGAAGGCCGCGCCAGGCAGGCAGTTTGAAGTGCCATTAATGTGCAGACCTCCGTCGCAAATCGCTAATAAAGAGGTCTTGGCCAAGGCGCTTCCCCTTATTTGTTCCACTTCTGACAGGTAGACTAACTACATCGTGCGGACACTCCTACACTTGGTGCAAAGAGCTTTGTGTAACGTGAAATGGACTTCTCAGAGGTCATGGCACTTACCAAGGAACATTGGCTGCTCGCTCAGGCGTACATATGTTTCAATTACGGAACGTCACTTGATTTATAGTGGCCTGATATGGCCCCGTTTACATCTTGGCCTCGTCTGATATATGAGACGTCACTTCTCAACTCTCCTGAATGGTAATTTTGTGTTATTATTTACTTTATCCAGCTCAAACGCAGGCCCTCAGCTACGGCTATTCGAGCCGTGCTTTGTAGTCCTTCTGATCCGAGCTCCCATTAAAATAAACAACGAGGATTTTCATGTAGTACGAAAGACATGCTAAGTCATGCGATGGCAAGAATTGCCGTGAATCGCTGGTTGGCCACAATCTGCAATGGCTCGCGGCGTCTATGACTCTTTGTGTAGCCATGTACAGGGATTTGTTTCCCAGATTCCGCTGTTCTGCTCGTCTATTCCGCAGTGTGAAGTTCTCTTCGTCCATGTTTTACTCAAAGTTTCAGTACTGTACTGTACTTGACGCGTAGCATCGCAGCCTGCAGTTGATTGAAAGCACTCGAGCTGTGAAATTCAACCCCTGCGGACTGCAACCCCTTGTGTAACCCGACGGAAATACCCATGTCTGGGATTAAAAGCCACTTGACAGATGTCACCAATCAATCGCCCCGAGAGACACCTTCAATCAACTTAGCGACCTATTATACCTCGTTTGTGGAGCAAAGCTCAGCCGTCTGCTGACATTTTTGTCTCACAACCTCCACCTTTGTCCAAAGATGGTATCACCGGTACATTCCCTCCGTCATCTGAGACACAAGGCTTGTCAAAAATCAGGATCTTGAACAACACGTTGGCTATCACATTCCTCAGCCTAAGTTCGAAAATGATGCTCTCATTTGCCGTCTTAACGAAAGGGCGAGGACTGGTATCTGTTTCAAAGCCACGTTTGACACACAGACTTCCACCAACGGATAAATCAGTAGAAACAAGGGATGCTCTGGCTAATCAAAGCTTCGGGTGGCTTCTGGGCCGTTTCTGACAACGGTTTATGGTACCGATGACGATCGGCGAGGTCAGGGAGTGGCGTTGGGTAGTGGTTTGAATCGAGATGCGGGTATCATATCATGTCTCTATGGTTAAGATTTCACAGTCAGGGCTTCGGGTACAGTGCCAATAGCCTTTTGTCTACATGGTGCTAACCCAAAGTAAAAAAACCTGCATGAAAATGTTTCTCCGATACCCTTGTAGCTGCATTAGACTGAGAAAACACTGTATAATACAGTGTGATCTTGTGAGAGTGGGTGGCATAGGCTGACAAGACGCGCAGAGATCCACCATCATGTCCGAAGTATTGCATTAGGACTCATAGACACTAGGATACAAACTCCCTCGGAAGCGTGACTAACTCTGACCGACAAAGACTGGATACCCCTTTAGTCAAAATCCAAAGACAGTCTGCATCGAGGCATGATATATACATCCCAGTTATCCTCAGTCTTATAACCCATAGTCTCGCCGGGTCGTCTAACAAGTCGTTCCATACCACAATCCGTGATTGGAGTCTTCGTCATGCTGGCTTCTGCAGAAACTGTAATGTACAGTAGTTGTAAAAGCCGTGACGCCGGCTTCTGAGCATGCCACGTAGTACATCTCCGTGGAGTCACAGCATGTTGTGTAGGCAGGGATCTTGGTTAGATGGATTGTACTCTAGTTGGTGTTCAGGTGGGTACTGTAACAGAAGAATGGTCGCCCAAGACTTGAGCTACCATAATGGAGTAGCCTAAATTTTATTTAAGCCAGTCCGGAGTTTGTCGTAGGCTTCGAAGTTGAGGCTTACATTGACAGCGGGCTGATTGTCACGGTATCAAGCCTGGACAGTTTGGCAGACGGCTTTCTCTGGGACATTCTCCCTTCGAACCCCAACAAGATGGATGCTAGCTGATTTGGAGAACACTGATGTAATCGTAATCTTGTTATTTCCGACTAACGAAACTCTAATCTCTCAAGATTGATGTTCTTGTACGCCTTTTCCGGCTTGTCAATCTCTTGACCCATAAGGTTGATCGACACCAAGTCTACATATTCGTAATATGGTTCCGAGTCTCCTCTCTTTCTCAATAACCGAAAGGTCGAGCCATGTCCGACCAATGCAATCGACATACCATCATCTGCTTCTCCGGCGTTTGTCAACCCAAAGTACCCATTCTCTGTGTAAATAAGATCATTTCCATATCTCAACAAGCCTTCCATCAAGACCAAATTGTCAATCTCAAAATCAGTAAAGGTTTCAGCGTTGGTAGATTCTTCAAACCACGGGTTTGCAGCCTGTTTCGCATAATCTGGTGTCTCTAGTGCATCCACCTTCCTTGAAAGCGTCCAAACCATATATCCCAGCAATAACGAAAAGGCCTCATCTGCTATGTCCTCGCCTGTTTTGACCCCGTCATCGCCGTTGCAAGGAAATCGTTGCAAGCGAAAGATTGTATCGATGAGTGCGCCTGCGTTTGTGCTCATTCTCATCGAGCGAATGGATTGCATCCGGTCTTTCTGGTCCACTATCGTGCTATTGATATCAAACCCATCCCCAACTGTATACAGATCGTAGATGCTTTGGTTCCCTTTTCCTAGTGCTTCGACGACTAGCAAGAGGATTGTAGAAATTTCGAGATCCTTTGTTAGTTTGAGCTTGAACACAACTCTATCAAGAATACACCCGCCTATGTGAAGGGATGTGTCAGTCGTTATGGGTGCTTCGACAATATCAAGGCGACACAGTACACACGAGTGCCCGAAAAGCTCTTCTCCTTCACATGAAGGTCTTTGATTGAAGTCTGGGACCCATGACGGCAGACCACAGACTTGCTTCGTGCTGTGTCGTATACCGAGTGTCCAGGCCGACCATAGGCTGTGTGAGTCAATAATATAACGAGTGGCATATACGAAAACTTGTTGTACGCTCATCGTATAATCAGCAATAGGCCTCTCCACTAGCTCATTAGCACTCGATGCGACTCCCAAAGATGCAAACACTTTGTCCCGAATGTCTGTGGCGTCCAGTGTGTGGAGTACATCGACAACATCCACGAAACGAAGTTCGCCCTCTTTCTCATATTCATCTGCCAAAGAGCTGTCAAAAATAGCAGGTGTCTGGCCAAACCCACAGAATTCGTAGCGAGGCATGCCGAGCCTGAGTGTTGACCAGTCGCAAGATTGATCGCCGCACATCACGATGCCTTTGGAGCCGGCAATGATAATTTCAGGAAGTATCCAGGCTCGTGTCCAGTATGTGAGGCCCATCAAGTCCTCGAAAGCGCCAACGATATACTCATTGGTTGACATACGTTGTAGCATTATACCATGATCTTCGTCCCCTTCTGACGATTCACCGTCGACAGCTAATTCCCCGGCTTCTTGCAACAGCTTGCGCTGTGCTTTCGCTATCATTGGGAGTTCCTCGAACGCTTGAGCCATAAATTTTGTCTCTTCACCAAGCCACATGATAACCTTATCAGCAGTGCGGAAGATCTCCCCCATTATGCCGACCTGCTGATTTCGTTCATGATCGTCGGACTGGTTAATACAAACAGCATCAATCCACAGATGTCTTGACTTGTTTCGAAGTCGAAGTTTTTCCATCGCTGCTTTGCAGTTGGGCGTAATGAGAATCTTGCGGTCACCGCATTGGACTGGGACTGTTCCAACCTTTTCTTGCCATTCATAGGAGAGGGCGTCGAACGAGGTAGTGCCAGCAAGTGGAACTTCTTCCAATTCGAAGGAGAGTATTTCGCCTGGGTTTCCGGGATACAGCTCAATGATGCGAATAGAGCTAGCCGTAGTCAGGGGTTGGTACTTGTAAGAACTTTTCTCGTTAAAGCTCGTCGCGTCGGCTTTCTTATATTCCCTGCAATATGCGTATCGCAAACTTGCTGATCGACACAGTAGTGTTATGGCGGCGTCATTTGAATTTTCTTTGGCCAATGACAAAGCAGTTCTGCCGTCGGCGTCCTTCAGAGAAACGTCGGCGTCTGCCTCGATCAACATCTTAATAACCATGATGTGTCCCTCGAATGTTGCAATGTGTAGTGCGGTGCATTTCTCAAAAGAAGGAAGGTTTACATCTGCTCCATAATCAAGGAGTAGGTCAACAATGGGTTCATCTCCATTTCTAGCAGCATAGCATAAAGGCGAATAATTCCTTTTCGAGTCTGGTCTCATTTGCGACCCCTTTTCAAGAAGGAACTGCGTGAGTTTTCTGTCTCGACGCTTAACGGCAATCATTAGAGGGGTGCAACCTTTGTTGTCAGCACACTCTAGGTTGGCACCGCTCTCCACCAGCAGCTTCACCACATTGCCAAATCGTTTTTTGGTCGCATGCCACAGCGGTGTTCTTCCATATTTGTCTCTCGTATCGGACTTTGCCCCAAGTTGTAGGAGAAGAGATGTAGCTACTTCATGTCCACATTCCGCGGCGTCCATCAGCGCGCTGTAACCCCACTCATGTCCGCGATCGATACTGGCTCCGAGGTCACAAAGCAGCTTGATGACGTTTGAATGCCCGTTAAAAGCTGCAGACGTCAAGGGACTTCGATCTTTATCATACCCATTGACACTAGCGCCGTGCTCGACAAGTGTAGCCACTGCTTCAGACTGTCCAAACGCGGCGGCTTCATCGAGAGCACTACGACGATCGATAGAAAGATTTGGGTCAGCTCCCGCTTTTATCAGCCGTTCGATCATTGCTAACTGTCCCTTTTTGGATGCTTTGAGCAATGGCGTATAACGTTTGAAGGTGAGGGGTGATATGGAGTCGAGAACCTCGCGCGGATACGCTCCTCCTCCTACTGCATCCCCATCCCACTGATCTGACTCGCTCTTGAGGAACCTTTGGTGGTATTCGAGAACATCTGAGACCTCCTTGTGTTTCTTCACTTCTGCCCGCCGTAGAATCGAATCGCCTAATGGGTTTCGGTAGTTCACATCCGCTCCTGAGTCCGACAGTAATTCTGCTACAACTAGTTGTCCGTTATCAACTGCGAACAATAAAGGCGTCTTGCCATAATCCGTATTGGAGTTGGGATCTGCTCCATGCTCAAAAGCATACGGACCGTTGTCAAGTGCCCGTACTGCGACGAGACAGAAAGGGGTGATTGACCATCTGCATCTGGGGTATCACAGTGTGCCCCCTGTTCCAGTAGATGTTCGACAACAATGGCATGGCCACATTTTGAAGCCCACCAAAGAGGTGTTCCACCATAACTGTCTTGTAAGTTCATGTCTGCTTTTCTGGATGTTAGAGCCTTGACGATGCCAATCGAGCCACTCTCAGCCGCGAAGGATAATGAGCTCCGATCATCCCTGTCACATGAATTGATGTTGATTTCCCCATCCAACAACTGCAAAGTCTTGTCCAGAAGGTTGGCTCTAGCGGCTTGGAAAAGTAAAGAAACACTTCGAGCCCTCGGCTTGTTCTGTGCATCAAGCGACACTGACACAACTCCATCTATAAGTTCTCTCACATGATGGTTCTGTTGTCTGTAGGCAACATCACGAGGACGCTCGCCATCAAGACTTACAGCAGCCGGGTTAGCCCCATTTTTGAGCAGAGTCTCAGTGATGTCTCCAGAGCCACCATGGGCGGCAAAGTGCAATGGTGTCCACCCAATATTGTTGGTTGCGTCAACGTCAGCCCCTAGTTTGATGAGCAAAGCAACAACCTCAGGATTGTCACCAGCACTTGCTACAATCAGTGCCGTGCGCCCTTGTTCCAAAGTCCGAGCATCAATTGACACCCCTTCTTGAGCAAATAACCGTATCAGCGACTTGCTTTGTGCAAAGGAGGCGAAATGAATTCCTGTCCAACCCTTGTCGGTTGCCTCCGCATTGGCACCATGATTAACAAGGATGTGCGCAGTGTCGATACTTCTAGACTTAGCAGCTGCCAACAGCGGAGTCAATCCTTCGTCTCCCAAGCGACCATCCTGATTCCCGGGGGTTATTCTTGACTCAATATTCGCACTTTTCTCGATCAATAGCTGCGACATCTGTTGAAGGTTCTTCTCGGCGGCCAGATGTAGTGCCGTGTAGCCATCATCGGTCTGTCCTTCGATGTCAGCGCCGTATTCGAGCAGAAAGCTGGCCATCTCCAACGCATTGCAAAGTACTGCTGATGCCAATGGTGTTATACCATCTGAGCTGCTAGTCTCTATGTTAGCGCCGTGGTCCAAGACGACTCGAGCAGTGGCGACAGAATCTGCTGTGACACTGGCAACAAGCACGTTTTCTCCAGCTTCATCCACTGCATTGACATCTGCTCAGACTCTAGAAGCTGCTTACTGTGAGGTATGGCACAAATCAGCATACTATTGCCTTTTGGGTGAACACGGTATTGTTCATGGTAGAGGAGAGATTGACCTACACAATCTCATGCTTGGCCTTGACAGCTGCAACATGCAACGGAGTCAAACCTCCCGTTGTTGTCGAACTAATACTTGCACCACGATCGATCAAGAGCTGCACCGCATCGGGGTGTCCTGAGCAGCATGCGGCGTGCAGTGGAGACCAGCCCTCATTATCGACGCATTGAATGATGGCTCCGGCCTCGAGCAACGCTTGGACAGTGTCGACATGACCTTTATAAGCGGCATCGTGTAAAGGACTAAACCCCAATTTGCTTATTCGTGTATCTACTTTTGAGCCTTGTGAGATAAGCGTCTTTACCGCTTGTGATCTGCCAGCCCTTGCCGCCCAGTGGAGCGCCGTTTTTCCCCCGAAGCCGCAGATCGCAGTCACATCTGCCCCGGCTCTAAGCAGAATGTCCAAGACCTTAGGGGTGGGAAGTTCAGCAGCTATACCGAGGCAAGTCCAGCCGTCAACACCTGGCATGTTCACATCAACTCCATAAGCAATGAGCTCCTCGACTAGGGGAACATGGTTATGCCCGACAGCCCATATCAGAGCCTTAGTCTTGTCGATACTGCTGTAGCCGTCTGACATGAACTCTTCCCCCAGCAAGCGTTGTGCAAGGTAAGAAACCACGGGTATAGAGGTGGCAACCGGCTCTCGCCCACGATCTGGGCGACAGTCAATCGCGTTTGCGGACTGTTGTGATGCCATTGTTAGAGATGAAAGGTGTCAGAGCCTCGTTTAGCCACAGCATGAAGTGGGGTAGTCGTAAGCAAACTGTCTGACTAATCGGGCATCGCATCATGGTTCTACAATCACTACGTAGTGGACAAAATCCGAAACGATACCGCACTAGCTTGATGGTAATTGAAGAGGAATCAATATATTATTAAATGCATAGCATCGCCCTATCAGTAGCTACGATTCTAGAACAGCATAACTCCCATGATAACGGCCACCATGAGTCCCATCTGAGCACCCGCAAGCTTCATGGCTGAGGAAGGTGTTGACGTGACTGAAGCAGCAGGGGTCTGAGCTTCAGAAGCAGCGTCCGAGGTACCAGCAGCAGAAGCGGCGGCAGCAGTTGAAGTCTCTGCCTCAGTCTTGGTCTCGTCATCTGTCTTGGTGTTGGTCTCAGTCTCGGTGGCATCAGCGGACTCAGTAGCAGAAGCAGTGGCAGCAGTTGTCTTCTCGGCAGTCTTGGCGGTAGTCACGGAGGTAGAGCTACCCTTCTTGGCGCCATATTCCTCAATGTCCAAGACGTAAGTTCCATTTCCACTAACATCTCCCTGCTCAAAGCTGGCCCAGCTAGGCTTTCCGTCGGTACCGAGAGAAGCACAAGCCTCACGGTAGGAGTTGCTAGCGCAGATGCTGTTGCCATCACTGTAAACAGCACCGCCAGCGTTGGTGCACGAGACGAACATCTGAGTGATGAGCTTCCCCATGTTGTCAAAGAAGTCTTCGTCGGTGTTGGACGAGAGACAAGTGCGGCATCCATCCATAGAGCCGTACCATCCATCAGGGTTGGGGATGCAAACGCAGTCCTCGGCCTTCTCCTCGGGCCACTTGAGCTTCTGGCACTTGAGCATGGCCTGGTAGATGGGCCAGCAGCCGCAGTCGTCAAGCTTGGAAGGGCTATCATCGGCTTCCTTTTGGTGGGACCAGCCGTTGGGTGAGGCAGAGGTGAAGCCGGAGATGGCAACGAGTGCGGCGAAGGTGGTTGAGAAATGCATTATGTTGATAGTTTAGAAGTGAAGTATTAACGAATGACGATGTTGAAACGAGTGTTGTACAGCAGAAAGGGAGTGGCGTCAATAGTCTGGGCTGGGTGAGATTTTAAGAGAAGGCAGCTCACTAGACAATCTTAGGCGACAGGGATCATGGACAGCAATTTCCGGGACTAGGCACCACACCCATAATTCTTCGCCGTAGGCCCTTGGCCTGAAGCAGCAACTTCACTTGTACAGATAGAGGCCTCAATGATGAACTCAAGGTCTTGCCATCACCATACTTCGCTATGATGAGTCAGCCATATGTCTGTTCAAGTTTTGACAACCATAATGATGTTCACAAAGGGTTGAACATTGAGGTCAAAAACCTCATTCAACGGTGAAGCGTGATTGAAGGATTCACGCTATCCCCAGATGGAAATGCCCGAGACCAGGCCAAAGCATTTTCTCCACTTCGCTTAGAGAGACACAATTGCACTAACCCGCTCTCTGCGTAGCAGAGGGACTGAGAGATAGCGTCTATGTACTGCTTGATGCAGGGGTGAAAGCAGCTCTAACGAATGACAATGTGCTTGTGTCAAACCACTTAGACGTTTATGGAAAACCCTTTCAGGGGTCACAGCCTTGTGGATTTTCATGGCAATCATGGGAACTCGAGCAAATTTCCTCGACTCGTGCCTTCATCGAATTCGAAATCCAATCATTCTAAGGAAAGCGAACATGAAATAATCGAAGATTGTCTTGTGCATGTCATCTTGAGTAGTTTTCTCCATTCCACGGTTACCCTTTGCCATTTCTGTGATCATTTCACGTTCACTATCTTCAATCCCAACTTACACATCATCACACATAATTGCATGCAGGTGAGTGGGAACTGAGTACAACCTTAATGAAACATTGACTCCAGGGCATATCTCGAAAAAAGAAAGACAATAGATATATGACAGTCTCCCCCAAATTCCTTATACGAATGTCTCGTTTTGTCAAGCTAAGAATGAAGATTGATATGGTATAGGGTATCCACGTCCACTCATGCTGAGTCATCGACTTGGCATCGGAAATAACGGCAACCTGTTGCAGCTGCCAAGACGCTGTTTCGGGTTTACCTCTTCCAAGTCCGAGTTCGAGCTTGACAGAGCAAAAGCATCAGAGTCAATTGCTGAAAGACTATCTCACTCTCCAAGAGGAACTTAGCTAAGATATATATACTTAGGTAGATCTAACTTGTGAGTATTCTGATAATAGCAATCTGTCTTACTCTTCGAGCTGTTGATTGGCAGAAGGGGGCATATTGATTTGTATTCTGCGACTGTTCACTTGGCCATTGTCCAGGTTCACAACGTGCCTAGTGGCAAAGAACTTCTCATCGTCTGACTCCTCGTCTGACCCCACCTCTGACTCGGTGTCCAAACTACCATCGGCAAGTACCTCTTGGAGATCAATATATTCCTGAAAGACCTGTTCTTGTTCCTTCGAGAGAGCAAAATTGAGGCCAGAAAGCTCGTGCAGCCGACGATAACCTATGATAGTGCTATATCCACGATTCATTTCATCAAATACTTTACCCGCAGTTCATGGCGTATCCATCGGCTCATCGTCAGCTAAAGGTAGGATATGACCAATCATGAAAGGAAGCTCCCGTTCCTTCAAGTTAAAGTTCGATCCGTAGGTTTCTTTAAGATACGGCTCACATCCCATGTATATGCCCCTTAGGATGTTCCAGCTCATTTGATGCGTGCGTAGGTATCCAAACGCGAACTCTTGAACCTCGCCCTGTATAGCCATCACTAGCAATGACAATACACCAACCGGTGAGACACGACTCTCTTGACCAACTGATGGTACGGCTCTCTTGCCTTTCCCCTTGCCTTGCGATTCTGCGCGCAAACGTATCTCGTTTATGCTCTCGGCTGTCCAATCCATGCGGTTGGCGTTTCGGTGATACCGGTCTTGAAGACTTTTATGAATCGAAGCACGCGTTGTGAGGAATCGTGCACCGGCACGCGAGAAATCTTCAACGCCCATTTTGGCACCACGGCGTCGTTTCTTAGCAAACGCCGCTGCGGAGACACCAACCTGCAGCATGAAGCGCTTGGCATAATCCGACACTTTATCGGGTCGACCACCAACAAAGAACTGTTCTTCTCCAAAATCTTTGCACAGTATACTCATATCCATCCAAATGCTTTCGGTATAGTCTTCGTCTTCGAGGGCACAGTACAACTGTGCGGGTAGAACGAGAGAGCCCCAAGCATTGGTAACATTGAGGCCGGCCTCATGCATCTCTGCGCGATGATAGTTCAGGGTCAAACCGGCGATTACCGGGGATCTTCTCAAGATTCGCCACTTTTTGGTTCGTTCGAGGTGAACCGATACCTCCTGTCTGTTGGGGCTATTATTGACCACCATCGTTTTTGCTTTGTGCAATGGGTCATCGAGAAACCAGTCAAAGCCTTCCTGAAGAGCCTTCAACCACCTTTCGTCGCGCGCGGACCAATTTGGACCTTTGATGTCCTTCTGGAAGTCGATATGCGACTTCAACTCCACGTCCATAGTCTTGATGCGGGCGAGAAGGGTATGAATTGCTTGTTTGGCATAACTGCCAACAACCTGATGGATGTCGACATTGACTTGAGCGGCAAATATGAGGCCGAAGGAAATTTTCTTCGTCTCCTTAAACTCTTTGACACCTCGAATGAACTCGTCGGTGCATGGGTAGTCAGGAACATGATGGACGAGCGCCGGAGCCTTAAACCAGAGCTCGGTAGTAACAAAGCCATGATCGATCATCTTTTGTTTCGCAGTCTTGGACTTCCAGGGAATTTCGGGATCACAAACACCAAACGGCCCTTCTGGATAGATGCTGGTATTGCCTCTCCATGGGACGAGAGCCAGGGTCAAAGGGTGGTCTCGGTAAGATGGAAGCAATGGGAGAGAGCATCATAGAACCCGTGTCCAGTCGACGCCTCCTTCAGATAAGGATCGAAATCGCTCCCAGCCTCCCAGGCTGTGGTGCGTAACATGTACTCCCTCCCCATAGCAACCGTTCCACCGTGCTTTTCGAAGGCAGGCATAGCATCTTCGGCAATGCTGCGCCCGAATTCGACCGCCGTGTTGGTTACGACAGCCAGTACACCAGGGTCGTGGTCCGGCCCACCCTTTACTGGAGTGACTAGTTCTAACCAGAGGTTCAAAATGCACTTTCTGATCTCAGCCAAATCCTTACACATTATGCAGAAAGCAATGAGAGCCTCATCAAGTGACTCCGACGGGTCAACTTCATAGATGGCTTCTTCCTTCTTTGTTGGCTCGAGCCTCTGCATATCTGGTGCGTCGATGAAATCCTCTGACGGTTCATAGACCTCAAGAGCATCAAACTGGTTGGTCAATCGATCAACTGTGTCGGTAGAGGTGGAGTCAGCTGAGTCGGAGAAGGGTTTGAGTATTTTTGCGGACCTTTTCGAGGATTCCGACGAAGTACGAATGTCTGGCATCTGACTTAACATCTGGCTTCTAATTATGACGGAATAGCTGTTCGCTGAAGCCATTTCTCACAGAGATGACCCGGTTGAGGGTTTTGAAGAATGCTTGTGGAATGGACAGAGCCGGTTTGTTGTAATTGGAAATGCTTTCAGCAAGAGGAACAAAGTCCTTGATCTTAATGATGTATCGAGGTCCTTCCTTTTGCGGTGCCGGCTTATTGGACGCGCCTTTAGCTTTCTTCTTAGCTTCGGCTCTGGCTTTGCCTTTCAATCGCCGACCCCCCACAGTTTGTTCCTTAGTGACACTGGCAGGGGGGCTGGACAGGAGATGGGCGGGATACCCGCATTCTTTGGCTGTTGAAGCGAGCCATGATGCAATTGAGTTGGTGTCCTTTTTATAGTCACGGTACGCGCTGACCAAAGCTGGTGGCAACACCTTGGTCAAGGGAAACAAACGTAAGTACGTGTTAGATATCAAGTGAGATAAGGAGAGAGGGGAAAGAAACTGCTGGGCAGAGCGTTGAGTTGCATCACGTGACGTCAAATCTGAGACAGCACTCAAGGTTGCTCGTTAAACGCATATGCACCTAGAAGAGATTTGTTTTTACGTTGCACCAGTGACTGACAGCAACACGCGGTGGAGTTATCTTTGAGATCGCTGAGTGAATCCTTTGAGCAATATCACGATGCCTGGTGGCAGGTAAGGAAATCTAGCCATACCTGATCAGTCTGCCAGAGAATACAAGGTGCGTAGGGCTTACCGGCCTAGGAAGTCAGCACAGTCTCAGCCAACCGCTAGTCCAGGCATTGGATTGCCATCATCTTTAGCATACATGATGGGTAAATGCAAACTGTTTATCCGCAAATGTCTCTTCGGTCACAGAGTGGCTCCGTGGAAGTCTATGGATGTGTGCCACTCAATGCGGGGATGATGCTGGCAGGTAAGCCTGGTAAGGTAACCATGGATCTGGCACTAACCATAGCAGATGTAACCCACAGGTATCTCACTCTCAAAACGGTATCGTGGTGTCTTAGTATTATCATGGGTATTAATTGGCGTGACATCATCCGGATCGGCTCGACGGCAGCCAAGAGAGTCAGCACGGCACAATTCGTACCGGTCCTTGCCATTGTCGAGTAGTCAGCATTTAATGGGAACGCGAAATGAAATGATTCCTGGTTGTACAACAGCCCTACAAAGGTTGAAGCCACGCATAGCCCTGTGGAAAGTTTAAAAAGCTGACAGGCGCCTCTATTCGCGTGTTTTTAATCTTGTCTCCATTGCCGAACGCAGAGATGTTATTAATGTCTACCATGACACATTTCGAATGGACCATTCGATTACAGGGAAAGAGTCACGCGACATGGAGTAGGCGAAGCGCCGTACCGCGTTTTGTTCCGCACTAAAACATTGGGCCGGAAACCGTCCGTGCCTGTTTCATGTGACGATAATTTATTTTGAGGCGTAGTTGGAAAACTGCTAATTCGCAACACGAGTCATCAAACCCGTAGTTGGAAATGACCGAAGGGGGATGGCCATACGAGATGGTAATTAAGCCAATAGGTCCAACTGATTCATCGCTTATGAGCCTTTGGGGGCAGTGCTAAACGAGTTGGGTGTGTCTCGTCAGTCGATCCTTCAACCGTAATCCTTCTGTAAAAAGTTCTTCAGGATCCAATCCAATCCAATGGAATCCACTGACTCGGCACAAATTGCCAGCACTCCTGTCATGCATAGCTGCTAACTGCCCTATTGACCTACCAATCCTCATCAGGTTTAGTTTCTATACGACCCCTATTCTTGGGCCCATGATCGTCTTAGCTTGACTCCACTACAAAAAAGGTCTCGACCTCGGCTTGACGTAAGAATTCTTGACAGCCAATCGAGTCTAAAGAATGTGTAAGAAAATGGTGCCGAGCTCCGAAGATACGAAATTAGACGAGGTGCACTAGACGCAGATTGGGAAACAACCCACGCGACGTTCAATATTTACATAAGAGCAAGGGGACCAACTAGAGGCTGAAGCGGTCCCTTTTTTAGCTGTCCTGTCCACTGTCCGAGTGAGAGAAGGCGACTCCGGATGAGACGGACGGACAAGGAGAGGAGAGCGCGGTCCGGTAGCGAGGGAACCTGTTATTAATGAAACCCATATTCCCCATATTTCCCGATTTTTCCCTTCCATTTTTCTCTTTCTGGAAGAAGTGTAGAGTTCAAATGATGTTGTGTTACATTTCCTGATTTCTGGTTTCTGATCCCTGGCCATTGTTTGTGCTCACTTCATCCACGTTCATTCTGTCTGGTTGTGCCGCAACAGGCTAACTTCCTTTCCTTTCCTGTCCATTCGTTACACATCACCAACCATGGTGCGTTTACCTGGTCTTCTGTCAAGATTGGCTTGTCGCCTTGCCAATCGCCAATTCGTCTTCACATTCACAGTCTTGGCCATCTTCGCAGCCAAGCTCGCACACATCCACAGCCACCGAAATGCCGTCGCCACGTCTCGACTACTTACCTTCTTCAGTACATTCTTTATTCAAGATATTATTCTTCTTGTAATTACACGACTCTTCCTCGAACCTCCTCTGACGGCCAAGATCGCAAACTACATCAGCACCGCCGTTGCTGGGTTGTTAATTCTTTACAATGTCGCCCTCGCAGTTGTCTCCGTTACCTTTTACCTCGTTGCTGGATCCGAAATCCATTGGCAGAACATCAACATGGTCTCTGACCCCACGTCAAGAGCTATCTTCCTCTCCGGCCTCGTTACCATGATCATAGTCGTTGCAGCCCTGATACTAGTCAGCTGGCTACTACAGAACATCTGCTATGCCACCTTCGGTTGGGGCTCTGATATCGTCTCTTTCCCATTCTTGTTCACAGCCAGGATGGCCAGTCGCCTATTGAGAAAACGAACTGCCTACGGTCGAATCCCCGAACCCGATGTCGATGGGTCTGATAGCCAATACTCCGACGGTGACGACGATCTTGCGCGAGACTCAATTGAGTTTGGAAAGTCACAGACTGCCTACTCACGCCTTTCGCAGCGCATGCGTAAGGCATGTGGTGTTCACATGCAACCTTCAACCTTGCGACGTCTCTTCCACAGCATTCCTTATCTGTCTTGGCATGTGGTTATCTTTGCCCTGTTTGTCTTGTGGATCGAACGACCCAGCGACAGTTCCCTGACTTTCCTTTCCTGGACCGCTGGACTGCTCCCATTCGTCGACATGTCTTCAACTTCACCACTTCTGGACCAACTCCCAACACACTTCAAGGTCGGCATCCAGCATGAGTGGGACGAGCGATCGGCTGTTGCTGAACCACCCAAGTTTGACTGGCTCCCCAAGGGGAAGCCACTGGCTGGTTTTGAGGATTGGTACACAACTAATGAGATGCACTACTCCTCTACCTCGGATCCTACCAAGATCTCCAACCTCAAGGAGCCTGTTCTGGAGGAGCTCCGTGGTAAACTTCAAGACGTTCCTGTGAAGCATGTTATTATGTTCCTCCTCGAAAGTACCCGTAACGATGTCTTTCCTATCAAGAAGGACGGCCCTCTCTGGAACAAGTTCCAGGAGTCTTACTCGGACAAGAAGATGCCCCGCGAAGCACTCGACAGGCTATCTACCCTCATGCCTACTGCAAACTACATCACAGGTGACTACGACGACGGTTTTAAACACAAGACGACACCAAAGCGCGGTGGACCTCGATTTACAAACGCTTATACCTCAGCTACATATACACTGAAAAGTCTCACGGGCACCATTTGCGGTCTCAACCCCCTGATCGCAGACTTCAACCTCGACTACAAGCGTCACATCTACCAACCCTGCCTCCCTCAGATTTTTGAGGCGATGAATCAAGCCGACCCAGAGTCATCGAAATGGAAGTCCTACTTCTTCCAAACCGCCACCATTCATTACGATAACCACGACAAACTCATGGCTGCAATGGGATTCCCCGAAGAAAACACAATTGACCGCGATTGGCTTCGAAATGAGAACGCGACACACGGAGCGGTTGAGCTGGAGGATATCAACTACTTCGGCTTCCAGGAGGACCCGCTTGAAGATTATATCAATGATGCCTTTGAAGATGCTGAGAAGAACGACGGAAGGGTCTTCCTTACTCACATCACCAGTACAAGCCATCATAGCTATGGCCTACCTGCCAACGAGACATCTGTACCCCTCGGTTCTGGCAAGGACATCAAGGAACTATCGGACTACGCTAATGCCGAGGGCTACGATGATAAGTGGATCAAGAAGGTTCTGGACCTTCTGGACAAGAAAGGCGTTGCCAACGAGACTTTGGCCGTTTTCCTTGGTGATCACGGTGTCTCGTTGGTCGAGAATGGCAAGGCCTCGCCCTATTACAACCCTAGCGTTGGAGCAGACCATGTTCCTCTCGTTCTATCTCATCCTCTCCTACCTTCCTTCGACGTCAACGACGCAGTTCACTCCACTCAAGTCCTGCCCACGATTTTGGACATGCTTCTCGAAACCAACTCTTTGCAAGGTGTCAGCAAACAAGCTGCCGAGTCCTTACTACCTAATTATGAAGGCCAATCTCTCATTCGACCTCTCCAAGCGAGCAACAACGAAACAGGCCAAGGATACTGGCAATTCACCGTCGTCAACCCTGGCCGAGCCATGCTCAATATTCGCGACGCTCGCCACCCAGAACGTCACTTGACGATCCCCCTCATCGATAACGTCGAGTGGAGACTAAGTGACGTCTCTGTCGACCCGCTAGAAACAGATGGTATCCAAGCTTTCGACTTCGTCTCATTCTTGGAAGCTGTCGAGAAGAGATGGGGAGTTGAGTGGGCCGAGTGGGTGGAAGAGGGTGCTTTTATGACGAGGTGGCATGTACAGGATAATAGTAAGAGATGGAGATATGAGAGGAATCCAAAGGTTAAAGAGGTTAAGGGACAATGATAGATTGAGGCAATGATTTGAATAGCGTTTTAATTTAAGAAAGTTAAAGTTACACTGGCCTCACTTGGAGCTTATTGTGACATTTGCCTACAATACAGTAGTATGGGGTACAGGTGTGGCACGGGCATGTTCGTACTCAGCTACGCCTGTGTCAATAGTGCTGTTTTTGCCTCTTTTCAGTGTCTTGTTCAGCTGAGCCTTTACTGATATTCCATATCTGCCTAATACCTTTCATGGAGTTTTGGGGACTATAATAGGTTAACAAGGCAGCTGACCTGTCCAGACTATTGAACCTAATCTGACAGTGAGACAGAGCGAGACGACAGCTGGACAGTCAGCGCTAATATTTATCCGAACACCATGTCCTCTTTCCCAAGTTGAAGTAATTCCTCCTTCCATTTTTCCACCACCGACACCAACCTACCAAATTTTTATTTTCTTAGCAACATCAAGATGGCAAATGAAACATATGAGGTATGACAAGACGAGCAAAGAATCATACCGGTAGACTCTGTCGACCGCATTGGGGGGACTGATGCTAATATCGACTTGTTGGATATAGTCCGTGCTGGCGGAGATGCAGCAGCGCTCTGATCTCTTCGAGTACATGAGCATCTCTCAGATCCTAGAAATGGACGACGATGGAGCCCATGAATTCTCTAAAGAGATCTTTGCCGACTTCTGCGATCTATACGAGCGAAAGTTGGAAGAATTGAACAAAGCACGGTGCGTGAGTTCTACAATAACCTTGCAAAACTAATATATGAGACTATAGAGAGGAAGAAGATATGAATGCCATATTTAGCGTCACCTGTTTTCTCAAAGGGCACTGCGCGACCAATGGTGCCAGAAATGTTGAAGATATCATGCGTAAGGTCCAGTATCTTGGAAAGCTTCAGGATGAGAATGGGAATATGGAACATTACACTGAGAAACGGGATGCTCTGAAGCGAATCAGCGAGATCTTACAGGGTGGAGACAAGGATATTAGTGATACTCTAAGTTACTATCGGCGTTTAGTGAAGGTAGCATGATAACTGCAGGCATATGAAAGAAAGTAAACATCTCTGTATTTTCTTAAAGCTATCTTCGTTTCTTTGCGATACGGATGTAGCAACTCCAAGCAAGGTCTATAATACAGCAGATTTCCATTTGAAATGCTTGCATCGCGTCACCAGTATTCTTTCCTTCAGATACCTAGGCCTTCTTGCTGTTTCACCTCAACCCTATCGGGCAAAATAGCCCGGATCTGGGCAAGCTGTCTCTCGAGAGTAGCCTGTTCATCAATAATTCTTTGCGCGTCACTAACGTGCCCCCAATAGCGATTGGCGGCTGCAACGAGTCTTCTGTGTGCGTCCGAAAAGTCCGTCAAATAAGCCTCCGTCGGCCGCAAGGATTTACCGGTTGCCAGTGTGTGGAGAGGGATCACGAGCTTCGTGAACCGACCATTTAACTCATGATTTAATGATACCAGTGCGTTATGACTGTTGACGATGTTGATTTCTGCTCGAAAACGGGCGTTTTCGAGCTCGCTTAGACGGGTCATAAGCCGCTCTCGGTGCATTGCGCTGAAGGATGGCATCTTGACCGTTTCGTATGGTCTTTGTTGACCTACCAATATGCAAGTTGGCGCAAGTTCAGATTGTTGGTATTGATTGTTACTGTCGTGACCGATGTGGAGGGTGTAGTAGATCTTGTCTGGTTTGTTGGGATAGATGAGCTGGTAGAATAATGATGCTCTACACGTGAGAATTCGAAGAAAGCCACAAAGGTTCAGGCTGTATGCTTGGGATGAAGAGAGGATCAAGTCAGGGCATCGCAGTATTTATATCCAGATCTCTATCACAGAACGACTATAGAGTAGTTTGGAGGTACAGCTTCACCGAGTTACAGGCCAAGAGGATCAAGTTAATGTCGTTTGGCTGGCTGCATGTTACTGCTAAGCGGTATATTAATGAAGTATGAGCATTTATTGATGTATTACATGTAAAAGATAAATATTCAAAGGCGACAAAGACATACGGAGTAGTTGACCCATATATGTCCTATATACTGCTGTGTGACTGTTCCAAAGAAACGAGATTGCAAAGCCTCTTTGTTCTGCCATGATCGAAGTCTTCAAACCGCATACAGTGACAGTCAATTATACAAGAACTTAGTGAGAAAGAGATATTACGAATTAATCACACAGGTCTTTGTGTGAGGGCTGGCCTGATGTGGCAGCTTATTCATCATTTAAGAGTGACATGGATACAAGACACCACACTTTCATAAGATCAAAAAGACAGAAGACCTTATGTGCAATATACAAAGGTGGTTACTGACGAAGTCTCCACCAAACCGCAAAGTTAGTTAAAGGCCAAGGATTGCAAAGTCTATCGCATCCGAGATAAAAATCCAAATCCTCACTATTTGAGTCGGCGCAGAGCGTTCAGCTGGGGCATATCGGTAGCGTTGTACCCTTGGATAGCGAGATTGACACTATTAAATAGCTAGCATTTTACCAGTGCCTTCAAAGCCATGGTATAGAGAAGGGTTCTCACTATAAGCTGTTAGCGTTTGACCAAAAACATTGCGGTTAAGATAGCATACCATCTTATCAACCTCTTCTTCATTTGTGTCAGCGAGGCTGAAAACACTTCCATCCATCAAACCGATTTTCAGTAGCCTTAAACTTCTCCTTACACTCCATCTCTTCAACGCTTCTCTTACTCTTCTCGTAGAATCCATACTTTGCACTCATGAAGCTATGACCAGTGTGATAAAGGCACAGATCTGAGCCATCACCTTCGCCTCGAATGAACTGGTTTAATGGGTCGCGACACTGATCGTTGCGATATCCAAAGCCTACGATGGTCCATCCACTAGGGATTTCGTGAATACCAACAGTTGCGAAGAAGCCATCCGCCGCGTTACCACTGGTGGGTCGGCAGCATACTCCTGGGTTGATGTTTGCAAAGCCAATGAATGGACCTTCGTAACAGCGTCCTTCACGGTTCACAAAGAAGCGAAGGTCGATGGCTGCAGCCGTGGCGGCGAGGCTAAGAACGATAGCTTGGAAAAGCATGTTGGTAGCTGTGCTTGTGTTCAAAGTATGAAAATTCAGTAATTGGATTTCTTTAGCTGTTTTTTGAAGTAAACGTGAGTGTTGATCCAAGGCTCCTTATACTAGACTACTTTGTTGACCTCCCCTCCTTCTAAGCGTATGCCATCCAGATAGATAGAATCTGGTGCAACTCAAAGTAGACTTCTTCTGTAAGCTTATGTATCTTAGTTCTTACAAGAGGCTGAGCATATTTCCAGACATGGGTAGAGTCATGATTTTTCGGATAAGCTTACAAGTGATAGATCTCTTGGCGCAACGACTTGTCATGCGGCCAGTGGCACAGAAGCCTCAAGAAAGGTTCCTTTTAGACATAGACTGAGACAATGTGAAGTGCTTCTGTACATGTCAGATCTAGATAATGCTGTAATAGTTAAGCTGGCCAGACCAAGATAATCGTGTGACTAGATACAGTCCAATCTGTCTTCAACAAATCCAACTTCGAACACATGTTCTCACTTCACGCGCCTGTCCGCTCGAAACCCGCCATTAAACCTTCTCTCCCAGTATGGGGATGACTGTAGTTGACAGGATATGCCTCAGTTTCCATTTGTCCCTTTGTCTCGATACCATTTTGCTGCGGACCAATCATGCCGGCACCAGAATATGAGACCGCATCATGCAAAGTCACCAACCTCCCATTCACCGCCAGAAGCTTTCTCTTCCCCACCGCCTGCAAAGCCAGCTTGGGATCACGCATCATGTAGCCAGGCTTCGCACTACTTGTCTCCGCCGTACTATGAACCAAATTGGCCAGCAGTGAACTAGCCCAATGGGCATCAGCCAAGATCATCAAAGCTAGCCATAGAACGATCGCCATGACCAAAGCCAGGCAGCTCAGAGCGAGCTGAAGATGAGACACAGCTACAATGAGCTTATCCACACTGATCTGCACAAGGGATGCATCGATACTAACGCTATAAGCCCTCGCAGTTAGAAGCGATTCAATAGCATTTGCGTTGTTTCTGATCCAAGTCAACGCATCATTGTTAAGCGACTTTGCGCTGCTGCTTGATCGTCCGTCACCAAGACCATTAGCAACCATCACAGCAGCTGTGTCGACCTGACCAAAGAACTTTGGATCATCCACTCTCTTGTTAACAAGACAGTCAGACCGACCAAGCTTTCCGCCATAGGCTTCGTTCTGAGCATTCGCTCTCTCGCACTTTTCCATTGGAACAGGTGCTTCAGAAATGCTCTCTGATCGAATCAGGGTTATGTTGGTACTGGTAAGGATTACGATATCGTACAAAAGGCTTGTTTCACTCGTTACCGAGTAATATCCCCAGGTGTTTTGAAGCGTCGATCTATTGTTGCTTTGAACTGTGGTGACGCCATAGTGATAGCTGGCGTTGTTGTTTTGAGCATACATCATTCTGTCGACGATATGATCTGCTGATGGAACCCTTTTGTCACTGTGATCGAGGTATCCTGTGCGCTCCACAAGATCTGATATATCCTTTTCATCCAATGGTGTTCCAGGGGTTGTAATCATTGTGGTCTTCAGAGTAGACTGGAAGAACGTATGGCGCCTCTTTCCTTTCGTCACAGTGAAGACTTGATTCATCATTACAGAACCACCGCCTGCCCCAAACGAGAACCAGATATTGTTGTATCTGTGAGGCAAAATGAATCTCGAATCAGCTATCATGTCCGAGTCAATATCCCAGTGAACCTCTGGCTTTCCAGCAATGTTATCGACAAAGTCTTTTGAGAAGACATTGCTGAATGTGTTGTTCCATGAGAAGTATCCATCGCTTTCTGTGATATTCACTTTATATGTCTCGCCCTGCAATTTCTGTCTGACAGAGTACGCAAGGTTTGCATCGATTGAGACGGATAACCCCTCGTCATCGAGCCAGATACGAGGAGCGACGGTGCCAATTGTGACTGGCGAGACTGTTTCTGGAGTACCACGACTATTGTTGACCTGGCCAGTCAAAGTGTAGTTGAGCCCAGGTACGAAAAGGTCAGAGCCGATGATCTGAGGGAACCTGTGTGTAGTATCATCAAACTGGGCTGGGTCTAACGAGAGCTGAACGATATACGGCGGATTCTCGTTTCTTTGATCAAGGTAGTCGGTGATCGGCGCGCTCGAGGCTTTGAAGATGTATCCCGGAGCATCCAAAGCCCAGAGCAACGTGCCGTATAACGACAGGACAATGTTGAGAAGACTGAAAGCAAGGACGACAAGACCAGCGCGAGATAGACCGCGAGAAGAGATATATAGCGTCCGCTGGATGTAATCCTCAGTGAACATAAGGTAGGATGTAAACTGATTCGAACGCGCTGCGATCAACGAGAAGAGCTTATAGATGAAAATGCCCATAAGCAATTCAGCGCATTTGAAAATGATGGACTTGACAGCATTGTGATATACTGGTATAGACGACTTTACAAAGGATAAGCCGGTGTCCAACATCTTGATATCGTAAACGGGATGCACAATAGCCAAGGAAGAAGACGAAGAATATCTTGCGGGGGGGATGGCCCGTCTTGTCTTTTTCTTGGCGCTGTTGCAACTTTGCCGCTTCATTGCAGCATCCGTTGCCAGAACCCCTGTCCTGGCCTGAATCATAGCCAGCAGACAGAGAGGTCTACTGGACAGTAAGAAGAATGTTGATCCACAAAGATAAGGGCGCCAAAATAAGATAGGGCAGATACTCGTCAAAAGTGGCATAAAGTGTCCAGACTATTTAGCCTGCTGCGCTCTGGTGGGCACTTTTTCGGACATCCTGGCAGAGGCATACGCCACTGTGTAAGAATGTAACGCAGTGATCTTTTACAGTTGGTAAAGTCGCGACGTGGCGTTGAGTTTTACTTGTTGCGGCTAGACATATCTTTCAGCTTGAGGTTGAAAACCGCTAGTGGGTGTAAGGGACAGGTCAGGGGACCCTGAAGTAACGCCAGTTGATTCGCTTGTGGTTACAGGGTCTAGGTCCAGATTCCGACCTTGCAGCGCATTCATTCCGCTCTTCCTTATATCGAGACTTTCTTGTCTGGGTTTCTCATCGGGCTTAAGTTATCCTCGACATCTATAATTAACCAGCGGCTAACTTATCAGCGTAATGTTAGCAAGTGCAATTCACATGCACAGGTTTCAGCGGCACAGCTCAACCAGCCAGCCGAACAGATTGGGTATTAGGGAAGTTGTTTTCAAGGCCTTAGGGCGTTAGTAAAGTAGCTTAGATGCTGATCTAAATCGGCATAATGTACCCAGCACGTTTCTTCGCTTCGTATTTCCTTTTCCATTCCGCAAACCAGGGTCCTATCTGATCATCGGCAAAGGTCCAACTCTCTTCCGGTGGCGGAGCGTAGCTTGAGGGAACGATTAAGCCCTCAGGCCCGAACGCCATGTTGAATCCCCGTGGCCTGCTGAAGGGTTTCATCTTGACAAATTCAATGAACATCCAGCGTTGAAGTTTTACACCCACGAATTCCAGCCAAGATTCAGACTCTGGTCCCTTAAATGGCACCGCATACTTGTACCGCAAAGCCAAGCATGGCAAGGAAGCCTCTGCCTCAATAGCCATCTCCTGACGGATATTGGGCCCATGTTGGGTGGTAGAGAAGATGCCGCTTTCAACAACAAAGTCTGGCGTAAATTTCCCGTGGGACGGCGTGTCGGCAAGTTTGATTATAAGAGTCTTTGGGCCGCCAATTTGGTGCAGTTCCCCTAGGGGTATACAGTCTCTGGTTTCACCCGGCCATAGTAAATCCCGAGTGGTCTAGCCCACTCGAGCAAGTTTCTTGAGTTGCCCGCCCGTGTCTGAACCGAACGGCTTGAGGAGATAAAACTTGTGCTTCTGTACTGTAGCGACTGGGAGCAGTGAGTAAGCCTTGTTCCAAGTCATGAAGTTCAAATCAACAGTTGTGAAGGCTCCGTTAATCAGTTCAACGATGGGCGGCTGGGCCATTTTCCTGACCCAGATGAAACATGACGGGTCGTAGGTTGATTGAAGAGAGGAAAGACCGTCATTGTCGATATTCTTGACCGTCAATTCTTCCAATGAGAGCAGGTATTCTATGAACTGCCAGGACTTGTGCCCTTCTTGGATGGTAATCTCTATCATGAAATGTCTGTGTCTGTGTCTGTTGAACTCAAGGAAACTTCGGACAAATTCTTCGCCTATGATTCCGTCGCATTTTCCCAATTCACATCGGAAGCGAGACGGGTCTTTGATATAGTGTCCCAGTTGCCTATCAACGTTGAGCAAATACGGTGACTCCGTCATTTGAGCAACCAGCCATCGTAAAGCTCGACATGTTGCATGCAAGGCGAAGATATCTGCGATCCCAAGGTTGCAAAGGATGTTGTCCGTGATGTCGAGGTTTGTGGGCCCCTCGTTGCTGAGCAGCTGGATGACCTTTGAAGCCATTTGATCGTTCTCTGAGGCCTGAGCAACGAAACAAATAAACTACTCGGGGTTTGCTTATGACACATATGGTGATAAAGATGCCCACAATGTGTACTTACTAAAGAAACGAGATGACCTTGTTGTTTATTGGTGTTTAATAAAGAAACAAGATGCCAGTTTAACTAGCAAGCAAAAAGGACATTATAAAAGAGCTCCAAGCCTTTATGCTCTGGCCCCAAAAGAGGAAAGTAAAGAAGGCAAAAGGTTCCGTGTAAGCGTTGGAGTTACGGTGCTTCAAAGAAAGTGTAAATTCGTGAAACGCTTATCTCGAACAAGGCTTGAGAGCCACAGCGAGTAGACATTATATCGGTTCAAATGGTTATAAAAGGACTGAAATACATTCGAATCTGCATTTACCGATTGACATTCATGGGATCCCAATGGCCATGTTAATGCTTGGAAGAAGAAGGAATTGGCCTGCTATGCAGCGAAAGAGAAGGTATCTGGGGTTGCATTCTATGCCGGAAACGTTGAATGTTTCCCATATATCCAAGACCATCTTATTGTGAAAAGAAATAGCTTCCTTAACACCTCGCTGCCGACTGCCCCTTCTCCATTTAACGCCAGCGAAACAGCAACAAGATGTATCCTCCATCACTTCATGGAGGGATGGTGTCTCTACATTGTAAATGGTTGTTGCTGGTGAAAGAAAGAGACAAAGACCGGAAAGGAAGGAATTACGGCATGTTGTGCAGCATCCCGAGCCTTGTGTTCAAGTAGGGCGGGCACAAGAAGGACTCATGTAAGCATGATGCTTCAAAGTCAAAACTCTACTCCCGTACGTTCCCCAGTTGCCTGGCGGTCCGTCTTATTTATCATTGGAGAGACAGAACCTCCACTTCATAGAGAAAGACAACACAGTGGTCGGCTTGTTCAAGTTGCGCGTGATCCAGCGAATCACAAACCCAGGCCGGCCAAAGGGTCCGGGATATGCCTACGTGAAATGATGCATCACGGGAGATGATTGTCAGTTTGTCGATTGGCTTGATTGGAATGGAGAATTCCTCTGGAAGGTTTTGGGGAAGGATTACAAGACCCTTTTGCCATCCAGCGCTTGATAGATCAAGCAACCGAGAAGCGCCGAGTACTATTTAGATGGGGGCTTGTTCACCCTTGATTGGCAAACAAAGTTTGCCAGATTTAGGAGTCAATATATTCCAGCTTTGTTAGAAGCTTCAACAAGTAGCTTATTGGTTGACTCCCGGAAGCTTTCTCGCGAGCCAAAGATAGGCCGACTCCCGGAAAGGATGTCGGGATTCTCTGCTACCTCAAAGGCTCAAACTCATAAATACGGCTGACACGTCGAAGCTTAACTGAGGTTAGTTCGGTTATATCGGCTGAGAAAAGAACTTTACCCGTTGGCGTAGACCAATGATTTGATCTGCAGTAACAAGCCGTCGGTTCAGAAACGGTGGATGGGAGGAACAAAGAACATCCGACGTTTAAAATCACTCACTACAAAATGACATAAAATTGACCGACGATAAGACAGCGATCGTGTAAATTAGATGGGGCAACAACAGGCCGCTTTTCAAGATTATAGCTAATTATAGTACAGCATGCATGATTCCCGCCTAACCTGACGTACTATCAACTCCAGGTCACTCCGTGAAGCCCCATGCAGTTGGCGTCATCTGAACAATAGCTTTACCCCCAGAACACACTTGAGACACTCATACTTGCGCTTCTAGTTGTGCTGATGCAAACATAGCCTTCGCGTTAACGCTGTGGCGAGATGAACAGAAAGGCACTTGTACTATTTACCATTGGTTGGAGCGTAACGGCTCAACTCTATGCCCAAACCTATTTTGAACTCAGTCAATAACTCATGTTCCTGACGGACCCTGCAAAGTGAAGTTCGGTATACAGTTTACTCCTCTCGGCTGATTGGCCAGCGGAGGGTAGTTGGGAAAGGACTGTTAGTGCAAGCCACGCACTCATCTCTATAATTAGCTCGGAGCGTGCCGAACATCCTTAGTGCCTAGCAACAGTCACCTTCCGGCGGTGACATCCGTCCCGTTATAGCCGCTCACACTTGGATCTGACATCGTTCTCTATGGTCTGGACCATGTCCTGGGAGTTACCATAAGTCTGTCAAACGGTCTCTTATTTCTTCTCCCATTGGCTAAATAATCCCGAAAGCGTACATAACAATCTTGGAATCTGACTTCGCTGCGCCACCTACTAAGGATGAATTGACGGGCAATTGCTGTCACCCTTCAACCTGTCGTGGTTCTCTCCGAGTAGACTTCGGCATTTGATCTCTTTCCTCAAAATCTGATATATGGTAGTTGAGAGGTTTAGATCCAATACAGATGCTAGTTATGCTGTGGCCATTGGCAAAGATAAGAGATTTGCCAGGTTTGGCACAGTTGATCCCGTTACGCAAGGATTGCCCAAGTTTTGCGAGTCCCTCAGATGCCGTGTCAGCCTTTGCCTCGGTAATTCATTAAGCTCGGAAACTAGAGACATTGAGGGGCAGATGAACTTTTGAAATCACTATAACTCCGGATGTCATTCCATCCGGCCCCCGCTTCTTCAGATCGTAAGCCACTCACTGGTAGTCATCTTGGAACCAGGAATTGTTGGGAGAATCCATCTTCTGTAATAATTACCTCAACCGTACATCCGGCACAGTCATTCCAGTGTAAACATGTGCAATGTGGCTATATGTTGTGCAGAACGGTGAATACGAGTCTGGGGAAATCCGACTAGTTGCCGATCTGCCGCATCCGCGTCAGCCGTTGATCCACGGGTCTAGACCACGTCCGAGTTCCGGGTCGGAAAGTATCTTGAATGCTTACATGTTACAACAGCAATGGGGGAGGAATCTGGAAATCCCTCAGATGGTTAAGCTTGACTACTCAATTGAGGTTGAATCTATTATTACCATCATCAGAAGGGTCTGTTATGTGAGACTGTTTGATCCGAAAACTTATTTATACATCTCTCTGCCGCTCGTCATTATCGAAATATCAACACTCACTTCCCTCTCAATTCATCTCATCATCACTCAAACACACTTTCTAAGCCTCCAACATGCTTTTTAACAAGCTTTTCCTCAGTGCCGTGCTCGCTATGAGCTCGGTTGCTGCCCTCCCCAACCCAATGCCCGACCAAGCAGGCATCGCAGAGCGCAGTCCCAAGAGCCACGATCATCATCACTGTGGCAAACATGCTTCTTATAACGAGGATAAGAAGGAGTGTGTCTGTCATGACAGCTCTGAGACTTTTGAGAAGAAGCACAAGAAGTGTAAGAAGATGAAGGATGACAAGAAGGCTGTCAAGACAGATACCAAGAAGGCCGCCAAGGACGTCAAGAAGAAGACTGAGGACAAAGAAGACGACAAGAAGACCGATGATAAGCAGGATGACAAGAAGGATGATGATAAGAAGGGTGATCACAAGGATGACAAGAAAGACATGAAGCCCAAGTCTGAGCGAGACCTCGAGGAGCGCAGCCCCAAGAAGCATCATAAGGGCAAGCACCACAAGGATCACAAGGATCATCACCACGATGATAAGAAGAAGCATCACGATGAGCGTGACATCGAAGAGCGCTCCCCCAAGAAGCACCACAAGGGCAAGCACCACAAGGATCACGAGGACCACCACCACGATGACAAGAAGCACCATGATGAGCGCGACATTGAAGAGCGTTCTCCCAAGAAGCACCACAAGGACCACCACCACTGCGGCAAGCATGCTACCTACGACGAGGATAAGAAGGAGTGCGTCTGCAAGGATAGCGCTGAGACCTTCGACCAGAAGCACAAGACCTGCAAGAAGGCCAAATCTACCCGAAGCCTCCTCCACCACTGCGGTAAGAGTGCTTACTACGACAAGGCCAAGAAGGAGTGCATCTGCCACGATAGCGGCAAGGATTTTTACGCCAAGCACAAGACTTGCTCTTGCCCAAAGGGCGAGAAGTGGCACCACATTGAGCGCAAGTGCAAGAAGTAAGGGCTTGAAGTCCACGGGCTGGGATACACTTCGAGGCGGCGTTCTTGTTTGTGTTTTGGTCAGTTCTTCTGCTCCCTGCGCTAGGAGTATTCAAGGGTTAGGGGGAGTTTGGGTATAGGTGGAGTTGGTCTGTAGTGCAATTCTGCTAACTAGTCTTCAATAAATATCGTCAATCGGTCATGGAGATGCTACTCGTGACGTCTTGTCCTGATATAAGTCCTTTCTGCATTCGATGTTGTGTGGTCTGACTTTTGCCGGTCATGATGCCTCTTCAAATGCCAGAAAAGTCCAGAAGTTCACTGCGCTGAGTATGATCGATCTCGTGCGACTTCCACTCCATTGGCGTATTGTGCCGTATTCGATCTATCGGGATTACGGTCTGATGGAGATAAATACGCTAGGGCAGTATTGCCGGCGTACCGTATCGGTGGGACTGATCTGCCGTAAGTGCCGTCCGTTCCGGGTCCCTTGCAGACTTCCCGCTTATTCGTCACCATGAGCACGATATAACCAATCAGATAACAGTTCTGGTGAGACGATATGGGAGATACCGGACGATTTTAATATTTGGACCTGTTCCATTTCTCACAATCTCTTGTCTGCGTATTTCCAATCGCTCACGGAAATCATGAACAAGACATCGCACACCGACGAGCCCTTCGAGGGCGATGATGGCTATAACCAAAGTCCCAGCCCATTCTCCAACGATCTCACCACCAATGAGGACTTCAACGGTATCGTCAATAATCGGGCCGTGCTGCAAATGGATTCCAAGCTATCGCCAGACGCGACGTCTAAGAACCTGGGCCAAGTAGTCCGCGACGGCCCTGTCAAAACGGACAGCCAGGTAGACGCTGCCTCGGGGTTGGCTCATGAGTCGATTGACCATGACCAACCATCCAATGGCGGGCTGCGTATATCCGCACCCGCCAACCACCCGCCAGCTTCGGCTGGTGACGCCGACGATGGCACGCCTGTGCAGCGTTTCAAGAAGATGATCATTCGCGTTGGGTCGTTTGTCGGGCCAGGCTTCATGATCTCTGTCGCGTACAGTATGTGAATCTGACCTCATGATGGTGGCGTTTTCCGCTTACAGGAATTTTAGTTGATCCTGGCAATTACTCGACCGATATCGCTGCAGGAGCTTCATATCGTTTTCGTCTACTGTTTGTAGTTCTTCTCTCAAACATCTTTGCTATTTTCCTGCAAAGCTTGGCTATCAAGTTAGGTACTGTGAGCGGTCTCAATCTAGCTCAAGCCTGTCGCGCTTTTCTTCCGCGTTGGATGAACTTCATCCTGTATGTTTTTGCCGAGGCCGCAATCATTGCTACCGATATTGCAGAGGTACGTGCCTTGTTGATGCTGTTTTTTCTACTGCCACTAACAACCAAATTAGGTGATCGGATTTGCAATTGCATTGAACCTGTTGGCTCCCCAGGTGCCTCTTGTCGCAGGATGTGCTATTTCCATCCTTGATGTCATGGTCCTTCTAATCTTCTACCGCCCGGAAGGGTCCATGAAACATTTACGATATTTCGAGATATTCGTTATGTGCTTGGTTCTTGGTGTAGTCGTTTGCTTTTGCATCCAGCTGTCGCTAATCAGTGACACATCGCCTGGCGAGGTTTTCAAGGGTTATCTACCATCCAAGTCACTGGTCGAATCTGAAGCGTAGGTTCCGAATCATTGTTATCGGAAGGTTGCTAATAGACTATTAGTATTTATCAGGCTTGCGGCATTCTTGGAGCGACAGTCATGCCTCACAGCTTGTACTTGGGATCAGGCATTGTTCAACCTCGTCTACGTGAGTATGACGAGCGGAGTGCCCCCGCACCAAACCAGGTCCCTTCGGGGTCTTCTGTCATCGATGAAGATGATGACAAAGGCTATTACATCCCGTCTGAAAAGGCAATCAAGCACTCCCTCAAGCTTTCAGTCCTTGATCTCGCGATTTCGCTTTTCACTTTTGCACTTTTCGTCAACTCGGCCATCCTCATTGTTGCCGGTGCATCGCTCTACAATAATCCATCGGCTCTTGAAGCCGACATCTTCGGCATTCATGATCTTCTTTCGAAGTCTATCTCTCCAGCAGCAGGTACCATATTTGCCCTGGCACTACTTCTCTCCGGTATCTCGGCTGGTATCGTTTGCACTATCGCCGGCCAGATGGTCAGTGAGGGTGCTCTGAAATGGAGTATCAAGCCATGGTTACGTCGTCTGGTAACTCGTAGCATCAGTATCACCCCGAGCATCATCATCGCGGGAGCTGTAGGCCGCTCAGGGCTTAATGCAGCGCTCAATGGGTCACAGGTGGCTCTGAGCATCATATTGCCGTTTGTGACGGCGCCTCTCATATACTTTACTGCCCGTGATAAGTATATGACAGTTACCGTTAATAGAGCGAGCAGGTATGTTGCCGATATAAATGATACGGCGGACGAGATGAGAGACGAAGGCAGGACTGGACATGAGGGCATCAAGATGGCTAACTCGTGGTTCACAACGATTGTCGCTTGTTTGATATGGCTCTTCATGGCCATTATGAACGTTGCGAACCTGGTGTTTCTTGGCAAATAGGAACTGTGGTCATCCTACAGTCGTTCATTGGGGCATCATCTGTCCAATGGCCTCAGTTGGACTTTATGGACGACTGTCATGAGCGACGTTCTCGTCTCCTGAGCTTGCGCTTGACTATTTCCAATGTATTGAGGCGAGGTCGGATTGAGGTGAAACTCTGGGACAGGCCATCGACATCGAACATAGACCTTGAGCGGCTGCTTGATTGCTCAACACTGGCTACAGTGCATGAGGAGATCTTGTTCCTTGGTCCTTGTGGTGGCAGGGTTACTATGAGCCGTGTCTATTGAGCGGAACATCCCCTGCGTTCAGATATACCAGTCCATGAGACTCGTAAGGTTAAGCTGAACGTAGACAAACTATCACCAATTTCTCAATAGGCAAACACTTAGTGTAGATCCCGTGGCGCTTTACTATGAGTGCGGCAGGCTGGGTACCTTGTTCTGGTATTAACTCGAACTCGTCACGCCCATAGACACAAAGGACAGAACAACGAACATGTGAGGAGGAAAGTACAATTCACCATTATGACTGTTCATTCTAGTTCCTATTCCCTCGAAATATAAATCGGGCACTAGCCTTTCCTTCCGTCCTTCTCCATATTGTATCTCACAATCCTCCACCAACCTTCCCTTCCACAGAAACATCACCAACTTCACTTTTTGCATCCCCATTCTACGCTCAGTACACATTTTCATCTCCGCAACCATGTCTGACACTCCTACTTCCACTGCCAACCAGGCAGAAGCTCGAGCTCTTGAGACCACGACCAAGAAAAACGTATTCTACACAAACGACGAATCCTCTTCCATCGACCAGTCCACTGCGGCCGAGACGGACACCGTCGGGTACACCTCGGAGACGCCTTTTCGTGGCTTCTTTATCTACGGAGCTATAGTCGAAGCTCCCTCCCTTACCTCTAAACGGGGTTCAATTCGAGTCTTGAAGCGTGAACAAGACACTGACAACTGGAACCTCATGGAGCAGTCTTGTTCCGCCAGTTGCGGTGACATTCAAGCCGCATGTTTCACAAAGGACGAGCTGGCCGGCCTCGCCAAAGCCTGTCCCTTCGAATTCACATTCGACGAGGCTGACTTCAATCGCACTACCAAAGCGGCGGGTACCTACAACTTTCCTTCAATCATCAACGCTGGCCTCGTCATCGTCGCTTGGCGATTCCGCGGTGACCCCCACCATGCTTGGTTCGATGGTCAGGGTTTCCTGATTAAGGAACTTACGGCCTTTCCTGCCGACTCTTTGGATGTGGATAACTAGAACCACCCCCGGCCTACTCTTGGTCATCCCATTTGGAAAGATGTCCTGATCTTGCAGATTGTAAGAATTCTTGGTTCACAGCGCTCGGCTTGGGAAACTGCTGTCTCCGAATGGAATGTGTTCGACTTGGAACTGATAGAGCTGTTTTTGTTCGTTATCTTTTGATACACTCCACGGTTGTTTTCGATATTGAGTCGGTATTATAGAAGCCTCACAGGGCAGGCTACTTGAGGGTATTAGTTTCTACAGGAACTACCTGTTGCGACTTTTGTACGTAGTTACTAAATTGAGAGAAATTGCTTCCGCTTTGTCCACTGTGATAAAGGTTGTCTTTAGCTACTGCGAAAGTTCAAATGCTTTTTGCCTTAGACTGTAGTAAAAGACTACAGTACTTCATATGATCTATGACTACCAGAGTATAAGAATTTGAGTTTCGTAGCCGTGTCCTCGTATATTCATTTTGAGATGCCCCAAACGCCGAACACAATGCGAACAAACTATATACCACTAATCTATCAGGGTATCATTCTTCCCTATTAATCCCTCTTCGCTTTCCAAAGCCCGAAAACACCAGTAATAATCAGGAATATCTGCACAAAGAGCATATATACGCCGCCGCCCACGAAGCAGACTGCCCCAACGGGATCTCTCGCTCCTCTTTTCAAAGCGCCAAACAAATACTTGGCATCACTCTTCGCCGTACCGACAACCCAGGTCAACGGCGACGGCTTTGCGGGCTTCTGCTTGAGCTTGGGTCTAGAGCCGGGAAATTCCGCAACTCCCTTGCGTTTGCCTTCTAGGTCTTTCAATGTGAGAGTGTGGTTCTCGTGCTGTCGGTTGCGTACGCTCTCTTTGGTGAGCATGCCTCGGATTGTGTCCTTTTCAGAGGCAGTGTTATGGTTCCACCATTCTTCGACAGCTGTGAACATGTACTTCTGGATAGCTGTTTTGTGACGACCCGGAAAGGCGGGGTGATGCATGATGGTCAAGATCTGGCGAATAGATTCTTCTTCGTCTCGGAAGGGATCGTCCCAGCACTTGACAACCTGCTGTGTAGTCCAGTTGGTAGTAACAGTCGAAACAAGACCTGCTGGTTGGTTGAGAACGTTGCTGAAGTGATCTTTCGAAATATCAGAATGACTCGGGTCAGACCCTTCCCCATCAAGGTAAACTTCTGCAGAGGTAGATTTCGCAGCTTCCGCGTCGACGCGTTCCTTGGCCGCCTTGAGCGCATTACGCAGTTGCATGATGGAACTCTCAATCATGAGACTCAAGTACTTGAACACAAGTTGATCCGTGTACTTGCCCAACTGCGTGCTCGAGTCCTCAGATAGCGGCTCATCGTCGTGCGTCTCGGTTCGTTCCTGGATCCACTTCTTGATGCGATCGTGGAGGTAGAAGATGGGCTCGATGGTCTGCCAAAGGTTGTTGGCGTCAAGGCTGCTTTCGGCTGTTGTGCTGCCCTTCTTGGACTCTTCTGCCTTTTGGAAGAGAACACCAACGCTTTCGAGTTGCTGCAGAATAGGATCATGAATTGTGCTGTTGGAAGCAAGCTTGCTCAGTGCTTCGATGGCAGCTCTGAGAAGATCGTATAGATGCTGAAACGCGATTTCTCCGATGTTCATTTCCTGCCAGAGTTAGTATGCATGGCTCAAAGTTGAATGGTGCTCGTACATTTTCCAGGTTCTCCAGCGATCCCTTGCATTGAAGAACAGCCATGTCATCCGCCTCGCCCAAAAGACTGTGAAAGATATCAAGCATGCCAAAGGTTCCTGTCACAATGGGTGGCACCATCTTTCCTCTCCAACCAGGCGTCTGAACGCGACACGCATCGCCCACAAAGGGGAAAACATCCGTCTCGCCGAGTTCCAGCAGACAAAGTTCGGTGAAATTGCTGTGCGCTGAGAAATCCTCAAGAGTATGCAGCGCAGCGCCAAGGTGAATGAAAGCTTCCTTCTTAGATTTCGGGTCCTTGTCGCGGCCGAGTCGGATGCATTCGCGAAGTTCGCGTGTGACGTAATCAGCTGATGTATCCCAACCGTGTCCAGAATTGGCGATGTAATTTTTCATGCCCGTCTTGGGATCGAACTCGAGTTCCCTAGGATCAACAGGCCCCCGAAGCCTCTCATCGACATCTTTCGCATTATCGGGATAGCCTTTTGGGTTATCGATATGCTCAACGTGCGTGTAACAACCCAACCTCTCACGCGTGACGTCAAACTCATCGGTCGCAAACCCAAATTCCATGAACCCCAAAATGCTCACGATGGCTCTCAACACGGGCTCCGGTACCGTCTCAAGGCCCGTCGTATCAATAATTTGTGAAAAGTCTCTCAACCAATTGCCGAAATAAATCTGCCGTCGCTCAAGTGCAGTGAAACGATAGTGCGTAATAAAACTTGCCGGCAAATACCGCAGCGCCTCAGCAATGTCTCCATGTCGCCAGACGTAGCCGTTGAAGGAGCTAGTTCCCGCCACTTCGCCAGCGCCAAAGGCTGAGGCGCGGCCCGCGAAGAGGAGGCATACGAGGCTGACGAGCAGTATTTTTGTCGTGAGCGAGAATGTCATCGTGAAGGTTGGACCGATGGTTGGGGAATGTGGAGTGACGTCATGAGCTGGCTTGGAGATGGCGGAAAGAGAAATTGATGGGCGGTGCCGACATGGGTTTTAGGGTCGGGAGAATGATGCGCCGTGCCGAGGTTGTGCTTGGCTCATTCTTGCGTCACCTTCCAGCCGAGTCTTCCGTGCTCCTGCAGAAAGCAACATCGGCGATCGCGCTAAGGGATACATGACCACGGGCGCAAATTACTGTGTGAGATAAGTAAATCTTAGCAGGTCTATCGAAATCTGCTGTTCGCTGGTCGAATTTTTGGCTGCGATGGATTGTGGTGGGAATTTGTTCATTTTTGGTTGTGGAAAGACCCATGCGGTTTTGACAGAGTGAATGAACATTGGCTTTAAGATAGCATCAAGTCGTCCAAGAAAGATATTATGCTCAACCAAAAAGCCCCAAATAAATGTTGCATGAATGCTACAAAATCCCCGTTTCCTTTTTCACTATTGACTAGGTAGAAGATAGCAACATTATTACGCTGGCTCTCGACCTCATATTGATCTGTAGGGTAGTAGTAAATCAATCCCACGATGATTCCCCGCATTGCTTCAACAAGGTACCATCAATGCGGGGATCAACCATCAACCTCATGGAGACAGTGGGGCCAATGATCGACGCGTAGGATGGAGGCACTCTGCAATGCTATAAGAGTGAACGGCTAGGAGCCATCGCGAGGACAAGCAATATATTTATTCGGATTATGCTACCGTCCTGTTCTGACTTCAACCTCTCATGGCTTATCGTGATCTATCGGCATCTTATCAGCACTCTATCTTATCGAGCTCTTATCTTACTGGATACATTCCGCTTTGCACCAGAGAGCGGCAAACTTCCGCCGGTTTTAGCGCCAATCAGCTGTCACACATGAAGCTGAAGATTCATGAAGGAGGATGGGGGTGAGTTTGTTCCATCATGACTTGTCACTTTGCTCGAAATCCGGGGTGGCCGTTATGTTAGAGCCCAAAAGGTCACGCAAATGCTTAAGCAGCCCTGTTTGAGTATCATGTTAAGCATGTAATATGTTATACACCGGGCCAAAAGCTTGACAGTTGAAGTAGATATCATGTATTGGGACCAGCCCTATCTCATGCCCTAGTAACGAATGTGCAAATCGCTTCACCATGCTTCCCAGTCCCCAGTGCGCCTATAAATCCATTGCCGTATCTCATTTGTTAGGTTTCAATCCAACATCGCCATTTCTCTTGTCCATTATCGCCTGGCCTTGAGGCATCAAGTTCTGTGGGCGTGCAAAAAGCATTGATGTAGTGACTGGGGCGGCATCCAAGTTTTGCCTTGTCTTGACGGCCAAGGCTAAGAATAATTAGTAAAATGGCCGAGGCAATTGGTACAAGTTTACTTACCAGCTACTGAGGCTGCCATTAGAACTACTGGGAGAGCTTTGTTGACGCGAGCCATGCGTGAGATGGCGGGTTGTGGTTGAGAAGGGAAGTCAAAGCGAGGAAGAGCTCCGCCGAAAGAGTTGGTAGTCATGATGGCTGTGTTTGGTTGTTGTGAATGTGTAAGAGTAGATGTGGCTGATTGATTGAATGCTGATGAATGAATGATGGCTTTATTGAGATGATTTCTCCATTCTCTTATATCAATTTTCTACCATATAGACTCAAATCCCTATTAATTCTATGTCGTCTTAGTCGGGTCACTCCGCAGTAGTCAAGTCAGACCACCAATTTCAGGGCAGATCTTACAGTGGTGCGAGCCCCTAAAGAAAGTGGCGTGGAAGTTGTGGGGTCATGGTCTGCTTTCCCCACTGCCATAGTCATCTGTGTATCAAATCTGCTGATATTCCATGCACTGCCAGATCAACGTCTTAGATTGAGGCGCGGGGGATAGAACCATTTGGTTTCGCAGTTGAGATCAGGCCTTTGTGAAGCAAGATTATTTACAGATAGCATCTCGGCCTGTTTCAATCTCTGTATCCGAGCGCCTCAGATCTCTTGTTCGGTCGCGTCCAACGCAGTTGTTCAATTGAACCTCGCCATTCTCTGCGACTGTAACAATGCTATGATAAATAAAACAAATAAAAGCCACAAACAGCTGATGTCCTCTATTATGTACTCAATGTTTCCCCTTGGCGTCGCGATAATTACTCGGAAATCAGATCATTTCACTCCGGGTTTTCGCGAGCCAGTCAATTACCCCAGTCTTGCCCAGCTCTCCGTGGGGATGTCAAGACTGCACTGCACCTAATTCTGAACCTGGAATCGCTAATCTATGTTTATTCACGCGCCAATTGAAGTGGCATGATTGCAAATTTCCTGCATGTGCTGTATAGGTATTGCAGAGAATTATGTCATTGACAACGCAACGCACGAGGATGGCGGACATACGGGCTCACCGAGAACTGCGAGGATCCAAATTAGACCTCATGATGCGTTGCTTTCCGCGGAGCCGATAGGGCTTGATGTTTGCTCATATTAATTTTTATCGTAGGATTGAACTGTAAAGTATACGTGTTTGAGACAGTCTGATACTGCAAATGCGCGACATGTTTTATTTACTGACCTTTCTCGAAGGACTTGGCCATGTCACCGAGACCACTAAAATTAGCTGCCGCTCCAGGGCTCTCTACACGTCGGCGGAGCCGCATTTTGAGATCATGCCATTTCAACATCAACCTTATGCGATATTAAAAGAAACATACTCCATAGCCGTCGCAGTACTTACATGGCAACCCCGCACTGCTTTTGTTTTGCACTTTTTTTATGAGGTAGTTCTTTGTGCAATGGACTTGAATTGATCTTTCGAACTAGACGTCTCAAGGACTTTTCACACCTGTGTTACGAGAGGACTCGGTATGACCCGGCGATTGGAAGACACGATTAACACATCGCCTACTGATAATATAGTATTCTTTCCATTTTTTATTATTATGCGGTGCTCATCTGACCTCTTGTACAACCATTGGAGTCATGAAGCTTCACGAGTGTACCTTAGCTGAGCAAGACCTCAGCTATCATGATCATGATCCCGAGCGTGCTTATTCAACCCGTTGGACAGAGACCATGGACTAGTAAAACTTTGATCTGAATGCACTATTCTCCTACACTCCACGGTCGTCCGTTGATTGACTGAGCATGATTACAATACCTTTTATTTGAGGTCCCCGTGTCCCCGTGTTTATAAGCTGTAACTGGGCCAAGTCCCGCTAAATCCGTGATGCGGCACTAATATGAAGCCCGCTCCGGTGGAGGCATGTCGGCAATTATTAAACTGCGGAGTTTGCGGAGTTTAACATGACGTAGTATTAATAGCCCCTCTGTTCTTTGGAACATTGAATCTATCAAAATACATCATCAGAAACGAATGAAAATGAAGGTCGCAATTGTAGGAGCTACTGGAGCTACCGGAGGATCCATTGTGAATGGCCTCTTGGAATCTGAGACTCAGTTTGTACGTTGCTTATGACAAGCTTTTTCTTGGCTGACATAAGCGCTGACAACGAATAGGATATTACGGCACTGGTTCGACCAAGCTCGATTGAGAAGCCAGCTACTGTTGCTTTGAAAGAGAAGGGTATCAAAATTGTCGCTGTCGACCTTCAGGGCAGTCAACATGAGCTCGTCTCTGCTTTGAAGGGCATCGATGTTGTGATCTCGGCTATCTACTTTGAGTCACTGTTTGATGAGATCCCTCTCTCGACTGCAGCCAAGGAAGCTGGCGTCAAGCGATATGTACCCTGTTTCTTTGGCACTAACGCGCCTCGAGGAATCATGAGACTTCATGATGTCGTAAGTCTTCCATGATCTTGTAAATCTTATCCAACTAATGATGTATTTCAGAAAGAAGAGATTCTTGACCACATTCAGCGAATTTATCTCCCATACACCGTCATCAACGTCGGATGGTGGTACCAGATCGCCCTTCCCCGCGTCCCATCTGGAAAGTTTGACGACTACCTCACATTTGCAAACAACAACATAATTGGCGGAGGTAACAATCCCTCTGCACTCACCAACCTAAACGACATTGGAAAATACGTGGCAGTTATAATCAACGACCCTCGCACGATCAACAAGAGAGTCTTTGCAAACACAGAGACCAAGTCGCAGCAGGAAGTTTTCGAACTGGTCGAGAAGATTACTGGCGAGAAGCCAGAGCGTACTGAGGTAAGAGCCCACCTGAGTGCGTAGTAGCGAAAGCTGACAATGCGATTGCAGATGACCAAGGAAATGCTTGAATCACAGTTGGCACAGTTCAAGACCGATGAGCTATCGCAGAACAGAGGCATCCTGGAATATTGGATGTCATGGGGTGTTCGTGGTGATAACACACCCGAGAAGGCCGAGTATCTTGGATATGTTCTCGCTAAAGATTTGTATCCTAATCTTAAGGGTCAGAGCTTGGAGGACTTTATCAAGGACGTGCTTAATGGTAAAGTGAAGAAGGCCTATTGATGAGGGAGCCACTTGTGGATGGGACGTCGTCCGACACGATATGCATGATAGGCGTATAGAGTTGGGGAAATTCGTCGAAGGTTACTAGTATAGATTGTCTGTGTCGTATCTATTCGACGAGACAATAGAAACAGAGGAGCTAAAGAATTGTGATCCAGGAAGATAAGAGACCTTGCATATATTCCCACAATTCCCGATGCAAAGCCGGTTATCAGATGCTTTTGGATCATTTATCTAGATCGTGCCTGGATGTCCTTTCCAGAATCCTGTTGGTTGTGCATTTCTTCATGGGTAACCCATCTCACAACAGACCAAAGAGGTACTTCAGAAACCTACTTCATTTCCGTCTCCGGAGAGTTCCGGCATCAATAGTGAGTTCTGGTGCCCGTGCCACTGTCTGTAGTGCGCTGATGTGGACGGAACGCTTCCCCAGTCCCACTGGCTAATTGCGTAAGGGTCAGGAAGATCATCAACGCCCACCGCGGAACACTGGATCGCATTTCCGCAGATCCCTCGCGTCACCACTAGCCTCAGGGCGTTTCACCGAGGACATACTAATTACGGAAGAATAATCCATCGTGAGTGGAATGAGGAAGGTCAAACTACCGTTAAACTAATTGTGACATATCTATTGGGGCCTGTATGGAGCTGGTGAAAAGCTTAATTGTTTCATTTCATTAAGCACATGCCGTTTTCATAAAAGGGGAGGACAGATCAACGCACTAATTACCCTCAGCCGAGTTGACGGGCCGAGACTGGTCTTTGATGAAGTTTCTCGCCCCAATGAGATGCTCGCAGGGTTCTCTTGGCGCTATCAACTCTAATGCGTTTTAGGTTAACAGTCCAATTCGGGGCTGCAATTTAGTGTCTGTACTGTAGCAATGTCTTAGCTCTAGCACCGGCGCCAGCTCCCAAAACAGTTGCTCAAGTAAAAATTGCAAAGCCACAGTTATGTCACTGGGTAGTTTCGTTCCAGCTGAAAGCTTTGTTAGGTGCCGAGGACCAAAGCCTCCGAGCGCAACGCTGATCACACGTGGTGACGCATGGGACATCTCGAAACATTCTTCTTGATTGACCCGGCAGAGTAGCGACGTCTCTTTGTAACGCAGCATCTGTACAATCCAATTGTTGATCTACATATAGAGGTGTCTCGGTTTCAGCCTTTTGAGGCTTCATGGGCGACTTCATTCCTTGGCGAACACAATGCAGCAAAACAACAATGCGACCCCTGGCGCCCGGTTGACCAACAACTCCTCAATTGGGATAAGGGAGTCCCTCACGTCAATCCACCTGATAAGCTTCTTTAACAGAGTGGCCACCTTCCCGAAGGGAACCATCGCAGCGAAGCTAGCAGCAGCTGTGGCTGAGCTTGGTCACAGACTAGCGATCCTTCTGGTTAACAAGCATCAATCAAGAACCGAAAAACTTAAAGTTTGCCAGGGTCAGGATCAAGAAGCATTAATTATACGCGTACTCGGTTGATCATCTCCCTGGGGCCTGACATGTTTTCCAGATTTTCTTTTTAATTCCCTTGATTCTGCAACATTGCCTTTTTCCTGTTTTGTTGATTCCTTCCTTTTCGCTCGTTTCTTTACAAGGTTGGGAGGGCGGTCCGCCCTCGGTAGACGCTTCGCCATGGTTAGCATCTCGGCTTCGATTGTACGTCGTCACTACATCCCGCAAGCTACCCTTGTGCTAACATTTACCAGGCTATTCAAGCAATCCTTCTCGGCTTGGCGTTCATAACTCTTGTGCTTCGTGGCTGGGCACGTATCCTCGCCCAACAGTCCGTTTGGGCCCTTGCCGATGTGCTCGCATGGGCTGGCTGGGTGTTCACCCTGGGATGGTTCATCTGCTCGACAATGGCCCTCCAAATCCTTATCGACAACCCCGCCCAAACCAAGGAGCTTATTGTCGAATCGGTAGAATACCTAAAGGTATACCAAGACGTCAGTGACGCGATGAGCGAGCGGCTAACTCGAAGATAGATCGTCTTTGTGGCACAGTATTTCTTCGACATCGGCATTTACTTCCCCAAACTTTCGATCACGTTATTTTACTGGAGTTTGATACCAAGGATTATGGGACGATTGAGGAATGCATTAATGGGAGTTTCGGTTTACCTATGTTGTTCTTTGGTGGCTACAATACTTCTGGACACTTTGATTTGCCAACCTATCTCTGACAACTGGTACGACTCTGCATTCAAGCATCGCATATTTAAAACTAACATTTTCAGGTCTATCCCTAACCAGCTCAAGTCGGTGTGGAACTCGTATACTGCTTTCGTCGTGCAGTGGGTTCTAAACTGGTCCACAGACCTGGTTGCATTTCTGTATCCATTCTTCCTTTTGAAGCATATTTCACTCCGTAAAGAGCAAAAGCTGGCTCTCATCGGTGTATTCTCACTCGGCGCCATCACACTTTCCGTTAGTCTTGCAAGATTTGTCGCCTACAATGCGACAGATTTTGAACTCGAAGACGAGTCCGGCAGTATGTCAATCCAAAGCACCACCCATCATCTGCGGAGTCTAACAGAATATCAGATATCCTGTCTACCGCCGAAATGGCTACAGGCGTCATAGTCGTTTGTCTCCCAGGTCTTCGAAGATTCATCGGACGCAGCAAGTCACCCGTGCCATCGTCAGGCCCATCAGGCCCATCCAGTGGTTACGTCCAAACAATAGGAAACAATAACACACAAAGAACTAGACATCCACCATCAGCTTATCAGAAATGGGGAGTCAGGGATGACGAGATTGGCTTGGTTACTGAGATCCGCGCAGGTGATTCAACAGAACTGACGGATATGGAGCGGAGTAGTGATGGGAAAAGCGTATATGTGAGACATAGTATAACTGCCACATGACGGACAGAAGTTAGACAAATATTTACTTTGATGATTGTTATCCACTAGTCATGAAAATTAAAAAGCCGTGGAACTGAAGCACTATTCATTGTATGGAGAAACAACTTCGCTCCAAATATCTCACCCCAGAGAACATCGAGTAAACGGCTGTCTCTTTGTGTTTAAAGCAGGGCTAGTGTTAGTGCGATAACAAATATCATACCACAGTGTCACAAGAGTATTTAGGACACAATAGTGCATGGTACATAAGTCAGAGTAAAGGCACGAATGCGGGAAAGGTGCGCAGAGAACCCGGAACGAAAGAGAAGTCAGTTTCCGTGGAAGGCTGAATTCAAGCTCGGGATATATATATGTTGACAGGTCTAAAAATGCTACGTCTAATTCTTGCTATTGCTTTTCCTCCTAGTAGGTATGCGGCACGGTTGCTCAAGGCTGCGGTGTTCCATCATCACCCTATATGGGCCTCCACAGGCTCAGCTGGAGACAATATGTAGTTTGAGGAGCAATATATGTAGTGGAAATATTCAGTAGACTGTTCAGGAGGATATCCCTGAAAGAAGGTTGGAATCTCAGGCAAGCCTTCGTGTTATCGGAGATGTTGCCACAAGAAAGACCGCAAAGTTACATCTGTAGTAAACCTCTCATCATTGCACAACAAGTCACAATTTCACCATCACCGAATGGTCAAGAATGATGCGGGGTAACGTCAAGCTGAAGGAGGGGAGAAATGAATGCACCGGAAGACCGTGTGGTCTTATCTTTGTCGATTGATCATGGGTTCAACGCCACATAGAACACCTCCTGTAACAATTCTCCACATATCAAAAGCTTGTTGCTTACAATGGTGGCTTGAAGCACGTTTAAGCTCTAAGCTACGTGTGGCCGGTTTAACAGCTTCACGCGATGCCAAGATACTAAAACGGGATGGTTTCCAAGTTGTTTAAGAAGATCCGGTAGAAGCTCTTGATACCGGTTGTGGCGTTTGGGTGATTGTTGAAACGGGAAACACCGCTGTTGTTGTCAGAGATTACAAAGATAAGAGAGAGATTCGTCGGCTTCAATCCCGATGTCGGCTCCAGAGTGTAATCGGGGGCAGCAAAGAGAGGTGACACCGATATGCTGGGCTGGGGGGTCGTTCGCATTGCAGTCTTGTCTGTTGTCTCAGCTGAGCTTTCAATGTATGATGCGACTGGTTGTCATTCACTAGGTCAAGATGACATGGCCAGTTCTAGGCTTCTAGCTCACCTTCGGGACACACACCCACAAACTCAATTCTTCTTCTGTCACCGCTCACCGAAAAGGCTGCAGGAACATCGGCACTTGAACATTCTACCCCGGGTTTGCATGTTCAACCCCGGGTTTGCAGAACGAGTATCGAATAAAATGATAGTACGATCCGTTATCGTAGCACTTAAGACGGACATAACGGCATAGAACCCGTTCACGTCAAGTGCAGAACCCGACGACCCGATGCACCTGACCGTCAGTCCAAACTCTCCCTTCGCAAGAAGAATGCCACGATAGCTTCCATATGCACAGTCTGCCCTCCTATTACCATTTTTGGAAAAGCGAGTGTCATCGATAAGCTCAAATCACCAGCGCGTCACATCCGACTGATCTCGGCTCCGTCGGGTTCCATTCCCAGGTGAGCTTGACCCCTCGGCTCCAAAACCCGAGCAGCCAATCACAGAACACAAAGCTGTTAGTAATTACCAGATGCGGCTTGACAACCTGGGGAAACAGAGTCTAAACCTGATGGGACCGAATACCGATATCTCAGTGGCGTGCAGACCCCTCGCTTGATGTAGGTACGAGCCAATGGGGTATGTACGATTGGAATCGTGACCCTTTGTTTGTCTTTGGCCTTGGGGGTGATCTTCAGTCACACGACCGGGGCTGATAAGCTCGACCTCACACCATCACGATACTGGGGCCGAGATACGGAATGGAAGCTCCTGGGATCGATATCCGAGAGGAGACGGTTGGGCTAAGAGTCGGCACTTATCTCATGGCTTGCTGGCCTGGGCCGTTGAGGGGAACTAGCCATTGTCTATAAGAATCTGTCTGCCACTCCCGTCAGGTCCAGCAAACAAGCTTCCCAATACATCAACACCTGAAGACTTTCCATCGAATATCACAAAGAACAATCAACAATTTCTATCAACAACAGCCACCAACAAGCACAATGAACAAGCTCAAGCTTCACATCGAGAGTGATAACTTCACGGATGAAAGTCACAGGACACCCGTTCGAGCCCTTCCTTCAACATGGTACACTTCTCCCGAGATGTTCGAGCTCGAGAGGCGCGCTGTCTTCTCCAAGAAGTGGCTTCTTGTCACACATCAGAACAGACTCGCCAAAGCAGGAGATTGGCTCAAGTTCAACGTTACAGGCTACGAGTTCGTTGTTACCCGTGACAGAAAGGGTGGCTTGAACGCCTTTCACAACGTCTGCCGTCACCGAGCTTTCCCAGTTGTCCAAGGTGGAACTCAAGGCAACGCGTCCATCTTTGCCTGCAAGTACCACGGTTGGTCTTACGGTCTGAGCGGCAACCTTGCCAAGGCGCCCAACTATGACGTTCTCGATGGTTTCGACAAGAGCAAGAACGGTCTTTTCAAGATCCATCTCAAGCTTGATGGCTATGGCTTCATCTGGGTCAACCTCGACAGCTCTGATAACCCGGAGCCTTGGGCCAAGTACTTCGACGCCATTGATCAACAGGACAGACTCGCGAATACCAACTTTGAGGACTATCAGCTGGACCATGAGTACAGCATGGAGGGTAACTACAACTGGAAGATCTTGGCCGATAACTTCAACGAGTGCTACCACTGCCCCACGACGCATCCTGATCTTCCTACGCTTGCAGACCTTGGAAAGATGAAGTGCGATACTGACAAGCAATGGATCCAACATTCGAGCGTTCAGACCGAGGAGCAGAAGAAGGCTGGTTTTCAACTCGCGAGCACATATTTCTACCCCAACGCCTCGGTCGTTGTTCTGTAAGTCTTCATCCTACCGATATAGAATACATTTTCTAACTCAACACAGACCCCATTTCATGATGATCCAACGTTTCGTCCCCACATCAGCAACCCACTCCTCAATGAGCTACCAAATCTTCCGCAACATCAAGTCCTCTGATGAAGACTTCCGTGCTGCCTCCGAACTGTACGCACGCGTAGTCTCGGAAGACAAAGACCTCTGCATCGGCGCACAGAAGAACTTGGAAGCTGGTGTTTTTATCAGTGGTGAGCTTCACCCTCGACTTGAACACGGCCCGCTTTCGTTCCAGGATGGTCATCGCGATGCTATTCATGAGCACGTCAAGCTTGAGAAGGCAGCTGGACGACAAATCTGGCCAGCGAGACAGAGGTTGCCTGAGGGAGAGGCTGCGAAGAAGAACCAGGAGGATGAGGAGCTTTGTTCGAGCTTGTCTTGTGGAGGGTTGCAAGAGGTTTTGGCCTGGTAAAAGTTGGGGAGATGTTTATCTGCGCGAAAAAAGATTGCTTTTGATGTCTAGGGCGGTATTTGTAATTGCATTAGAGTTAGTAGTAAAGATCAAATTGTTTACCCATAATGTGCTGCCCCGTCCTGCCATCCACCGATGATGACTGCCATGACGCCCCCAAACCTATCATGTAAGGTCCAGGGTGGACAATGTCGCATGTATCCTTCTTCGATCCAAGTCCTGAATGACCACAGAAAGTCTCAAAAATAGGTATATTCCATAGAATCAAGTGAATAAGGCTTCGACAAGTCTTGTATTGCTAGATATACATACGTACAAAGCAGGTTCGCTGCATTTTGAGCCAAGTCTACTGCGTGGAAGAGGTATCGGCCCGAGGACTGGGTATATCCACGCTATTTCCCTCTTACCATCGGGATCTAGTTCCTTTTTGTGCACTATATCCGCCGTTATACCGAAGATCTGATAATTCGTTCTCGAAGCCTCCGCCCCGTTGAGGAGCCGAGGATAGTGGGTTCGCATTTGATGGCAATAGTGGGCCTTTAGCGACACAAAGCAAGATCGGCATTCATGATATCACTACCATGAGAGGATGTGTTGGATATCGTATCGGGGCATACGTTGATAGCATGGAAATGGTTGCCTCAACGCGTAGACAGCAACAGAGAGCCTGTCTTGATCGTTATTTACCTACCTTTCTTGTCTGCCTGCACTTACACTCAAACAGATCATACGAGGAAGTCGCAGCAAGAGTGGACCTCAAGTGCAGGAACACCAACGGGAACTTCAATTCTGAAGACATTAGCATCACTAGCTCAATGATTTCTGAGCCCTATCGGCGATCAGGAACGAATCCGGGGAGATTACGTCCTCAATCCTTGGCAGGTCGGCAGAGGATTGCCGAAGACGAGATATTATATGTGTGTAAGAACGCCTTGTCAGATCAGACAATTAGAATGGTCTAGATTTCGTACAGAAAGCCAGGACCATTTGCCTAGTTAGGATGAGATTACGTTGCCTCTAATTACGCGAAGCGAGGGGATATGCCTCGTGTTGGCCGCTGAATTCGAGGCTGCAACCCCCCTTCGGGATAATAAGAGATCTCCATAGGGCTACTTGGCTACTGCTTAGCGTTAGTATGGTTTTAATTTGTGTAATTTGAAACACAGCCTCAAACATGTGCTGCTTTTTCACCTGTCAAGAAGGGACTTTGGGCGGACTTTCGGACCTTCAAAACACCAAGAAGCGCTAGAATTGAGTTTCGGTATGACACAAAAAGTGTCGGTGCATTGGACCCAGTTTCATGCCGTTAGTATGAGTTTCCATTGGCTGCACCGTATAAACAGGGATTCGGCATCTCCTAGCGTCTCAGCTTCGCCCCCCCTGAATTCTGAATGGCAGATCTTTTAAGGTATTTTGCTCTTGGTGTTGGCTTTGGCTTTTGTCCAAACAGAATAACTTTCTTTGACTCCATCCATCTCGACCGCCTCTCTTTTTCCCAGTTGATTTGTTGCAATTCAAAATGAAAGCAGTTGACCAAAAGAAGCTTGTTATTCTGCCCAAGAAACCAAAATGGCAGCGTGCTTCAAAGCCCAAAGTCCGCACCGGCTGTCTAACCTGGTATGTCCATGTCTTGCTTGCTTGTCCCCCATACCCATACGCCGTAAATCATTATATCCGTCTCCTCGCTTTCTTATTCGCTTGTAAACTTGGTGGCTAATAATTGCTTTCTCCATCTTACAGCAAGTATGTGTGACCTATGACCAAGGCAGCAGCGTACCATTCTAACCCATTGTAGAGTCAGACATCTAAAGTGCGACGAGGAGAAGCCAACGTGTCGTCGTTGTCGCGATGGCCGCGTTAAATGCGATGGTTATGCGACACCCGACAAAGCCCAGCTCCAACAGCGCGCTGCTGTTGCTGTTACTGTGCCTTCAACTCCATATCCTTTATCCGTCTTTAATCCTAGCCTCGGGGATACATCCATCGAAAGCTGCTATTTCCACCATTTCCACCACTGGACATCAACACAACTCACCTGCGCCCCAGGTCAATCCAACTTTTACCTCACTGTCGTCTTACCTCTAGCCCATCAATGCGAACCTATCAGGCATGCTATCATTGCCGTGGGTGCAGCGCATCGCTTTTATATGGCGGGGCCTGAGACCTGCTCTCCACTCCAGCAGCTGAAAGGCTTGGCTATGCAACAGTACAACAAAGCCATTGCCAACATCATACCTCACATGTCACTCAACTCACCTTTCGATATTCAGTGTACTCTAGTTTGCTGCTTATTGTTTGTTGCGTTTGAGGGTATCACTGGTCGATATGCTGAGTCAATTCGTCACATCCGTGCTGGAACACGTCTTCTATCCTCACCAAGCTTGGTGACAAACGCATACGAAGCAAGGATAGCCGGTAAACTTCTAGATATGTTTTCGAGTCTAGGATGCGAAGCTTCAGCCTTTATAGAAGACACCATCATTCCCGACATACGAACAGGATACTTTGCGCTTTTGTCCAGCGACGACGTTTCCGAAACACCTTTCAAAGATCTCGACGAGGCAGCCAGCGCGCTGCGAAGACTAGATGTTGAGACCGTGGAGGTAATGGCTGAAATGACTTCCGAAGAGGGATGTGGCTCTCCAGGAAGTACCTTCTTCAGAGATATGGATGTGGTTACAAAAGCCCGCATCGAAGCATCTTGGAATCGACTAGACGAAAAGTTCAATCACTGGAGCAGGCGATTCGACATGACCAAGAACTATATTTCCATGTGGGAGTACCAAGAGTGGACATCGCCACAGCTGCTGTACCTCAACATGCAGCAGGCATTTTGGAGGATGAGCATGTCACTCGAACTAGAAGACGATTCCGAACCGGACCCAGAGACAGTGGAAACATATCTAACTGCCGCAGAAGCATTCGCACATCGGCTTATCGTCCCTGGCCAGAGAACTTTCTCCCTAGACGGTGATTTGATCTCCAGCCTATCCTTCTTATTGTGGTGCTGCACCGAACCACACCAAGTCGAGCGCGCACTAAATCTCCTAAGGAATCTAAACAGAAGGGAAGGAATTTGGGACAGCAGAGACTTGGCAGAAATGCATGAAGCGGCAATGGCAATGGGCGATGCAAAGATTTGGTACGAGAAGGATATTCCTGGTGGTGTACCTGGTTTCATGGCAGAGTTGGCAAAAATGAATGCGAGATATGGACTGAACATGCCGCGGTCCGCATTGTTGGTTGAAAGTTATGACAGTGAATAAGTGAGCTATTTGTTAGGGGTATAGCATTTTACAGTAGCTAATGGTAAAGAATTAATCAAGCGCTCCAGACGGGCTCAGTTGGGAGTTGGCATTCCAGCAAGCACTTGATCACAGAAACACAAAAAAGATTGGGATCGGGACTAGGACTAGGAATTCTAGCGACTCTCGGGGCCCATTGATCGACATAGATTTCATGTTCACGCTCTTGGTGATGTTGAAGGTTTGGAATCTTATTCTGTTCCGCGTCATGTGTCTCAGCCCGCTACGTCATCTGCTAGCGATCGACACTACACCTGTAAGCCATAAGAGAGAGGTTCCCGCTGATCATAAGTTCATCTGTGAAACCAAATCGCATTATAGAATAATTACGAAGCAATCCATCATCGAATCCATCATGTCCTTCCTCGAGAGTTCTCTAGAATCAGAAGATGTCGAAGAGTTGCGCGAGATCTACGACGAATAGGCTGATACCTACAACCAAGATGTCGAAAATGAAGGATACGTAGCTCCCAGATTGGCTGCTAAGATGTTAGTTGAGCATCTCAGTTCTCGGATGGAAGTCTCGGAGGCAGAGATCTTTGACGCCGGATATGGAACGGGCCTCGTTGGCCAAGAACTACGCAAGCTCGGCGTAAAAACCATCGACGGATGCGATATCAGTGATAGAATGCGTGATATCGCTGAACGAACGGACGTTTACAGATCCCTTTCGTCGATCGACCTCAGCGGCTTTGCTACGCTACCTGAATTGAAATATGACGCTGTGATCTGTGTCGGCACTATGACACAAGGACACGTCGCGCGAGAAGCTTTTCTAGACTTGCACCGACTCACAAAACACAAGGGCCTTATACTCGTCACTATTCGAGACACCGTATGGCAGAGAAACGGTTACGAAGATTATGTCAGACACATGGTTAGAACCGGGATGGTCAAGATTATCAGAATCCCGAAAACACCTCAGCGGATTGCGGCTGGAGTGAAAGCTCGTTTTGTTCTCCTTGAGAGTATGTCCGATGAATATACAATGTCGGAGGATCTTTACGAAGAACAGATGAAAGACATGTATGTCCCCGTTGGTACCGTCCCAGATTGTAGCAATAAACCTTTTATTATTATTATTATGGTGGTGATGATAATAATGATGGTAATGAAGGACGAAAGACGCACTACCGATGGTATCTATTATAATCTTAGTATTTTATACCCTATAATATTACTCCTAACCTTGATATTGGTAAATCAATGTATTGGTGATCTGAATCTGCTGTTGTGTTAAGGGTGCTTTTGCGTATATTGACTATGAACATGCTCTTGTCAAAAGACGAAGAGATGCTGCTTGTAAGATCGAAGCCAACCTTGGTAAGTCCAAAGGATTTTGGCAAATTCCATTGATCCTGCAGGATGATTGATAACTTTTCCCGGATACTGTCCTTGGGAATAGAGCGACCCTGTTATCAAATGAGTCATCCGGAATTTCCTGATTAGGAAGGTGGTGATCAGCATCATTGCCGTATAGCCGCGCCATCGTAGCTCTGATCTTTGAGCTACTGGTAGTGTGTCACTAGAAACTGTAGACTGGCGATTGTATATAAACATAGAGGTATGCCAACAAACCACTCCATAGAATCCTCCCATCAGCTATTTGTCATGATGAACGCCGAAAGTATCGCAAATGCTTACTGCTCAGAAAGGCTCATCTACAGAGCCTTAGAGAACAATGACAAAGACATAGACTACCTCTTCAAGTATCACGAAAGTGACCCTCTCAACGCCGTTCTAGCAGGGCCCTCTCTCATCCGCCCCAAAAGCAGGAAAAGCGCAGAAGACCTCACGGACAAGCTGCAAAAATGCACTTTCTGTGTAATGGTCTGCCTCTCTCCATCCGAAGCTAAAGCTCAAGGCATCGATTCCTCCGACCCCGTACCCATTGGCTTTGTCCTTCTAGGCTGGGGTGGTACCCCAGATGCCCACAAGCATCACAGACAGACATCCCTGGGCATAAACCTCAGCACCCCATACAATAACAAAGGCTATGGAAGTGAAGCTATCAATTGGGCGCTGGACTGGGCGTTTAGGTTTGGCGGATATCACCGTGTGGCTTTGGGTACTGTTGGGTTTAATACCCGGGCGCAGCATGTTTATACTAAGTTGGGATTTAAAGAGGAAGGAAGGGAAAGGGAAGCGTACTATCTGGATCGCAAGTGGTATGATGTAATTAATTATGGCATGTTGGAGCAGGAGTGGGCTGCTTTGAGAGGAGTTGAGTGAACACTCCAAGGGACCTTGCATATTCAACGTTGAAGAGCTCTTAAATCTCCTTGTTGATTACTACTACCATAAAAGACTACGAATTTCACAGAAACTGAAATTTCCAACATCCTAATCTTTTCCTACTGTGAAAAATACTTCAGACACTGGTTTCTTTGACAATGCGATTCTCAGAGTCCTCAGCATAGGCATCAACCTTGATCTGTGCAAACTTTCTAGCAGATGTCTTGTTGGCGAAAAGGATATCAATCTCCTCAAAGGTTCTGCCCTATATTAAGTTAGAAGATGTTTCACAAAAGAAGTCAGAGATCGCTCACCTTGGTTTCCGGAAGACGGAAGTAAGCCCAGATAAAAGTCAAGAGTGAAAGTCCAGCCCAAAAATACCCGACTTTTCCCTTCCAATCACCCTCAGTAGGATTAATCATGTAGGGGCCATAAGTGTTGTTTAGAATCTGAGAGATGTAGTAGGCAATACGAGCCAAACAGATACTCTTGCTGCGAACATTCACAGCTGGGATCTCGCCGATGATAGCGTAGCAAACAGGCCCGATAGTCGCATAAAAAACAATTTCCCAGATCAGAACAACCCCAGCTTGGCCGAAGCTCACAGCCTGAGACTGGGGAACACTAGCCAGGATACCGATGAGAAGCATGAGGAGACAGCAGATACCACATGACCAGACGTATAAGGTTCGGCGACCAATGCGGTAGATGAGAGCCCAAGAGATAATGACACCGACAGATGCGAGACCGAGAGCACCAGTCGCAAATTTAAAGGAGTTCTTGGGATCGACGCCGGCTTGGACGAAGAAGTAGGTTGGTGTGCCACCGATACCGACGCCGGTAGTATTCTGCGCTACAAAGACAAGACTGACAATCTCAGTGCGGCGAAGGTTGATGCCCTTGAAGCAGTCAAGGTAGCTAGATCCACTGGTGTGTTCACTCTCGATCTTGTTAGTGTGAACGATCATAGCAAGTTGCTTATCGAGATCCTCGTCGGTCTTTTGACCCTTGGCAGAAATTCGTCGAAGGACGTTCTTCGCGTCATCAAGTCGGTTCTTTCGAGCAAGCCAGTATGGCGACTCGGGCGTAAACCACAGGATGATGAGAAGGGGGATGGGCCAGACCCATTGGATACCGAAGGGAAGACGGTAGGCCCACTCAGTAGTATTGTCAGAGAAACTAAACAGCACACCAGCGGCGAGGAGTTGACCAAGAGCCCAGCAGAGACAGACGTAGTTTGCAAGATATCCGCGAAGCGCCATGGGACATATCTCGGATGCGTAAGCTGGGGCCATAGTTGCAAAGACACCCCACGGCAGACCGCAGAGGGTAGAACCAACGAGCAGCATGGGCAGGTTGTGGGCGAAGAAAGTGATGAAGATGAATCCGGTAATGGCTACAAGTGATGCAACCAAAGTGCGTCTGTATCCGAACCGCTGTGTAAGCCAGCCGTTGGCGAAAGCGCCTATGATAGTTCCAATAGCCGTGGCGTTGCCAAGACCAGACTGCCAAGGTCCAGAGATCTGATAACCGAGTTTATCTCCGTACCAGTCGCCGTACTTCTTCTGAAAGGCAGGCTGAGCCATAAGGTTGCCGATGAGGACGATGTCATAACCTTCCATGATAATAGAGGATGACAGGAGGAATGACCAGGTTATGGCGCCTGGGTAGGCCTTGCAGGCTTCCCAGAGTGACATGTTGCGATCAATGTCAGCGCCCTGTTGACCTTGAACATGACTCCAATCTTTCGAGTCGGAGATAATCTCGTCTTCGACATGATTGATACTGGGAGTCTTTTCAGCCGCCATGTTGAATTGAGTAAAGATGAGAGTCAATGGATGAGACAACTCTTGATGAGCATGGGGAAGATCAAAGCCAACTCCATGCGGCTTCACGGTAGCTTAAGTATTAAACTCGATATGATGATTATCGACAGGGATTCACCCCATGGGGAACAGGGAAAAATTCCCAAAAGCCTGGGTCTTGTTTGCGGGGGAAGTTGAAGAACCAAACGCGCCAATCCTCGACTCTCTCCCACCGGAAATCCCACCGGGAACCCCGCGGCGGGTTAGCCCATCTAGTGGCTTAAACACGCGACCTTGAGCATGAACTATAAACTAGGTACCTACGTTAGCAAACATCTCAGAGTAACCCTACCAGATACTGCATTGTTGAATTGACAAGATGCCTGAGGATTACATGTCTATGTTGCGAGGCCTGCCTGATGAGCAGGCCAAAGCCAAGGGCCCTGCTGTTGGTGTTGCGACTGTTGATGTGAGCATTACGACTGGCCTACCTAAGCACCTTGCTTCCGGTATTCTGTACGGTATACCAGATAAGTCTGACCAAATACCCGACCACTTCTACAAAGACATTGGCTTCAATTACGGTCGTGGAGGAGGGTCTCAACTCCCCGACACCAAGGGCTACGCCGTCAGCTTCGAGGACTACAAGGCAAGTTCCGTCTCAAGCGCAAGTCTTCGTGTACTGACCTTCCTACAGGCTCGCTTTGCATCAGCCTTAAGCAATTACAGGACAGCCCGTAAGCATGGAGGAGATTTTATCTACCTGCTTCCTGCAGTTTGGGGTGCTGATGGTGGTCAATCGGAGAAGTTTGAGTACCCTGGTGACAACGATGACTGGACACGCTGGGATGCCTTTCTTGATGAGACTTTAAAGGACGTCCAGGACTCGGAAATGAAGGATGGCCTTGTTATTGATATCTGGAATGAGCCTGATTTGAGCTTTTTCTGGGGTGCGTCCAAGGAACAGTGGCTTGCGCTATGGTCTCGTACTTTCAAGAAGGTCAAGTAAGTACAGCTTCATACCTATTATCGTAGGTATATGTACTGACTATACTGGAGGGAGGTATTCCCATCAATGAGAATAGCAGGACCAAGCATATCTGCCATCCCCACAACAACTCATGAGTGGTGGACAGACTTCCTCACAGAGTGTATCAAGAATGACACTCTTCCTGATCAGTGGTCATGGCATATGGAGAGCGGCAATGACTGTGATACCATGGCTGGATCGATGAAGTCTTTCCACGAATTACTGGCCAAGTTCGATATTCCACTTGAGAAGGCAAAGGATGTCAACATCAACGAGTACGCTGTGTATGGCGAACAGGTTCCTTCCGCTGGCGCTTGGTGGATCGCTGGTCTTGAACGCGAGAATACCCATGGGTTGAGAGGAAACTGGGCTATCGCAGGAGCCCTGCATGATTTCCTTGCTGGTAAGTGCTTTCGCGCCTGGAGAATACAGAAGACTAAAATGTGCAAGGTCTTCTATGTAAGCCCAATGCTACAAACGACAAATACGCCATCGAAGGCGAAGGGTATTGGCCAACAGCCGAGTACCAGGTATACAAATACTATGGCAGTCAAATGACAGGCCAACGCGTGAAAACCACACCCACACCGGATAGCTTTCTTGACGTCTACGCAACAGTCGACGACAACGTTGTCCGTATTCTAGCCGGAACGCGTTCCAGATCTGGCGACTGGACTATTGAGTTGACGGGCTTGCCTGAGGCTGGAGAAGTCAAGATCAGAACATTGGCTTTCGTCGTGAAAGACGGGGACAAGTTTAAAAATGTCGATGGGCCACAGGAGTTGGGGGACACGACTGACCATGTCAAGAATGGTTCTTTGAGACTGAAGATGAAACATGAGGACAACACAACGGCTTACGCATTTGAGATCACTCTTCCCAAGAGGCAATGAAGTAAAAGTGGTTAATTGCACATGGGTATCTTCCGTCTTTACCATAGATAACTCTCATCAATAGAAGTGCACTCATCCAAGAGCATTCAGCAGATCCAAATACTCTCTACTACGTCCCCACGCCAGTGATACTGACTCAAGGATCTTTTTGCCCTCTTTCAGAATCCTGGCTGGCGCTTCAGAGGCATAGATATCTCCAACACCACTTATATATGCCTTCAATACACCAGCTCTAACAAATAGCTGTACCATCTCGTCATCGTTAGGCCGATCCAACCTGATGAATGTCGGGCTGTCATCGTCCGAGTATGCTTTGTTGTGGTCTGGTGAAGCATGGCGGGTTACGCTTCCACTTCGCTCTTCACCAGAGGATCTTCTTGACTTGGAAGAGTACACGCTATACGCCCATAGTGTGAGGATGGCCCAGAATACGCAGGGCGGCTCGTAAAAAGCCATTTTCGAATAGCGGCGAATATGCCAGAGGAAGCAGCCACAGTGCAATGCGGCGAGACGTGCTTTCGACTAGGCCTTTGTTAGAATATCGCTCTTGACCAATGCTCATCGACTTACCACATCCTGCTGAGCCCACTGCGAAATCTCCCGTTCAGCTTGTAACGCGTTTTGCTGATTAGACGCCACCTTCCTCTCACTCTCCGGGGCTTTCAGATAATTTGCCAGAGTCATTAGCATCGTCCTGGGCACGAGGAGGACAACCCTTGAGAAGTGTAGGTGAAGAACGGTAGGATGCTCAGCCCCTAGTAACGAGGCTATCGTTGCATTAGCTGCCCAGTGCAGCGTATCCACGCAATCAAGCGCAGCGTTTCGCCAATTCGAGTCTGTGTTCAGGAGGTTGGTATCTTCTGACTGGCGTTCGGGGTTGTTTTGAGGCATCCATGACGAGAGTGGGCGTTTGAAATAGGTGTTAACGGCGGAGTATTCTTGGTAGACTGCGTGGAGAAGACATATGCGGGAGAACTCTCCCAGATCGGATTTGGCGGTTCGGTCACGAAAGATGGTGTTGACAGCGGATAGAAGTGAGGGGTTTTCTGAGATAGGTTAGTGGTTGTCTTCATCTATGCCACAGGTTGGCGACTTACCTTCAACACGTCGGTATACTTTAGACCAGTCTAATGAGCACGTCTGGGACCATAGCCCATCGTGAGGCAGTTCAATGTCTTGTACATCGAACGTGGAGGCTTGGTGATCATCGAAGAAGTAGCAGCCCATCCGGTCTAATAGCTGTGGAAATGTTAGTTTAAGCCTTCGCGTATATAGTAGCCCGATACATACCCATATAAAGTAACAAAGTCTCTTCAAGGTTTCGTCTTCAACCCAAGCCTTCCACTCCTGATGGATATTCGTCTCCCGCTGGTTGAGACGAGCTTTCACGTCGCTTGCCACTTGTGTATGAGACCGTCGGTAGAGATTGATAACCTTGTGTAGATCACCTACTCGTTGATAGCCGATGTGCCGAGACTTACTTGTGCTGTAGTATAGTAGTCCTACTTGACTCAGAACAAGAGCCTGCGCCAGCGCAATGTCCATTTCTGAATTCTCCAGTTGCAAGTGGACAACCAGCACTCTCCTCAAGAACTCCTGGAACGGTAAAACACAGTCGTTGATGTCGTCGGTGGCAGAGTACTGGCTTCCTACGGCACAGATCGCTAGGACCAGTACCCAGTTTGCGTTGAGATCCGTCGTGTTTGGATGCACCAGCGGAAATATTGGGTTGAAATGTTCGAAGAAGAGCTTTATACAATAATCCATGATTGGCAAGGGAGGAAACTCAGAAGACGTAAACTCGTTCCCAAAGATGCCGGCTTCCAGACATGTATTCTCAAAAGAGTCATATATCTTGCCGTAAGTCACTTGTGTTAGTGCAAAATCTCGAACGCCATCGGTGGCCTCGATAGTTATGTGATCCAAGTCGGGAAACTCCCAGATGTTACTCTCGTGATGAAGGCTCGGATCCAGGGAGACAGACCATAGCTTGGTACAGCCCACAACACCCAGCGGCGGGAATGATTGCCTCGATCGGTCCGTGCAAGGTCTTCGTGCTCCATTCGAGCTCGTGGCATACAGGTCACCGGGTATTGTGCGATCCGATGACATGCTTAGCTGTGGTGAAGCAGCTGCGCCGTTCCCTTGAGATATGGACCCAACGGTAGATATAGTTTGTGGAGTGTTACCGAAGACAGGCATGTTCGACGTTGGTTGATTCAGGGTTGGCTCATTTCCACATGAAGGTCGCAAAGATCCTGTTGAAGGTATACTGTTATCAAGACCAAGTATCGAGCAGTAGTTTGTTTCGATCTCGTTGTTGTACGGTAGCCAGTTCATCGGAAAGTCCCAGTCGATATCGCATGGGCCAAGGTCATACTCGAAGGGCTGTGCCTGTTGCATTGCAGTGTCTCCTCCATCTTCAAGATACGGACTTGACCGCGTATTTGGGTCTTCTTGAGGTGATATCGAAAGGTGCTGGTTGGATGGCACGCTGTGTGAGAGACCTACGCTACCACCCGATTGCACGAGTGACACATTATCGGTCCTTGAGGGGGACACGATCGGTTGCTTATCCGCGTTGTCTGGGTAAATGCAACTCAGTGATTTGATGGAACATCTCCGACATGGTGTAGTCCTGGTGCACTTCTCTCGTGCTTTGGCGCACTCTAAACACGCTCTGCGTCGAGCAGTATCGCGTCCCTCCGCGGCGGGTGCTGTAAGGTGGTCATGAATAGCGGTATGCTTATGTAGGATATCACTATAACTTGGTTAGCAGTTGTGACAGGTCATACAACATGGGTACCTTACCTGCGAGTAAAGCCCTTATGGCAGATGTTGCATTCGAAGGGTTTATGAGTCTCGTGGACCTTTTGGTGCCGCCTAAGATGCTCCTGTCGCTTGAAGCTACGAGGGCACTGCCCGCATTGGAATTTCTCCATTTCTGTGCAGTAGGACACTCATTGGGGGCTGTCAACAAGTTCGAGGTGGTTGGGTGAAGCTTTGAATGTCACTTCGTGAGGGCAAATGTCAAGCAGGGAACTTGGATGAGATGAACCCCACTTCTCTCCTCATGATCGAAAGCGGTTTAATGCGACTTCCCTAGAGGGTGTCAACGTTGTTTAAAGTCTATCAAATGTTTTATTCTCTGGACCGCAAACTCGCTGGTGAGATTTCATTTCTCTATGTTATTTATTAAATTCACTGTGAATCCTGACCATAATTGAATCGTCAAGCAAGCTATGAACCCGGCCCATCAATCGGCATGGTCTGTACCATGTTCCCTCCCCTTCACCGCGACGCTAAATTAACCTCGGGTCCAGACTCTCTTAGCATGCCCGCTGACAAGATCTTAGCGGGCCAATCAGCGTGAGCCACCGAGCCAGCAAAGAGGACACCCCGTGGAGAACTAGCAGCCTGGAGCCATGGTGAAAGGAAAGGAAGAGCTGGCTGACGTTGAAGATTTTATGGCATAAAGAGAAAAAGTGAATGAAGTTTTGCTATGTATTATATTGCATTGCAATGGCCTTTCTCTTTGTTTGCTACTTATAATGCTGTTCGTGGTGAAATAACTCGGTTTGTCGATATTTTGACTTGAACGTATCTTGAAATACACAAGCAAACATAAAATCGTGTTACAAACCAACAAGACGGCCAACATGAAATGATAGACTTAATATACAAATATGCAACTTATCACATCAAAACCATAGTCTAGAGACTGACTTTCAGAGTGATCCAATGCCCACCTCCCACTTCAGTCCCGAAAACCATCCACCTCGTGTCCGCTCTAGGGTACCCAACACACACCCCGATGGGATGACCGGTGGGTTTGCCGCCTCCTCATCCCACCGTAACCCATTAACGCCACAGAGACCAAGCGACTCCGTCAATGACCCGATAAGTACTCACCATCCAAGATCTAGAATCACATCATCGAACCACACTCACAATGTCTCATCCTCAGCTCATCTTCCACCACACTACCTTCGGTCCCGGCTCCATTCTCTACCGGCGCCGAAACACAGTCGCAAAGACAACCCTGTACACACAGCTAGAGAGACTGCGAGAAACAGGCCGATACGATTGCTTCAAGCTACAGTGGCATGAGATCTATGATGATAAGTCTATGTGGCCTGTCCCGTTTCATCTCTTTTGGGACAGCGACATAGCGAAGTGGATCGAGGGTGCCTGTTACTTTCTGCAAGATGAGTTTGATGAGAAGATTGACAAGGCTGTCAAAGAGCTTGTTGAGATGATACGGGGGGCGCAGCAGGATGATGGATATCTGAATGTTCATTACACTGTAGTTGAACCGGGAAAGAAATGGACGAATTTGCAGGATATGCATGAGTTGTAAGTCTCACATTGGGATTGTGTCTTATGAAGCCCTCGTACTGATATTATCCTCAGGTACAATGCAGGCCATTTGATCGAAGCTGCCATCGCACACCACCAATACTACAAGGACAAACTCCTCCTCGAACCCATCGAGAAATACATCGCTCTCATCCACCGTACTTTCGGACCTGCCGACGACCAACTCCACGGCTACCCAGGTCACCCAGAGATCGAGCTCGCCCTCTTCCGTCTCTATCAAGCCACCGGAAACAAACAAGCCTACGATCTATCTCGCTACTTCATCGAAGAGCGCGGCAACAAGAATGGTCAAGGTGGCCAGCACTATTACGAATGGGAATCCAAGAAGCGCGGCCAGAATCTCTATCAACGACCGGATTCATACCCCGAGCATGCTTCTCACTGGTACTGCCAAGCTCATAAACCCATCCTTGAGCAAGAGACCGTGGAGGGCCACTCAGTACGCGCAATGTACTTGCTCACTGCTGTAGCTGACATGGTCTGCATCAACGACCAATCTTTGCAAGCTTCATCGGACTGGAAGAATACCCTCTACCGCCTATGGAACAACATGGTCGACAAGAAGATGTATCTCACCGGTGGGATAGGCGCCATCAAGCAGTGGGAGGGCTTCGGACGCGACTACTTCCTTCCACAAAGCACAGACGAAGGAGGCTGCTATGCCGAAACTTGTGCTTCGATCGCCGTTATGATGCTTGCAGAGCGCCTTCTCCACATCGACCTTGACGGGCGATTTGCAGATGTTATGGAACTCTGCCTCTACAACAACGTCATGACCTCGATGAGTCTTGACGGCAAGGCTTTCACGTATGTGAACCAACTGGGCAGTTCAGAGACCGACAAGAGCGTACGTGAGGAATGGTTCTGGTGTGCTTGTTGCCCGCCGAACGTCACACGTCTTTATGGCTCTTTGGGTGGGTATCTCTGGGACTTTGGCAAGACCACCGATGGAGAGGCCTTCGTTAATGTGCATCTGTATACGAAGGCGACTCTGAAGTTCGAAGTTGATGGGCAGGTCGTGACTCTTGAGCAGGATTCAGACTGGCCATGGGACGGAGCGGTCAAGTTTCGCCTTACAGCCCCCGAGCCACTGACAACTACAATCAGACTAAGAATACCTGGGTGGTCCCAGAACAAGTACCGGCTGAGTCCTGATCTAAGCGAAGGAAGTATTGATCTGCAAAAGGGCTATCTGACCCTCGATCCATCCTACGTCGCAAAGAATCTAGAGTTCTCCCTAACGATCGGCACCTTTACACCGCGCTACATTGCTCCCCATCCTTACACCAACCAGCGAACACTGACTCTGGCTCGAGGCCCTCTAGTATACTGCATGGAAGATGCTGATAATACATGGGAAGATAATCACTTCAAGGATGTCGGGCTAAAGACGACTGTTCCCATTGTAGAGGAGAAGAAGTCGCTTGGGGAAGAGGAATATGTTGCGCTGAAGACGTCTTGTTGGCGTCGACAGTTACAGGGTGCAGAAGCCGGCGCAGCTCCTGGCTTTGTAGTCGATGGCGAGATAGATGCTGGAGTAGAAAAGGAAGCTGTCTTTGTGCCGTACTGCCTGAGGGCAAATCGAGGAGGAAATGGACACATGAGAGTTGGTCTGATTCATGTATGAGTGCAAGTTACAGTTAGATGAGACTATCTCGAAGCATTTACACGTAGTCCATGCCATCCTGTTCCGGTCTTACATCCTCAGTAGCTGTAAACACTTGTCCACTCTTCCCAATTTTAATTCCGCCCCCTGGTTATTGTTGCAAGTCAAAATAAAGCCCCAAATGTGCTCTTTAAATATCTTCCACGAACAGGAAGTAGAAAGCTTGAGACTGAAATGCTGTGTCTTCTTCCCAAGCAGGACATTTGGCAAGCCCTTCCTCAATTGGAGGTACGAATCAACGGCGACCCTCGTGTCTCTGCCTTCACGTATCCTGCCCTCTCTAATTTCATCTCGCTGGGCAACCCGCTTTCCTGCCAACTCTCCCATTCGGCCCTGGGTGGCCATCCAGTCGGAAATCATGGGCTCGTAGCATGTCGCTGCAGTTCCAGTAATCGAAGGCGTGATCTCGTGATCTTTGTTTATGTGTAACTGCAAATACACTCAGGTCGACTTGTAGAAGTTCTAACCAAGGCGGCTGGAGGAGGCCCGATGGCGAATATCTTCGACCAGTTGAACAGATGTGGCCTTGAACAACTATGAATCGCTGGAATTAGACCGCTTCTCTGGTGGAACGGGTGATACTTACATCGAATCCGACAAGGATCCCTGTGACTCGGCTGTTCGCTCGGGCATCAAGGCTGATGATGTCAGAGTAAAACGGTAGACCCCGAAGCTGGCCTGTCGATTTCCAAATCATATGATCCTGCATGTGCCGTGTCTGGAATTCGAGGCCAAGTAAACCGCCGGAAGATACAGTTACTCGGACATGCAACAAATCGTCTGATGGCTTGAAAGAGATATGAGTTTCAGTAGCAGGCGCTATATGACCCGCAAGCGAGACCACCTCCCCAATATCTGTTCCATCTTCGATACGGACTCTGAAACCACATATGTACTCGGTAGAGTTGTTGGTTATGGTGGAAATAGATAATCGGATCATATCGGCTCCCCAATATTGGGGATCGAGGTTGACATACTGTAAGCTCTTGCGTGTCGATGGTATCTGTAAGAGAGCCTGGGCCTTCCGAGTAGCAACAAGCTCATGTAGTGAAGGATCTTCTCTGACACTATGCACGTCTCGTATATTTTGATCTTGCTGGAGGAGCATCGTCAGCAGCTGACGCAGATCCCTGACGCAGTTCCAAATCCTCCGGCGGCGTCGCAGGTGACGAATCTGGGAAGGGCTTCGTAGATCCTCTTTCAGATCAAAGTACAGTTGTCTCCAATCGGGTGCCGCGGGTAGGGAGCTGGAGACCAGTGGGAGGAAACCCATCTCGTGTTCAGCAGCGAAACGGCTCTCCCAAAACTCTTGAGGGAGTCTGTACTGACTGCAAAGACTGGCGATGAACTTTGATGATAGTCGGAAATTGCAAAGCGATGGCAAATCCAAGAATGAAACCATATGATAGGTGATCTCGATGGGTAACTGTGAGAAACGATCCGGTCGGGATTGAGTAGACACCGGAATTTGGTCGGTCGGGTAAGGAAGGGTACTCCTACCATGTATCGTAAACGTAAACTCTTTATTGGGATCCGCTTTCAAGTAATCGTCTTCAGTTGGCTGCTTCCCAAAACAAAAGTCACCAAAATAGGCGCCCCAAGGTTCGCCCCGTGGGAGATCAAGCATAAGATCATAGAGAGCTTGGGCGATGCTGTTTTTCTCGTATCCAATAGTCACAGACAGAGACATATGATCCAGAAGCATAGACCAACAGAACTCGTGGAACACGAGAATTTGAGTTTCAGAGAGTTCTCGCGTTACAGAGACGCGACGATGTCGTTCTAGCTCAGCCTCAGAAGACTCGTTGGGAACTGAACAATCTGGATCCGTGGGCACGAAGAAGCCGTATTCATCTTTGTAACCACGTCCTGTGATAGTAACCTTCGAGTCCCCTGGACGACAACGAGCTTGAAAGGTTCTGATCAGCATAGAATGTGAGACGGAGTTAGACAAATTACCTATACGAAGCACGGCGGCCCAACTCGGGTTGCTATCAGGATTGTGGTAGGCGAAGCCACCTCCGCAGATAACGCAGTCATCGGCCATGGAGAGGTTTTGTTTCGTCTTGTTTATAAGAGTCGAGGTTGAGATGAGAGGAGATGAGATACGTGTGAGCTTGGATTATGTGTGCGCTGGAGTGCCCCACTTCAGGTTACTAAGTCCTCCACTGCTTCTCCCTTTCTTTGTCCGCGAAAGGATGTGAGGGGGCAAGGCAGCAACTTAGTTACAGGGGCTAGGAACGTATCGTACTACAGTTGTGATTAGCGGGCTCATGTCAGGGGTTAGCAGCCCAAGACTGTCAGTCAAGGTCCTGTGATTTCGAGGTCACTCTCATACTATGGAACCTTTCTCGTGGGATCCTGTATGCAACGGTCATATCTTTTCGTTACTAAACAAAAGGTTGAACCTGGTCACAAACACTTCCTTAATCGCTTCCCTGTGGAGCCTCTTCCTTTCTTACACCAACATCAACCACACAACAACCGACAACGGTCAAACACAACGACAGCTCTACTGACCGAAGCCCATCATAACAGCTCTGCTCATAACAGGACTGCATCGACTTGCTTTGGATGAAACATATACGACATCGACCCAAGGGTTACTTGACAGATCCAATCTTCTATGATGGAGCTTTAGGGCTTACGGCGTGTACGCTTGGTAGCTTGCATTTGTGGCCCAACATCATCCATACATATCCTGGTTTACCTCACTACCAAAACCTTTCGATAGGAAACTAAATAGATTGATACATCTACCTGACGAAACGTCCATAAGCCTCATTCCTCAGCATGATTCTCTGCGGAAAGGGCTTCACCCTAGCGATGACACCCGGCAGTTGCTCATACACAACATCAATCTCCTTCCCTTCTTCGTCAACCGCCTTTCCAATTGTGAAAACAGCTAGCATTTGCGCGATAGCCAAGAACATTGTTTGCTCAGCAATCCACTTCCCGGGACATGCCCTACGCCCGAATCCAAACACTACATCCGACGGCAAAGGTTCGTTATACGGCGTGGAGTACCTCTCAGGTTTGAACGCCATCGGGTCGTGGTAAACTTCGGGATCGTGCGTGATAGATGATACTGCTGGGAATAAAAGAGTGTTTTTAGGGATGAAGAAGCCGTTGTAAATGTCGTCCTCAGTCGTCATGTGCGGGAAGCCCATAGGTGCGAGGGTATGCCAGCGAAGCGCTTCCTGGATGATGGCGTTGATGTAGGGAAGATTCGCTTTGTCGGAAAAAGAAGGAAGACGAGAGTCTCCCACAACACGGTCTATTTCTTCTTGGGCTCGCTTCTGGACGTCGGGGTAGATGACCATAGCTGCGAAAAAGGATAGTAGCGTCGCACCAGTTGTGTCTGTGCCGGCGTTCATCATAGAAGCAGCGGTCCATTGAATCACGCTCTCCTCTTCAGGGTCAATCTTGCGGTGGATATCTTGGACCAAGCCAGCGACGTACGAGACATCATCGTTGCCGCGCGCCATCTGATCTCTGACATAGTCATAGGGATCTTTGACGTTTTGCAGTAAATGTTCTCGGTAGACTCTGGCTGTCTTCTTGAAGCCTGCCCCAGGCATCCACTCGGGGAGGTGCTTAAGCCAAGGGACCAAGTCAACCATCCACGCGCCTGGACTGGTAGAGTGAGAGAACTCTTCCATTACCGTGTTGGCCATGGAGACGATGCGGTCATTCTTGCTGGGGTCGGTTTCGTAGTTGTAAAGGATGCGGAGCATGATAGAGCCAGAAACCCTGAGTAATGGTCAGATACTGCATTTAGGATGTAGGGATTAACTCACTGGTTTAGATGCTCAGGTAAGTTCTTGCTATCTGTGTCTTGATAGATGCGCCTCAGTAGTCGTAGGATCTCGACTTCCTGGATGGGCTCGAATCGACCAATAGACTTGCTGCTGACTTGCGTCGCTGTGAGCTTTCGATGTAAACGGAAGGTGCGATCGTAGGGCATCATGCCCATGATACTATCGTATCCGACTCTAGATGAAGAGAAAGGTTAGTGATGGAAAGTAATGGGTAGGGTCAATACTTACACATCACCTGCGAAGGTCAACTTGGGTCTCGATGAGCTTTTCATTGCACGGGTCTCCAGGAGGTCCACGACAGCCTGTTTTTCATGCAGAATCACAAACAGCTGGCCCAGTACTGATACGGAAGAAATCGGGCCATACTTGTCGCCATGTTTCTGCCAATGTTTCCACTCGACTGTCCCTGAAGGAGGAAGATCGAGAATGTTGCCAAGAAGGGGTAGACCTTTGGGACCTGGTGGTAATGGGCCTTTGCTGCGCTGTTGGGTGTGTTTGAAGATGAAGTAGACAAGCAAGGCGAAGGCGCCGGTGTATAGGATGGAGGGGACGTTCATGGCGATGGATATCTGCAAAGGAGAGAAAGCTTGGAAAGTCCATTCATCCAGAGGGAAAGGTTGACATACTTATAGATAGTAATTCAAACCGGGGACATGCCGAAACGGCTAATATCAAATCTGACGTTCTGCACCATCTTCAATATCTCATCCTGGTCATCGTGAGGATTGCGGGGCCTTGCGCACTCGTGAGAGTCTGATTGGTCGCTTAGACATTGATCAAGGTTACACTATTGCCTTTCTGGGTCTTGAGGAGAGTATCAATATTTATCCGACCCGACGGCTCGACACGAGACATGATGGATTATCTGCATTTACTCCATACTCAGATTCATCATCTCGAGGGTGCGGTCTCAATACTTTCAACACTTCTTGTATGAGCTATAAAGATTTCGTTGGAATAACTGATGCGGAACAGCTGTTATCATGAACCAGGAGCTCTTGAGTGACAGCAAGGTCAGCAAACAGCGGAACGCAAATATCGCGAAGGCAAACAGGTTTGTATACAATCAAGGACATTGACTCTCATAAAGGCTCAAAACATCAATTCTTTACTCTATCAACGAGCCGCGTCTTCCGTCTCCGATCCGTTTCCATGTATCAAATCAAACTCCAACAAAACCAGACCTGCGTTCATATTTACCAGTACGTTGGCCATACATGACTTCCGAGAAGGATATGCGTAACAAAGTACAAATCAAGCACACCAATATGTCTAAGCCATATCCATCACTCATCAGTAATCCGGCCCTCTCCATTGAACATCAGCGTCAACACCTCGCCCGCCGAAGGTCGTTCAAAAGGGTCCTGGTCAAGCATTTGTCCCAAGACGCCAGTCCAACTGGGACAAATGACATGCCGTCCCACGTCAATAGACGAACCCTCACCACATCTGGCGTCAAGGCCGAAGATCCAACAGACAGATATAGCGAGCCCCCAGACATCAATGCGGGTCGTATGAGGGAAGTCTGTGTCTCTGTCCTCCACCTCCGGGGCCATGAACGTTTTGGTCCCGCAGCGAACCATTTCGTGAGGAGCAACTGTTGCAACGCCAAAGTCAGCGAGTCGGTAGTGATAAGCGCCGTTAATGCGTCGATAGAGAATGTTATGCGGCTTGATATCCCGATGGATGATATCCTTGAAAGCTAGGTAGTCCAGGGCTTTCAACATCTGTAGCAGTATGGGACGTCCAACAGTATCTGTGTCGGTAAAAAGCTGCAGGGGTTTTTTGAACTCCTGGGTGCATACAAGGCCACCTAAATCTCCGTCTTGCAGTTCCATAACAAGATGATAGTAATCCGACAGGATTTCAACTTGGAAAAACTCAATTATATGAGGCTCCTAAAGTTAGTTCGCGTTTCTAAAAAAGCAGATTGGTAAACCCACATGGCTCAGATCCGTAGTTATCTCTTTGCGCGACTCTCCCTCTTCTCTGTAGCGCTTGTGTTTGAGATCCACAATGGTCTTGACCGCAACACAATGCCCGGTCTTGAGATCGATACATTTGTTAATAGTAGTGCGCGTACAGAAATTGTTAGCAAGTTCCTTCTGCAACAGAAACCGGAGCTCGTGGTGTCGTCCTTCAACACCTTCTAGGCGTTTTGTCGGTGGGTGGCTTCTGAGTGTCTGGATCTGCCCAGTCCTGGTTTCCAAGCTCTTCCAAGCCTCCAGATCGATAGGGTCTCTCATGCGCCATTCCACGTAAAAGACATACTTGATGGATCCGCCAAAGGTGATCGCAATTGTGTTGGCGGCAGGACTGAGTACCAGGGCACGGAACTTGTAAAAGTCGCGGATTTCGTCGTCGCTCTGCACGTAGTAGACCTTGCAATTCTGGCTCGGGGAGTGGTCAACCAGCATGATCTCGCCGGTCTCTTTGTGGAGTTCGAAGGAAACCTGAATGTTGGCGATGAACTTGCGATCGATTTTGACATCGCTTTTTTTGCCCATGGTAGCTGGGTAAAGACCACCGCAACGATCGGGAGTGGAGTCGACGTCTATCACGTCCTCGCCGTCATGGTTTCGAACAAACGACTCGCTTGCTAATTCTGACACCAGATTCTGGGTTTGTACAGTCAATGGTACCAAACTGAAGATCGCGGAGCTAACCGTGGTTGCTCGCGGAGGAGACATGATCGTAGTGCGGGGAGTGGTGGAGTTGACGATAGCAGGCGTAATTTTTCTGTTGCTTGGAATTATGTAGGCTGGCTGTCGGAATGTTTTGATGTAGGAGAGAACTCCGGACGGTCGTGGGCGGATTGATATTCATATCATGGTTGATTCTGGCAGGTGCCCGTCACTGATCTAAAAACCCTCCTTCCATTGTGCCACACGCCCTTTCACTCGCCAGCCGCATGGAGACGTTTTCATCTTTTCTTTGCTGCAATTGTTGCATAAACTCATAATTTCCTTTATCTTTGTTTATTTCAGGGTATTTAGGAATTTTTTCGATCCAGAAACCGCTGAGTGAGGCCACAAATACCCAACTTCACAAAGCGGCTTTCAGAACACGACAGCCTCACCTTGTGGAGTTCAAGAACGAACAAAGATAAGAGATATACGTATTGCATAATCTCCTTTTTCTTTTTACATAATGAACCTTCTTTCTTTCGTCTTTGTCGGCGCAGAGATTTGGTGACAGAGTGATATGTCACAAAGTTACACTAAAACATGAAAGAAAACCAAAGGTCAGTCGGCATGACTTATCATAAGTATCCCCAACTGGTTTTGCTTTCTAGAAAGCCACGAGACAAACACATGATTCAACGCTTCGTCAACACTTCCTTTCCCTTCATTGCCTTGAACTGTTTCCTTTGTCTTGTTGATCGAATTTGAAGCTACAATGATCCAACAATTCCAAAATGTAACTAAACTTTCCATTCACTTTTTGTATCCTTTGCAGGTATTCAATATACTCTGAAGCGAGTCTTATTCTTCTCATACTGTTGCAAAAGAATGATGCTGTGTCAGCAACATATAGCTTGTGTCCACTCAAACCTGAGAGGTGAATTTGAACGCTTCAAAAGGCCCGAGGTGAATCAGCCCTAACCATGTTCGCCAGTGCATTAGCGCAGTGAAATTGATATGGTTAGCACCCCTTCTCGACTAGCCAATGAGTAACTTCATGCTACCTAATTTGAAATCGTGATAGAAAGACCCTGGCTTTCTGGTTCTGGTGGGGACCAGTAGTGCTGACTATCCTACCCCGTAGGACCGTAGATAACCCTGAATTTACGGTCAGCACCTCATACTAGCGCTGAGCCTTATTGACTTGTAAACTGCACTAGTTAACACTGTCAATTCTCGCATCTCCAATCCGTCTTATCCGCTGACTCATTCCGCCATGGGTTAGTCGGTCATGGTTTAGTTTCTTGTATTTCAAATCATCCAGGCTCATATTGTACTGGTGGAGAACCGGGGCTGTGTTTGGCACATACGTCATAAACCCAATGCGTACTGCAGATGAAGACAACAAAGGGAATATTGTATTTACTTCAAAATATCAATCCATGCCATCAGCAAGCATAGAGGTGGGAACACACATCCGTCTCACTTGCCAAGTTGCCATCTTTAACATGACTGGCTGATCACCGCCTATCCGTCCGAATGCAGCACCACCATCCGCTCTCCAGCAGAAAAGTGTCATTGAGCTCACATGCCATTTCGCTCTCGCCGATAACCCTGGATTAGTGACTGGTAGGGCTGAGGTAAGTCTTTCTAGGTATCTGGTTCCCTCGTGCAAACCTTGCTGATCTCTAACTTTTCCTGGTCGTTTAAGCGTTCCACGGGCCTATGATAGTGGATTCACGCCAGCGAGTTCCGAAGATTAGTGGAAACTTCATCCGACTTCCGTCGTCTTGCAAGGGTGTCGTCAGGATGTCATGGGAAGAATTGGCCGCCGATGGCTTGAGCCGAAATAAATGGGCCACCTCAGGTGAGATCAGAGGAGAACCCAGGCGACTTTATTTTGGCGGTCTAAGCCTCAGGAGCCAGCTCTTCTGTTACCCACCCACCTGGGTATCGGACCCTCTAGTCTGACGTGCAGTTAAGATTAGCTGAGTGGGAAAGCAGCTCGAGTAGGTAGTGATGTCAGGTTAGGTCGGATCATCAGAAAGTAAAGGTATAAAAACCATCATGACTTCCTCCAACATAATCCCACTATCAACCCTCTTCATCACATAACAATATGGCTACTACGAACGGCAACGCTGGCAAGATGCCTCAAAAGACCCGCGAGGTCAACAACCATCACATGGACTCAACAGTGTGGAACGAGGTGAAGTTCAGACCAGACGATATCGTCATTGCTACCTACTCGAAGTCAGGCACAACAGTATGCTCTCATCTCTCCGAAATCGAGGGACAGCTGCTAACTAATGACTTTCTTTAGTGGGTGCAACAAATCGTCTCTCAGCTCATTCACGAAGGTGACCCGACCGTCCCAGCAGGTGCCCTCTCACCTTGGGTTGACCTCCGCATTGTCCCTCGAGACGTCATGCTCGGCATGGTCGAAGGCCAGACTAACAGACGCTTCATGAAAACACATTTGCCCATCGACGCTCTGGTCTGGAAGCCCGAAGTCAAGTACATCTTCATCGCACGCGACGGTCGTGATATGGTCTGGAGCATGCACAACCATTTCTATACCGCCACGCCAACCTTTTACAGCTTTTTCGAAAACACGGGTTTCGACGGACCAGGTCCCCAACGACCTTCCGAAAATCCCAGAGACATGCTCATTGATCTTGTCGAGGATGACACGCGTCCCTCCATCTGCTGGCCTTTCTGGAGCCACATCCGAGGATGGTGGGAAGCGCGCCACCAGCCCAACATGATGCTCATCCACTTCAATGATCTTAAGAAGGATCTTGATGGCGAGATTCGCAAGATTGCCGAGTTCCTTGAGACGCCTGATATGCCCGAGGACAAGTTCAAAGAGGTCGTTGAGCATTGCACTTTCGCCTGGATGAAGGAGCATGCTGCTCTTGCGTCGCCACCTCAGGCTGAGATCGCATGGAAGAATGGCGCGCAAGACTTTGTGTACAAGGGATCGAATGGACGCTGGATGGATGTTTTGTCTGAGGAGGATAATAAGAGGTATCTGGAAAAGGCGAAGGAGGAACTTGGAGAGGAGTGTGCAAATTGGTTGCAGAATGGTGGCTCCTTTAACTGAGCGCGACAGTACGAACGTAGCTCGTCTCTTATTATGTAAACGATGTAAAGTTTCTTTATTAGTCTATCATCCTGATATCCCACGAGTTGATACTATCCAAGTGTCCAATATGACGACTCACCCTTGCTGCCAAAAGACCGTCTTGTCACCCGCAATGCTCACCTTGTCGATCTCCCTCATCTCTGTATCGGTAAGCCTCCATCCGAGTGCCTCGATCGCACATTTGGCTTGCTCGACATTCCTGATCCCGACAACTGGTAGGACACCTTTGCTGATGTTGTAATTCAGCGCCACGGCCGCAACACTCTTCCCTCGTCTTTCAGCAACGGTCTTCAACGTTTCCAATACCGGATCCAAGTACTCTATCTTGTAACTGCTGAATCGACGCGACTTGGGTGCCGGACTATCCTTCCTGTACTTCCCCGCCAAGCGTCCCTGAGCAAGCGAGGAGTACGACTGAAAGATCATGCCGCTGTCTTGGCATTTCTTGATATTGCCGCTGAGCTCGGGATAGCGGCGCAAGATGTTGAACTCGCATTGGTTTGTAGCGAGAGGGATGTTGAACTTGGCGAGCTCATCGTTGATCTTCTGTACGTCTTCGACATCGTAGTTGGCTACTCCGATACAGTGAGCTAAGCCTTGTTCCACGCATTGTGCCATGCCTTCCGCGATTTGAGCGACGCTCTGTGGATGAATAGGTCCATGGACAAGAAAAATATCCACGTAATCGAGACCCATGCGCTCAAGACTGCCCTTAAGACTCTTGATGGGCGCTTCAGTAGGATATATGAAGTTGGCCGCTTTTAGCGGTGTGCTGAAGTACTTCGTCTGAACGACGAAGCTATCGCGTGGCAAGTCCCTGACGAGTTCCCCAACAATCCTTTCGCTCTCTCCGTTGCCGTACGCCTCAGCCGTGTCGATGAAGTTGATGCCTGCTTCGTATAAAGTTTTCCAAGCTCGGATGATATCCGGTAATTGAGTTTCGTGGTATTGCCAAGTTGGTTTATCGCCCCATGACCAAGCGCCGACGCAGATGTTGGATGCCGAGACTGGCTTTTGTGCGGTCGGGAATTCGACACGGGACTGGGCTGTTGGACAGTAGCATGTAGGGAGAACGTTGTCGCCAGCGACTTCGGGATCAGCCCACTTTGGTTTGCTAGAGTGAAGTCCAGAGACGGCCGACATGCCTGCTGAGAGGCCAGTTTGCAGTGCTGTATCCATTATGTAAGTTGTGTCACCTAAAGAAATGGGGTTGATCATAGATGAGAAGGTCAAACCTCCATGCCAAGGTATGTTTATATATATCAGGTAATTGTCTTTGATGGATTGCTTATCACTCGATATCATATCCCCGTGGAGGGAATGCTCCGATTATCAATTGACAGGCGTTGGGGTTGACGCGACAGCAGGGGTTGTTCAAGGTCATTATGACGCCGATCTGTGCTCTTTGGGCAAGCTCATTTGTCGGCGAAATGTAGATGTGCTTTGTTATGTGAGACTCTCAGGTTTTCCGACTTGCTTTTTGCCCAACCGATTAAAGGCTTACGACCGTATGACGCTCCGGTTTGTTCATACTGAGTGACAACTCAATACTAAGCAACAAGCAAACAAGCTACCCCTTTCACGTGCTCTGTATCTGTGACGTCACTGCCACGAATCGCTATGCCTAGTTAATTGTCATATCATCTTATCATAAATCAAACCTGTACTGTAACACCGTTCCGGTATCGCGGGAGTTGATTTGGTCTGGGGCAACAACGCTTCGTTCGCCATGTTCGACTCCGGAGTCAACCCAGTTGAGGGTTTGTTGAGTGTTGTTCTGGAACAAAATCTTTATTTTGCGAATGTTTTCTCTTTGCGGTGGTCTGACATGAAGCGACAAGATGAACTCGTGTGGGTGTTGCGAGTAAGGAGGATTGGTAATTGAGTATGTGTTGATGAAGATGGAGACAAACGTTGAAATGCAGAGGGATAGTCCCTGTATATAGATAAGTCGCAGGACCTGAATTATCACGGCGACTCTGATGGACTCCTTTTCTATCTTCTGTCAAAGTTCAGCCAGCTACGACTCCCAGTAACCCATCAATCCTCGAGTTCAGCTGAAGCATGAATATGTGGTCTGCCAGGACATTCCATGCAAAGTCACAAACGAAAATGCCCTCTGTAGCTATCTATTAGTCTACTCCCAAGGCCCTGTTTTTGGCTCTGTAGCCTAGCGGCTTGAGTTGTCACATACCCTATCTGTGAGCAAAGTCTGCGTGGCACTGTGGTGGGAGGAATGAAAGCATGATTGGACTGAGCACGACTTTGAAGCACGTCTTCCTTGTCTTTACCGTCTGCGATGGGCAGTTGTCCTCCTCCTGTCTCTTTTACTAGGATGATAACAGACCCAAGCGTCCAGATTCAACTGTCTCACATTCCAACCAAGTCAGTTCTGTAGGTTTCAAGCGATGCAACCTTGGCGAATGGCAATGCAGGAACAATTATAACAGCCTAACATAGACCTTGGTGATAACTGGAGAAAGGATTCTGTAGGTTTCACTATCTAGGACCCAAGAACTTTAGAGCAGAGGTCGTTAAAGGTGTCTCTGCTGCGAAATTATATATGACTGAACCCTTTGTTGTTAACTTTCATTCTTGAGTACCAGCGCCGTGAGCATTAGAAAGGTCGAGAGGCATGATAGTTGAACATAGTCTCTCCTTGCCTTGATCCAGACATCATGCACAAAACTCGACTCTAGGAGAATACTGTATCAGCTTACCTAGCACGTGAACATCCGTCGGCTTGCAGCTTGCAGTAGATATAATAGAATGGGTCATAGTCTACACATATTGTTCGAGGTTATTCATTTTCTATTCCTTTGTTTCGATCCTCTGTTCGTCGGAACAAACCCTTATCTCGAAGGTCCACCTTTTGTACATAGCGAACACATTGCTCTTTGAACAGCTGTCACTGGCATGAACATAGGGAACATCCTCTCGCTCTTCGGAATAGTTGGCACTGGCATGAACACATAGAGAACTAGAACAACCTCCGTATTCACCATTTGCCCTGGTTTAAGTATCTCCCTCTCGGCTTCTTCAACCTCAAATCTTTCCTACCATCACCATCATCATCATCTATCTTACACTCAACCAACCATTACTTTCACAACATCTCTACAACAACACTCTACCTACTTCACCAAACAGACAAATCAGCCAAGTCAGCCAACATGTCTTCGCTTCGCTCTACCGCTTACCCTCTCGATGGCGAGATCATCGACATTGGTGGCTCTCTCATCGACCTCACTTTCGTCAACGACCAACTCCCCAAGGCCTTTTCTGGACAGGGCGATTTCCCCAAGGAAGTTGCATACACTACCGGAATGGAAAAGTGGAATGCCATCGCAGTTAAGTCTTACCAGACTAAGGATGAGATGGCCATTATCAAGGCTACTGCCGACAAGGTGGTCCAGGGCTTCAAGTCCGGCACCCATATCATCGATCTCGGGGCCGCAAACAGTCGTAAGTTCATGCCTTATGTCCGCGCCTTCATCAATCAAGGTAAGGAATGTGTCTACGTCGCTCTTGACCTTTCCCACCCCTCTCTCGTCGACCATCTCGCCAAGGCCAAGGCTGCCTTCCCTGAAGTGAAGTGCATTGGTCTCTGGGGAAGCTTTCAACAGGGTGATGTCTACTTTAAGCAGACTCGTCCTACTGCTCGCCTTTTTCTATCTCTCGGTTCCATCTTTTTCAACGCCCCAGACGACATGGCCAAGGATCGTTGCGTCGAATTCAAGGGCCATCTCACTTCTGATGACCGTCTGATTGTCGGCCAGGACAGTCCCGGCGCCGATGCCGGCACTATTCACGCTGCCTACCTCACCAAGGAGTACGATGACTTCTTCACTAACTACCTCCAGGGTCTCCAGGATCATGCTGGTATCAAGGGTGTTAACCCCCTGACTGACTGGGATGTCCGGAGCAGACTCAACAAGGCCATGCACTACTTCGATGTGACCGCTAAGAAGAACATGTACTGCCGTAAGTTCCGCATCAATGTCCCTGCTGGTACTGTTTACCAGATGTTCAAGTCCTGGAAGCGCGCTGAGGCTGAGATCCACGAGTTGACTATCTCTGTCGGTCTTGGTATTGAGACCCTTGGCAAGGCCCCGAACTCTGGCATGCGCCAGTACCTCATCAAGGCTTCTGAGAAGTAAGTCAATGGGATGGTAAATCGGTGTGATGGTGCGATTCCTGTCACCCTTGGCCGAACTTTTTGGGATGTAGGAACAATATTCTTGGCTTATCGCCTGGAGAATACTTTGAAGCTGATCGCCAGATAGACTATTAGCGAAGGATAGAAATTTGAGTAGGCGAAAATGATCAGATAGCTATCTTGTGAATAGAGCACATTTCGCAAACTTAAACAGAACTCTAAAATTGAAAAAGTGACCATAACCATGCTGCTTCCTATGTATGAGTCCCAGTGATTGAAAAGCCAAAAGGTAAAGATTTGAACCGATTTAACTCACTCTCATAGTCGTTTTGTCTAGGTCAGGCTTCAGAAGAGAAGCTGAACAGACATCAAAGGGTTCCGGACTTACCCAGATAGAGACAACTGTTTCCATGCGCTGTCAATGGGAGTAAGAGCCAGGATTTGAGTATACGTGTATTTAAGTAAGTGTACATGTATTAGAAATAAAAAGAATAGCGGTAGACTGATCAATCAGCGGCTTTAAATTTGAAAAGGAATATTTACAGAACGCATCAACCAAAAAAGCAAAAACATACAACAGCGGG